CCCGGGCGGGGGTCGGGAGCGCCGAGGGCTTCTCGGGTTAGAAAAGGGCGGGGCTCGGGCGCCCCTCCACCGCGGGGCGCGGGCCAGCGGAGCTGCCCCCCTTCTCCAGCCGCCCCGCCCACCTTCCGCGCCGCCGGCCGCTGCTTCCGAGGCCCGAGTGACGGGACGCCCCGGGGTGCCCCGAGGGAGCCGGCCTTGCGGCGCCTCCCGCCGCTCCGCTTGCTTTGTTAAACAGTTAGTGACGCGTACAGGAGCTGGGGTGCAGCAGGGGCGCGGGGTGTGCGTGAAGGACCCCCCGAGGGCCAGAGCGGGCGGATCCACTGAACACCCTGCGGGGGAGCAGCGGGGAGCAGGAGGGGCCTGCGGGGGCGCCCTGGCCGGCCCGGCCCGAGCCCGCGCGCAGAGGCTGGCGAGAGCTGATGCGCTGTCGTTACCCGCTGGGCCCCCACCCCGCCCGGCTCTGCTTCTCCCCCATCGCGGCGCCTGGGCCGGGGCTGCACAGGACCCCTTCCTCGGGTGGCCCCTGGGGGGCGGCAGACCCCCCCAGGCCCCACCGAGGCTGGTGGACTCGGGCCCTGCTGGGGCAGAAGCTGCCCTGAGGCCGGGTGTGGGGGCGGGCACCCCCTGCCAGTCCCGCCACCCCATCTGGGCCTGGGGGACTCCAGCTCCCCACCCTTGACACCTGGCTGCCGCCCCTGCAGCCGCCTCCCCCCCAGCACTGGGGAGAAAGGTGGGGTGCCGGACCCCTGCCCACCGGGCAGCCAGCTGCCCCCCCTTCTGCAGCCCTTGGCCCTTGAGGTGATGATTTATTCTCCCGTGGGGCTGCTGCAAGCGCCCGGGCGGGCCTTCCTGCGGCCCCTGCCGCCCCGAGGGCGCGCCCTCTGCCTGCCACCGGCCCTGCCCGCTGTCCCCACGGGCGGAGGGGACCTGGGACGCGACGTGGAGCTGGGCCGGTTGCAGCGCAGACCCAGGGCCCAGCCGGCGCCTGCGCCCGTACCCCACCCCTCGGCCCAGGACGCGCCCAGGAGGCCTGACCACCCGCAGGTGCCCCTCCCCCGCTGCGTGAGTAGCCAGCAAGGTGCGGAGCTGTTGGGGCATGCGTTCCCCCACGGGCCCCCAGGGTGGGGTACACCGGACCCAAAGCCCCAGTGAGAGCGCCCGCTGCTGCCGGGGCACTGTCGGCCCGCGTCCTCTGCTCTGCGGGGTGCGCCCCTGCCGGACATGCTGAGGATGCGCGGCACCCTGGCGGCGCGAGTCCGCGAGTGGGGCCACTCCGAGGCCCCCGTGTGGAGGCCCGGGCCCCCGGGGCAGCGGCTCTGTGGGTCTCCTGTCAGAAGCTCCTGCGTGCGTCCAAGTTCCCGCCGGCTAGCCTGGGGTCAGGCTGACTGCAGAGCTGGCTCCCTTGAAGAGGGCCGTGCCCAATCCACGGTGCCGTTGAGTGGGGGCTACTGCACCCCACGGCCATGTCTGTCAGTGCAGAGGACAGTCCCGGAACTGCCCCAGATGCCCACCCCCCTTCCCACGCCAGGGCACAAGGGACACCGCCCGGCACCCCTCCGGCTGGACAGGCCTCCTAGCGGAACAGGCCGTCACGGATGCGCCGAGGAAAAGCAGCCCGTCAGGAGCACACCTGTGCAGCGTCACCTGTCTGGGCAGCCTGGGGACATTTGTCCTGCTTTAGGTGCTGGGGGTGTTTGGAGGGACTTACATGACAGACAAGAAGGGGCACGGGCCTCCCTGGGGGCGCAGGGGCCAGCCTCAGCAGTGTGAAGCTGTCCACAGCCTCTGCGGCACGAGTTCCAGCCCCAGCCAGGGAGCTACCGCCACGGTGCGGCAGACCCTCCCGTCTCCCGCCGCCCCTCAGCAGCGTGTTCCAGTGATCCGCCCGCTCTGCTCCCCGCTCTGTCTCTGGGGAGTCCCCTCACCCCCCACCTCTGGCTGCACCCCGGCTCTTGTGGGCACAAATAATCAAAAAAAAAGTTCATTTAGAGGAAAAAGAACCAGAGCGAAGACTCCAAGGCGGCGTTGCCCGGAGCGCCGTGTCCTCTCGCGCCGCCGCGCGCCCCGCCCTGCCCGGGCCGCACCCGCCGTCCCGCCCCGCGCCCGCCGCATCCCCGCGCGGCTCTTCCACGCGCGTCCTCGGCTCGGGCGCCTCTTTGCCCGCTGGGCGCCCGCCCCGCACCCGAGGCCGGGCCCTGCGGGGTCCCCGGCGCCCCGGGCCACGGCCCCGCCGCGCGGCCTCGGGAGCAGGAGCCGCGGGCGCCCCTTGGCGGCGCGGCCGGGAGAGACGCCGCGGGGCCGGGCTTGGGGCGGAGCGGCCGCGGCGACACCCCGACCCCGGGGCGGAGACCCCTCCCCGGCCGCCGCCAGGGCTCCCGGGCCGCGCCCGCCGCCAGCAGGGGCGCGAGGGCGGCGCCGTCCGGGGGCCGGGGGCGGCGCGGGCCCCGCGTCCCTGGGGCCGGGTCAGCCGCCGGCCGCGCGCGCGGAGACCGAGCCCGGGGGCGGTCGGGGCTGGACCCGCGGACGCGCCCGCGGGCAGAGGCCACGCCCGACGCCCGCTCGGGCCGGGGCGGGGGCTTCCTGCGAAGGGGAAACGGGGGGCGGGGGGCCCCGATGGGCGAGCGCCAGGCCGCTTCCCGCGGCCCCGGGAAGGGCGAAGACGCGGCCGTCACTCGGGGGGACGGCCGAGGGGGAGCCCACCGCGCGCCCCTCCCTGCGGACCCGCCCCGGCAGCGGCATGGACGCGCCCGCAGCGCCCCCCGAAGACGCTGCTTTAGCCACACGCCGCCTCCTCCATTCTTTCAGATCTCCTTCTCCACGCACACGAGCTGGGCGCGGGCCGGGGGTGCGGGGGGGTCACCAGAGCGGGGAGCAGACAGGCGGCTGGACTGAAGCCCACGGCTGAGGGGGCAGCGGGGACACGGGGAGGCCCGCTGCGCCCACGGGGCTGCTCCTGGCCCGCGGGGGGACTCGCCCTGCAGGGGCTGCCCGAGCTGGGGCGCGCCGTCTGCACCCCTGCCTCCCAGGGGGCCCGCGTCAGGACCGGGAACGGCCCCCAGCCCTCCCGGGAAGCCGGGCACGACCTGCGCTGCGGGAGGAAAGTCGCCGCCACGAGGACCACGACGGGGAGACGGAGCCCCGCGCGGCGTCCTCCGGCCCAGGACTCGCGGCGGCTCCTGACCCCCGGCGCCCCCCGCGCGGCAGCGGCTGTGGCCCGTCCCGGCGCCGCCCCCGCCGGGGCCTCTCCCCCTGCCCGCCCCCAGCAGAGGCGGCGCCGCCCGCGGCCCGAGATGGGGGGGCTCCAAGCAGAGCGGGGCGCACACGCCCCCCGGCCTCCCCCCATCGCCAGCTCCTGCATCCCCGGGACTCGCGGGACCCTCCGAGCAGCCCCCGGCCGACCCTCGCCTGTCTCCCCCTTTTACTCTCGCGCCTGCACGCCCCGGCCGCGGCCCAAGAGCAGGACAGGGTGCGCGGACACGGGGGCGCCCTTCTCGGTGCACCCCGCAGCCCGTCCTCCCAGCTCCGCCTCCCTCCCCGGGGAAGGAAACCGAGGCCGAGCCTGATCCCCGCGCAGGGGGGCGCGGCCCGCGACCGCGGCGGCGGGAGCCCCGGGCAGACAGCAGAGCCCGAGCGCCCCGACACCCGCGTCCCCTCAAAGACGAGCACCCGCGCGCCCACCTGGCGCGGCGTCGCTCCACACCCCGCGCACTCGCCCCCCAGGGGCAGCGTGAGCCCCAACACTCCGCGGGCAGGGCCCGAGTCACTGTGGGGAAACCCCCCAGCCGCAGGCGGACGGTGGCCGCGCCCGCGGCCGGGAAACGCCCAGACCCCCACCCCGACCGGGGCGCAGGCACCCCGCACCCCCGATGGGGAGGCGCGCACCTGCCCGGGCGGAGCCGGGCAGCCCCAGGTGCACCCGCCTGCCCGCCGCGCGGACACGGACGGTGGAAGACACGCCCCCGCCTGGGCCTCCCGGGCGCCGCGGGTGAGCGCCGGGTGGCGAAGCTGCCCGCGGCCTCTGCGGCGCCGGTTCGATCCCCGGCTGCTCCCTGGCCCCGGAGGAGGGTCCCACATGGCGCGCAGACCTCTCCTGCCGCCCGCTGCTCCCCTCAGCAGTGTCCTTCGGTCCCTCTGCCTGCTCTGCCCCCCGCTCTGGCTCTGGGGGATCCTCTCACCCTCCCGCGCCTCTGGCCTGTGCCCAGGGCTTCTGTAAATACATAAATAATCTTGAAAAAAACAAACGCCCACCCCAGACGCGTCCGGAAGGGGCGCCAGAGGCCCCCGGGTGAACCCCCACGACGCCCCCCCATGGGGCCGGCCGCCTGCCCAGGGGCGCCCCTCCCTCGGCCCCGGTGGCCACGTCCAGCCACGAGCCCCCCCCACTCCCACCCGGGGCCCCTGGGCCCACGTCTCCTCCAAACAGGGAGCCCCGGGGCGCCCGGGAGGCCGCGGACCCGCGCCTGGAGCAGCCCCGGGCGGCCGCCGGCTCCTGGAGACGCGCCGAGGCGCTGCGCGGTCGCGGGGCCGGTCTCGGCTCGGCCCGCGGGGCTCCCCGGGCGGCGCCAGCAAGGCCTGCGCGGGCCGCGGTGCCCGGGGGTCTCCCGCGCGCGGAGGCGCCTCCCCCCCCCGCCCTGCCCGCCCGTCCAGCCCACGCGCGGCAGCTGCGGCCCGTCCGCCACGCGCGAGTCCCCTGCCGGGCCCCCGGGCCGCGAGCGGCCGCGGCTTGGGTCGGACGCGCGTCCCGCGGAGGCGCCTCTTCCTCACGCACGCGGGCGCCTCGCCTCGGCCGCCAGGGTTGCTCCGCAGCGGGGCGGGGGCGGGGGGCGCTGACCCGGGCAGGGACCACAGCCGGGCACAGGCGCGGGGCGCGGGGAGAGCCGCGCCCGGGAGGCCCCGAGGGAAGCGGAGAGGCGCGGGGGGCGGGGAGAGCCCGGCCCGCAGCAGACCAGCCCCGACGGGCCCTCGCCCCCCGCCCGGCCCGGCGTCCCGGCGCCTCCCGGTCACCGGCTCCCCGCGGCGTCCGCGGTTCCCCGCCGGCTCGGGCTGACCGGCCTCCCCGGGACGCGCAGCCGAGCCCGGCCCCGCAGAGGCTGCACGCGGCCCCCGGCGGCCCCGCAGGCCGCGGCGGGCTTTAAAGCAAAGCGCCGGCCAGCGCGGCGCTCCGGGCAGGACGTCCGACGGCGCCCGGTCCGCGCGGGAAGAGGCCGCGGCCCACGGGCTCCCTCGGGCGGGGGACCCCAACACCGGCGCCAGCGCCCCCCCTCCCGCGCGGGTCTCGGAGGGCCGGCGGGGCGCCCTTCCCGGGGGCCGAAGGCTGCGCGGGCGGGGGGGGCTGCGCCGGCTGCCGGGACAGGCCCGCGGGACGCGGAGGCCCCGCCGAGACCACGCGCGACACCCGCCCCCGGGAGCCCGTCCCCCGAGATGGCGGCGGGGCGATGCCAGACCCAGGCCTGCGGCCGCGGCCGCGGGAAACTGCCCACCCGAGAGCCGCAGCCCGGCGTCGCCGGGAGCCGGTCGGTTGGGTCAGACCCGGTGCCGCGCTGAGGGCGCCCCCGGGCGTCGCGGAGGGACTGCGCTGGCTTCAGCCGCTCCCCGGCACTTGTTTCCTGAGCTCGAGACACGCGGTGCTGCACGTGCGCTGGCGCCGCTCGGCCCACGCTGGGGCCAGACGACGGTCACGTGTCGCTCACACGGAGCACACGTGACCTCTCGTGGCACCCGCGCCCGAGTACACGTGACATGGTGGGCACGTGTCTGTTGCCTCAGTGCACGTGACTGGTCATGGGCCGCCATCACCTGGCGCCCAGACCGCGCTTGGGGAGGGAGTCGCGTGTCCCCGCCCAGACACGTGACCGCCGCCGCGTCCAGGGTCGGGGCTGTGGGCGGTGTCCGCTGCGGGAACCTGCCCTGCGCGTGCGGGAGGCGGGCCCGGTCCCCTCGTCGCGCGGCCCCGCCGCCCCGCGCCTCCCCCTCCCGGGCCCGCCTCGCCCCGCTCCCGCCGGGGGATGGGCCGTGGGCGCCGCCACCCTGGCGAGGGCCGCGGGGTCCGGGCGCCCTCGGCCCAGAACCCACGACGTCCCGCCACGTCGGCGCGCCCCGGCGGCCCGGCCCGCGAGAGGGCGGCGGGCGCGTCACGGGAGACTCCCCGGGCGCCTGTGGGCCGGGCCGGGCCGGGCCGCCCCGACGGGAGGGAGCCGGTCTCGCGGGCCCGTCGCCCCCGCACCGAGTCCGTGGCGTCGGGGCGGCTCCTCGCGGCTCCCGCCCCCTCAGGCCCCGTCCTCCGCCGCCACCAGGGGGCGCCCCGCCCGCCTGGCCCCGACGCCCCCACCGGCGAGGGGGCAGCGTCGGGGGCAGGGCCGGGAGCGGGGCAGCGGCGTGGACGGGGCCGGGGGGTGGGGGGGCGCACACCAAATCCGGAGGCCGCCCCCGGCCCCCACCCTCTGAACCCCGACCCCGGCCCCAGACGTGCGGGCGGCCTCCGCGCACACCGCACCCCGGGGCGGCAGCACAGACGACCCCAGATCCCGAGAAACGCCGCTTTATGTCGGGGCCCAGCGCCCCCCGGGGCCCTCGCAGGGGCGGGCGCGGGCCGCTCACACCCCGGGGCTCCCGCAGCTCCTGACGGGCCCTGGCCGCGGCGCCGAGTCAGGGCCGCGAACACCCCGCCCGCCGCGGCCTCCCGCGGCGTCACTGCCGTCGGCTTCTCGTCCTGCTGCTTCTGAAGCCCCTCGAGGCCCCCTGGCCAAAGCAGATGGCGGCGGGGATCCTGAAAGGGACGGAGGAGGCGCCCTGAGCCGCCACCCCCGCAACAGGGCTCGGCCCGCGGGCTCGCCACGTGCCTCCTTGGCCCCGACGCGCCCTTCTCGCTGGCCCCGGGAGGCCTGCCCGGCCGGCTCCGGGCGCTGGGGCGGCCCCGCCCGCAGCTGCCCGACGCTGCGCTGGCTCCCGCCGCCCGGCAGAGGAAGGCATCCTGCCCGGACCTGCCCCACCCCCGAAGGGGAGTGCAGATGTCACCGCATTCTCTGGGTTCCTTGGTGGCTTTTCCCCATTTGTTCAATGTTTTTCCCCAAATTGGCTACTTCAGCTTCACCCAATAAAAGCACAGTTAGTACTAGAAACCCAGGCTACCTGCAGCGGGCAGCAGTGCCCAGGAGGGCCCACCCACCCCAGTGTGGGCACCAACAGGACCGGGCTCCAGAAACAGAGCAAGAGGAACTGGAGCAGGCTGTGGCCCCTGCAGCCAGTGCCCCGATGGCCTTGTGCCCCCAGGGCTGGGCCCACATCTGCCCCTGGGGAGGCCACACACCCACCTGCGGCCCGCAGGCCCTGGGGGGGCTGCCGCTGGCTCCGAGCAGACCTCCATGGCGTCTCCTTCCAGGGGCTCCCCAGCCCCGGCGAGGCTTCTGCTGGCATGGGGCCGAGACTGGGCTGTGGGGACAGGGGAGCATCCTCCGTGTCCTGGAAACAGCTCCTGAGGCGGAAGCGCCTTTCCCAGAAAGGCCTTTTTGCTGTTTTCAGAGCGCAGCTTTTGGGGAAAGGAGAATGGCTCCGCCAGGCCGTGGGGAACACGCAGTAGGTCCCCCTTCCACATTCGGGCACAAGGACACTCCCACCTCGCACAGGTGGAGTCACGTGGCCAAGCCCCACCCAGGGCGCCCATCACCACTTTGCCAGCTCCAGCCCACAGGCAGCTGCCCCGCCTGCTAGAGAGCGCCCCGCGGAGGAGGCGCAGGGCCAGCTGAGACCCGCAGTCGGGGCTCCTCCCCCTGCTGCCGCGTCCCCACCTGCGGCTGCCTGGCAGAAGAGGAGCCCGCCATGCCGCGGCCACTTCACTTTAACGACCACGTGCAGTCCCGGGCAAACCAAGAGAGGCTTCGGCCAGTGGAACTTTTCGGCGGGCGTGCTGGGCCCTTCCCACGGAGCTGGCTGGCAGCAGCCAGTTTAGATGCGCTCTGGCCGGGGGGCCCTGCGCGAAGGGGGACGACCCCAGGGCCAGGAGAGGGGGAGTGGGGGCCACCATCCCCATCCGCTGAACCCCACTGGGTCGCAGCCCCTCATCTGTCAGGGCCCCTGTGAAGGCTGAAGTCAACGCAGCCCCCACTAACATAACGCCCCCTGTGTGGAGGCCGCCGCCCCCAGGGCCTCACCTACCCCTTGTTCTTCCGGGGCTTGTCAAAGCGGAAGTCCGTGGGGTACAGGTGCTGGCTCACCAGGTGCTCCTTCCTGTCTCTGCTGCTCTTGAACTTCTCCGTGCAGCCTTCCACCAAACACTGATACTGAAACAGAAACGGGTCGCCCTCAAGGCCCCCAGAGGCCCTGCCCTGAACCCCAGTCCCGAACCCCAGCTCTGGTGTCCAGGGAGAGGCAACACCGCACCCAGCCCTATCCAGGGCTGGGTCCGGGGAAGCAAACAGATCACCCACCATGGCCTGCCTTTCAGACAGGACCTGGAACAGCGAGTCGTGCCACTCCAGAAGGTGGGTGTCCAGCAGGTGCCCGGAGGGAAAGGCGCGCTTGCAGAAGGAGCAGACGCTCCCGTGCAGCGAGTGATAGTGGTGCTCGTAGTCCTGCAGAGCGTCGAACACCTGGCAGCAGCCCGCCACCTGGCAGGTGAACGCGGGAACCCTGGCAAGGGAACCCAGTGAGGTCGCTGTCCCCGGCCCCGGCGGGGCCTCGGCAGCCCCTTTTGCGACCCCCTCTCCTCCTTGTAAGGCCCCTTCCCGCGGGCCAGCTGTGGGGCGGCGGCCTGCTGCGCACAGGCGGCTGCGGATGGAGCACCGGAGCACCGGGAGGGGTCAGGACGGCGGGAAGGCTCACCTGGGTCTCTCCGGCGCCCCGGCCACCTGCGTGAGCATGTCCTGGAGGTACAGGTGCCGCTGAACGTCCCCATCCTGCAGGAGAGGCGCGCCGTGGGGGGGGCTGGGCTCCAGGTGCCGCACAGCCCGGCCCCGCCCCCGAGCCATACCCCGGCCCGCCGCGCACGGGTCCCGGCCCCCGGCCCCCGCGCCCTCGGCCTCCCGCCCCGGCCCCCCGGCCCCCGCGCCCTCGGCCCCCGCCCCTCGGCCTCCCGCCCCTCGGCCCCCGCGCCTCGGCCTCCCGCCCCCCGGCCCCCGGCCCCCGGCCCCCCGGCCCCGCGCCGACGCACCTCGAAGAACGCGTGCTCCCGCGGGAAGCGCACCAGGCGCGCCGCGAAGCCGAAGGGCGCGGCCCCGGCCGCGGGGACCCGCTCCACGGGCAGCGGCTCGGCCGCCCCGGGGGCCCCGGCCAGGCGGGCGCGCAGCGCGGGCGGCAGCTGCATCGCGCCCGCGGCCCCCTGCCGGCCCCCGTCGCCCGTCGCGCCGGAAGTGACGCGCCGCGTCCCGCGACGTCGGCGCTCGGCGGGCCGGGCCGGCGGCGCCTGGGTGAGTGGGCTCGGGGCCCCCCGCCCGCCCCTGCCCCCCGCCCCCGCCCGCGGGGCCCCCCGCCCCCCCCTCGGAGCCGGCGGCGCGGTCGGGCCGCCTCGCCTCGCGCTGCGCTTTCCCGGGGCCCGGCCCGTGCGGAGCGGCCTGGGCGCCGGCTGACGGCGCTTCCGTGCGGGTCCCGGCCTCGGCCTCCCGCCCGCCGCTGCCGCGGGCGCCCCTCGGTCTCCGTGGCAGCCGGAGGGCCCCTCCCCGCCTCCAGCCCCGGGGGTGCCGCTGCGGCTGCGGGCGGGTTCCCGCAGGGACCCCCAGGTCTGTGGGGCGCCGACCCTGGGGTTCCCTTGTGTCGCGGGCGTCTGGCGTCCCTCCCCGCCGCGGGGTGCAGCTGTGAACCCCGCTCAAAGGAGCGCTCTTCACGGGCGCCCTGCCCGCTGCACGCGGGGGAGCTTCGTCCGGGGGTGCGCGCCCCTTCGCGTGTCCTGAGCAGCGTCTGTCCAGCCCCGCACCCGGCGGGCCGGGGTGTGGCGGGGGCGGCCGGGCGGGCGTTTGTTCTGCTGCCCGCGGGGCACCTGGTGGGGACTCAAAGCCGCTGGGAGGCAGCCCGGGGCTCGGGGTGCTGTCGGTGGCGCCCTGGCTGGCTCTTGAGAAAGGAACCGCTTCTCCCTGCCGGGACTGCTGCCTCCAGGCGGCTGGCCTGTGACGGGCGGGCGCCAGGCTTGCTCCCCCTTCTCCAGCTGCAGCGCACCCCCACTGCCCCCCATGGCCCGGGCTTGAGGCCACTCCGCTGCACAGCCCGCCCAGGCCTGAGCGACGGCCTTGCACCCCTTTGGCACAGAAAGCCTCGCTCCAGCCCCCGCAGCCCCCCAGCCCCAAGTGCCAGGGGTCCAGCCCAGGCCGCCCAGCACTTCCTGGCCCGGAAGCAGGGGTGTCAGGCCAGTGTTTGGTGCTTCCATAACCTGGACCGCGTGGACACAAGAGGGGTGTCCTGGGCCACACAGGGTGGACATGCTTCCTCTCGAGTCAGCACGCGCATAGCGCAGTGTTGGGCATGCTGCATCCGTTGCGCTGGACACGTTGCCAGCTGTGGGGCAACTTAGCTAGGAGTCATAACCGTTCTGGGGCCGCAGAGCCTTTGAGTGTGTCCCAAAGTCTACACAGAGGACTTGGCCTGTGACTGCCCCCCCACCGGGGGCGCTGTGGTCCACGGGTTCTGGTCAGGAGCCCTGTGGACGCCAGGTGAGAAGCGCGTGCTGTGGCATGTCGACCTCCTCGCCCATCTGTCTGCTGGGCAGTCCTTGGCGCTGAACCTAGACCTGCTGCGGCTGGGGGGCACTGATGTCTGCGCAGTGGGATCTCGGGCTTGCACCCAGAGGGTTCTGTGCTCTGTGGGGTGATTCTTGGACCCCTGCCCCACAGAGCAGGCCAAGCTGCAGGGCCCCGGCCCCCATGCTAGGCAAACAGCAGCTTCGCAAGCGCATCTTCGTGCAGAGCCAGGCCAGCCCAGGAAGGCCCTCTGAGCTGGCCAAGTGAGAAGGCTGCTCAGCCGGGCGTGAGTGCAGCTGGGCCAGAGACAGGCCTGGGCCACAGGGTGGGAGCTGGGGCTTGAAATCCGTGCTGGGGGGTTGGGCAGGGGTGCCTATGCTCTGGAGACCCAGGCCCTGCAGGGGGCTTCCCCTTGCCCAGGGCCCTGTGGGCCAGGCCACCCGTGGGAAGGAGGCTGGGCCTGGAGGGTCAGGTCCACACTGGATGTGTCAACTCCCTGAGCTGAGGCATGAGCCTTTGTTTTTTAATAAATTTTCAGGGTTTTGTGAAATCTTTCCCCTGCCTTGTCCCCCCATCCTAGAGCCTCAGCCTTGCTGCGCTGCCCACGTGCTCAGACGCCCTCTGTTTTCATGGAAGTGGCTGCTTTTCTCCATCTTTCTACTGAGGTGGTGCGGCCGTGTCTGCTCCCCTCCCAGGCAGCCTTGGGCCTGGCCTGCTGGGGCACCTGCGCCGAGCTCTTTAGGGTGAATCCGGCTGTCGCCGGGCAGCGTCTTGGGGTTCACACCTGTCCTGTAAGCAGCCATCTGTTGCCCCCGGAGGACGAGTGACACTGACATCATCCAGCCAGGACCATGAGCGAGTTCCGGATCCACCACGACGTCAACGAGCTGCTGAGCCTGCTGCGCGTCCCGGGTGGCGACGGGGCCGAGGTCTACATCGACCTGCTGCAGAGGAACCGCACCCCCTACGTCACCACCTCTGTGTCAGCACATGGTGCCAAGGTGAGCGGGCCGCACTCAGTAGTTCTGTCCACACCGGGTCTGCCCCTCAGCCCCGATGGGAGGGCCTGGTGGCACAGGTGGGCCTGGGATGGGGAGTCGCTCCAGCTGACGCCCCTTGTCCACACTGAGATAGTTTAGTGTGTTTTTCGGTTAAAGCTGCTGTGCATCAGCATATCTGTAAGTGTCAGGCCAGCCTTCATAAGCCTTCTTTAAGAGAGAGCTTTGACGTCTTTTCTTTTTAGAAGATTTATTATTTAAGCACGCAATAGCTGAGGCGTAGGCCAGAGATGGGGAGAGGTGAGAGGATTCACCAGAGATAGAACAGGCGGAGAAGAACAGGCGGATCCACTGAAATCCACTGCTGAGGGGAGCAGCAGAGAGATCTGCTGCACCCTGTGGGTCAGGTCTCTGGCTGGCGATCGAACTCAGGCTGCAGTGGCTGGCGATAGCTCGATAGTGCTTTAACTTAATCTCTGCACCACCATGGAGGGTCTGGGGTGCCGGACTGGGTGGGGATGGCCCTGGGGCTCAGGCAGCTCGTGTGGAGAGAAAAAATGTGCAGGACTCAATGCGTTTTGTTTTTTGTTTTTTATTTTTTGTGGGACCCTCGCCGGTGGCCAGGGAACGAACCAGCGCTGCAGAGGCTGCGGGCAGCCTTGCAGCCCAGCGCTCAACTGCTGCACCACCAGGGGAGGCCCTGGGGTGTTTTTTTTTTAAGTATTATTTATTTATGCATTCAAGAGCTGGGGTACAGGCCAGAGATGCGGGGGAGGGGGGAGAGGATTCACCAGAGACAGAGTGGGGAGCAGAACAGGCGGAAGACTGAAAACACTGCTGAGGGGAGCAGCGGGCGAGACAGGAGAGGTCTGCTGCGCCATGTAGGTAGCTCCCTGGCCAGCCTGGGGATTGAACTTGTTCTGCAGAGGCTGCGGATTGCTTCATAGTGCAGTGCTTAACCCCTTGCACCACCAGGGAAGCCCAACGGGGTATTTTTCAAGTGCTTGATTGTCACTGACCGGACACATTTATGCTTTTCAGGTTAAAATAGCAGAGTTTTCGCGTACTCCCGAAGACTTTTTGAAGAAATACGATGAACTAAAGTTAAAAAATACCCGGAACCTTGACTCCTTGGTCTACCTGTTGTCCAAGCTTACGGAAGACAAAGAGGCAAGTTCGCTGGGCGCCAGAAAGGGCCACTGTATCTGGGGTGGCTCATGGGGTGCAGGGTCCTAGCAGCCTGTCCCTGGCCTGACGTATGTGGTCCCCTCAGCTGGGGCAACACCTTGCAGAGCGGCTGCCTTGACACTGTCACATCACGGGACCTGCTTCCCTCACATGGCGACACGTTCCCTGCCTCAGCCCTGACCTGAGGTCATGTGGGCTGTGTTCCCTGGGCCTCATGGGTGCTGAGGGCTGCTGGTCGTTGCGCTCCAGGGAGCCTAGCCCTGCTGCCCATCTGTCTCACTGTTGCCGTGGTGCTGAGGGCAGCAGCGGGCAGGCAAGGAGGGACCTTGGCCCCTGGTGACCCCAGGCTGGAGGCAGGTGAGGCGTGGTCTCCCTGCCGCAGAGGCTGTGCCGTGGGCCCCTCCCCACTTGCCTCGGGGACATGGTGCTTGTGGCATGAAGCGCCCAGACAGGCTGCCCGTAGGAGCTGCCGCTTGCGCTGTGTAGGGCCAGGAAAGCCGGGGTGTGCGGGCTGCAGTTGAGCCATGGGGCCCCGTGTGCTTGCAGACTCTGCAGTACTTGCAGCAGAATGCCAAGGAGAGGGCGGAGCTTGCAGCCACGGCTGCCGCCAACAGCACCCCTAGTTTCGGTGCCCCCGCAACAGCCTCTAAGATCTCCGCGCAGGAGCTGGAGGAATTGAGGAAGCAGCTGGGCAGCGTGGCCACCAGCTCCACTCTGCAGCAGGTAGCTGCGCCCCGCGCAGGCCCCGTGCACACCAACACTCCCCCACCCCGTGCGGCGCCTGACAGGCGGCGCCTCTCTCCTCTCTCCCCATCTCCACACGTCTCTTCAGTCCTTGGCGCTCACGAGGAAGGCGCTCCGAGACAAGCAGAGCAAGAAGAACTCGGGCCTGCACCTGCCGGTCTTCCCGGCATGGGTGTACGAGAGGCCAGCGCTGCTTGGGGACTTCCTGGCGGGCGCAGGCCCGGAGGACACAGCGGTGCCCATAGGTGCGTGCGCCCTCCCCCACGGGCTCCATAGCCCGGCTGGCGCTTTGGCATCTTGGCCTGTGTACCCTGTGGGGCCGGCCTGGGCGGATGAAGGGCCTGGTGCACCCGCGAGCCAGGGAGGCGGGGAGTGTGTGGCGGTGGCCCCAGCTGTCTGTGCCCACAGGCTCGCTGCCCCTGGCTGCACAGGAGTCGGCCCTGGTGGAGGACCTGCTCTACGTGCTGGTGGGTGTGGACGGCCGCTATGTCACTGCCCAGCCCCTCACTGGGAGGCAGGGCCGGACCTTCCTGGTGGACCCCAACCTCGACCTGTCCATCAGGGAGCTGGTGAGCAGGATCCTCCCGGTGGCCGCCAGTTACTCCACTGTGACCAGGTAGGCGCAGCCGGGACCCAGGGGACACAGGCCATGGGCCTGCTGGGGGCATGCTGTGTCTGTCGTCCCGTCCTCCCTTGGGGGAGCTGCACGTTTGCTCCCAGCTCCCTCCAGGCATGTGTGAATGGTCAGGGCCCTGTGTTCTGACTCGTCCCCTCTGGTGCACGGTTCCTTTGGGAAAAGCTCCTGAGGGGCCGTTGCTCCCTTCTGAGGGTGGTGCCCTGGGCCGCGGGCCTTTCATCATGAGCCATGCCCACCTCTGCACAGGTTCATCGAGGAGAAGTCTTCCTTTGAGTACGGGCAGGTGAACCATGCCCTGGCGGCCGCCATGAGGACACTGGTGAAGGAGTACTTGATCCTGGTCACCCAGCTGGAGCAGCTGCAGAGGCAGGGTCTGCTGTCCCTGCAGAAGCTCTGGTTCTACGTCCAGCCGGCCATGCGTACCATGGACATCCTGGCCTCCCTGGGTATGTCTTTCGTAGCACCTTGGGGGGCCAAGGGCATGCGCCAACCTGAGGTGGGGCCCCTGGAGGTAGGACCCGGGTGGCGGGCAGAGGACCCCCCAGGCTGGGGCACTGTCTCTCACCTGGGATTCAGAGGCCCGTGCTCTATCGGTTGACAGGCAGGGGAACTGGAAACTGGCGGGCTAATTAGCAGCTGCAGCTTTGCAGTTGTGCATCTCTCCAGGATGGGAGAGGGAGGGGCCAGGGGAGCTGGGGCGGCTGCACTCGCCTCCTGAGCGACCCTCCCCCCACAGCCACAGCCGTGGACAAGGGTGAGTGTGGGGGTGGTGCGACCCTCAGCCTCCTGCACGACCGCAGCCTGAGCTATACGGGCGACAGCCAGGCCCAGGAGCTGTGCCTGTTCCTCACCAAGGCTGCCAGCGCGCCCTACTTTGAGATGCTGGAGCGGTGGATCTACAGGGGCATCATCAACGACCCGTACAGGTGGGGCTGGTGCTGTGGGGAGGGGGCTCCACCTTGCCCTTGCACCCAGCATGCGTGTGTCACGCCCACGATGAGACCTCTGGCCCGTGGGGAGTGCCTGTCGAGGTGCTTGTGGGGGAGCCATGAAAACCCAGGTGGTCCTAGAGGCGGCTCCACCGCCGGCCCCCAGAGCACCCAGCGGTCAGCTCCAGCGCGGGCTCCCGGCGCCCTGACGGCCTCCCGGCGGTGCCCGCAGTGAATTCATGGTGGAGGAGCACGAGTTGCGCAAGGAGAAGATCCAGGAGGACTACAACGACAAGTACTGGGACCAGCGGTACACGGTGGCGCAGCGGCAGGTGCCTTCCTTCCTGCAGAAGATGGCGGGCAAGGTGCTCAGCACAGGTGCGGCGCTGCAGGGCCTCCTGCCCTGGCCACTTCGCCTGTAGAAGGCTGTCCCCACCCAAAGCCTATCCTCTGCGCTCCATGCCCTGGCCAGGTGCGGGGTCACCTGAGCCTTCGTCTCCCAGATGCCCCCGGAGGGAGCCCCACCTGGCCAGCACCTTTGCAGAGCTGTCCACGAGGGTCAGGCCGCCCCACACCTCACCCTGCCCCACCTGTGGCCAGTCAGGCCAGTGACCCTCAGGGTCTGGGGGTGGTCACGAGGACACAGGTGGGGTCCCCCTGGGGAGACGAAGGGTCCCGGTGCAGGGGCTCCTGTGTCTGTGGAGTGGGGTGCGCCCTCCTGGTAGGTGGAAGCTCTGCAACCCCATTGTTAGGGTCTTTCTAGTGGCCCCGGGGGGATAGGACGGTGGCTTCAGTGACAGGTGCAGCCCCAGCTCTGCGGTCACCTCAGTCCCAGGGCTCCGTGGTCGTGGTGCTTGTGGGAGCAGAGTTCCCAGGGTTTCGGGATCTTGACCCCAGGGACAGACCCTGTCGCAGTCTCTCACACGCCAAGAGAAGTGGGCATTGTTCCAGCAGTGACCACCGCTGGCCAGGAAGCTGACTTACAGGCGCTTGCAGACACCTGGCTGAGGGCCTCGTGCCAGGTCCGAGCCCTGACGCCTAGCTGTGGGGGGTGGGGGGGCGGGCGTGTGCGAGCCTGGTCCTCACGGGGGCCTCTGGAGGCCACTTCTGTGCTCTCGGTCAGAAAGTCCCGACACAAAGGACCACAGCGGGCGCCAGCGTCTCCACTCTGTCCTCAGTGCCCATGGTGGCAGGCAGAGCCCACTGGCCATGTCCCCGACCTCAGGGTTCGAGGCTGCAGCAGCCGGGCCCAGCCAGTTTTCTGCGGAGCTCGTGACCTGCTGTCCCCTTCCAGGAAAGTACCTGAACGTGGTCCGGGAGTGCGGTCATGACGTCACCTGCCCCGTGGCCAAGGAGATCGTCTACACGCTGAAGGAGCGGGCGTATGTGGAGCAGATCGAAAAGGCCTTCAATTATGCCAGCAAGGTGCTGCTGGACTTTCTGCTGCAGGAGCAGGAGCTGCTGGCGCACCTGAGGTGGGCCCCACGGTCACGCACCCTCCCGCCTCGTCCCCCCTGCCTGGCCTCTGCAGAGTCCCTCCAGAGCCTGCCTGGAGCTGGCCCCTGTTCACCTGCTTATCACCTGACCCTTGTTGGGGCCCCGTTGGGGCAGGTAGTATCCCGCCCCACCCCCACCCTCCGGTGGGCGCCCTCTGCCCGCGCCTGCTCTCCCCACTGATGCATCCTGCCCCACCTGGCAGGTCCATCAAGCGCTACTTCCTGATGGACCAGGGGGACTTCTTCGTGCACTTCATGGATCTCACGGAGGAGGAGCTGAAGAAGCCGGTGGACGACATCACACCTACGCGCCTGGAGGCGCTGCTGGAGCTGGCCTTGCGCATGAGCACCGCCAACACCGACCCCTTCAAGGATGACCTCAAGGTGGGCCGGCCCGCCGCGCCCTCTGCCTGTCCCTGCCGCGCCCTCCGCCCTCCAGGGCAGGCCCCGCCCCATCCGCAGGGTCCCCGATAAGGGCTGGCCCCCTGCTGCTGGCACTGGTTTGGCTTCGTGCTCGGGGTCACCACGAGCCTGGGGGCTCCCCTGCGGACAGGGCTCCCACAAGCCGTGGGTGGCGCTGGGCCCAGGGGTGTCCTGGTCGGTGCTGGGCTATCCCCAATGGTCTCAGGATTCATGCGCTAGGGTGTGGGGGAGCCAGTGCTCGAGCCTCTGTCCGCGAGGTTGACGGCCACACCCGGCCTCCACGTCTCGTTTGGTTCATGGCGTCTCCCCTTGCGGTGGCGGCTGCCTGTGGCCTCTCAGATCCGGTTTTCGTCTTGTCTGCGTCTTGTTTCCGAGAGCCTCGGGTGCTGTCGCCACTTTTTGTGCCAACACTGAGGTGGGGGAGGGGCCTGCTTCATGGGTGCCCTGGCCCGGGACGTGTGGCCCCGGGGGTTTCTGATCTCCCTTCACTTCCCCTTTGACCAGTCTCAAGCCTGTGATCCTCACAGCGGTGCTTCTGCTTTTGGGGTGGCGTCTGGCTCGCCTGGGGCGAGAGGACACCACAGCTGCTGAGGCAGGTGGCGCCCCCGTGGCACCCCCGCCCCGGTCACCAGGGGGTCCTGGCTTGTCTGACGCAGTGGTGGTTTCTCGCTTACTCACTGGCATCTCCCGAATTCCTCTTCTCTCTGTGTGCAGACGGGAGCGGCCAAGCTTTTGAATCATGGCTGAGCAGGGTGCGGCTGTGTGCCCGGGGCTTCCCGCGCGCCTGAGTTTGCCCTTGGCAGCTGCTGCCGTGGGTGGGGCCGGAACTGATGCTGTGTCTCCCCGCAGATTGATCTGATGCCTCACGACCTCATCACCCAGCTGCTGCGGGTGCTGGCCATCGAGACCAAGCAGGAGAAAGCCATGGCCCAGGCCGACCCCACCGAGCTCACGCTGAGCGGCCTGGAGGCCTTCTCCTTCGACTACGTCGTTAAGTGGCCGCTGTCGCTTATCATCAACAGGTGAGCGGGATGGACTGTGAGCTCCATGCCGCCGGGCCCGCCTCCCTCCCGGCTCGGGCCACGGCCACCTGCTGGCCAGCTGCAGACCTGCGCTCAGCCCGCCTTGCCCAGAGCTCCCGGCCAACCTGGCCACTGGGGCCTGTCCCAAGCCGTTGCCTCCCTCCCGCCCCAGGAAAGCCCTGACGCGCTACCAGATGCTCTTCCGGCACATGTTCTACTGCAAGCATGTGGAGCGGCAGCTGTGCAGCGTGTGGGTCAGCAACAAGGCCGCCAAGCAGAGCTCGCTGCACTCGGCCAAGTGGTACGTCCCGCCTCAGGAGCTGTGCTGGGCCGAGAACCTGCCAACACCGCCCGCGAACTCCAGGTCGCGCCTGTGCACGTGCACGGGACAGGCCTCTGGCCCCGCGGCCAGCTGGGCAGTGTGGTCAGGAGCCGGTTCCAAGACTGGCACCCCCAGGGCTGGAATGTGGACCGAGGGGGCAGCGCCTCCTGATGCTCCCCAATACTCCCCATGTGCCCTCAGGTTTGCCGGGGCCTTCACGCTGCGCCAGCGAATGCTCAACTTCGTGCAGAACATCCAGTACTACATGATGTTTGAGGTCACGGAGCCCACCTGGCATGTCCTGGAGGAGAACCTGAGAGGCGTGAGTCCGCCGAGCCAGGGCGCCACCGTGACTCCGGGGGCGCGTGTGGGGCCTGTGCCAGGGCCTCGGGTTCTGGTCAGTGCGTGTGGGTGTGTGCGGGGAGCCCTCGGGGTCCCCCCCAGCTCCTCCCAGGCCTGCTGGGACCCATCCCCGTGGGAAGTGTCTCTCCCGCTTTCACCCGCGACCAGGGTGGGGGCCGCCCCGGGCATGTTGAGAATGATCAGGCCCCACAGGCCACAGGGTGGTGCAGTCGGGGGTGGAGGGTGACCACCTCGGGGGCACTGAGCCGGCTCCCCACAGGCCTCCAACATCGACGACGTGCTGGGCCACCACACGGGTTTCCTGGACTCCTGCCTCAAGGACTGCATGCTCACCAACCCCGAGCTGCTCCGGGTCTTCTCCAAGCTCATGTCCGTGTGCGTCATGTTCACCAACTGCATGCAGGTGCCCGTGCCCCACCCCGCGCCCCCCTGGCTTCCCCCACTCCGCCCCCGCGTCAGGACTTGAGCCATGGGGCCTACTGACTGGTCTCTTCGCCCTGTGGCCAGTGCTTGCCCAGCAGGGGCAGCGCCTGAAGCTAGCACGGCAGGCAGAGGGCTGCGCGAGCAGGAGAGTGGGCACCCAGCTCCTCGGGGTCGGGAAACAGCCGCGCAGACAAAACTACTCCTGAGTTCGGGCGGGGACTTGGGGCAGTGTCACCGGCGCCCGCCCGCCACCCCCGAGGAGAGCAGGGGCTCACATGGGGTCGCAGAGCCAGCAGGCACCTGTCCCCAGCAGGCCCTTCTCTCCCCAACACCAGAGGTTCACACAGAGCATGAAGCTGGACGCCGAGCTGGGCCGGCTGACGCTGGAGCACGGCACGATGCTGGGGCCGCCCACGGAGCCCGAGCTGGCAGAGGAGCGCGCCCGGAAGGAGCTGGCCCGGAAGGTGCGCCCTGCGCTGGGCTGGGGACCCCAGAGCTGCCGCCCCAGAGCCACACCCCCGCCCTTCATGCCCACCTTTGCTTGGCCCCAATTGCAAGCCCAGAGGTTCACTGGCTACGGGTGCCTGGGGTCGGGGTGTGGGGAGGGCCATGTGCCGGCAGGTGCCAGCCCCGAGGCCTTTGTGGGGGGTGCAGGGGCCCAGCGCCCCCCGACAGCCTCCCTGTGGTAAGCAGCCCACGTGTTGGGGGGGGTACATGCCTGCACCTCCCTGTCCCCCACGAGGCTGCTGCTCCACCCCTTCCCTGTGACGGAGTCGCCTGAAACCACTTTCTTAAACGCGGGGAGGGGTCGGGAGGAAGAGGCGGCTGCCGGGGCGCCAAGGGGTGGGAACTCACTCCGCCTTCCAGCACCTGGCCCAGCATGCAGACGCGCCCCAGCTGGCCTCCGGCTTCGAGGCCACCATCAGCAAATTTGACAAGAACTTCTCAGCCCACCTGCTGGACCTCCTGGCCCGGCTGAGCATCTACAGCACCAGCGACTGTGAGCACGGCATGGCCAGCGTCATCTCCAGGTGGGCCCTCGCCGGGCGGACCCCAGGCACCCCGCTGCTGCCACGCGAACCTGCTCAGGTCACGGCCTGACGGGCAGGACGCCCAGCCCGCCTGCGCCAGCCCCTGACGGGCCTCCCCCTGGGGCCCCTGGGCATCCCGGGAGCGGCGTGCGGGTCCCACGGGGTGTGGGAGTCGGGGAGTGTGATGGGGGCCCTTGAGGAGCAGCCGGGGCACAGGTGGGGGCAGCAGGCCCACCGGTGGCGCTTCTGCGCTCGGGTGCTGGGGCCCGTGGAGCCCAGCTCAGCCTGGGCCCCCAGTGGGGCTGGGGTGCTGGGAGCCCCACGTCCAGGGCCTGGATCAGGGTGAACCAGCACGGGCTGCGGGCAGGAGCCCGTGGGCGTCTGCGGGCAGCGGGGCTAGCTCGGCCCGGGCCGCCAGGCTCAGCAGTGCCCTCGCTCCCTGCAGGCTGGACTTCAACGGCTTCTACACCCGGCGCCTGGAGCGCCTGTCCGCAGAGCGCAGCCAGAAGGCCGCCCCTCCCGCCCCCGGCCCCCGGGGGGCCCCTGCCCCGGCGCCCAGGGTCGCGGTCCCAGCGCAGTGAGACGCCAGCCGCCCTGCCTGCCTGCGGCCCCGGCGCCCGCCCGCCGTCCACGCGCAGCGGCGCGTCCTCTCGCTTGTATTTTTACCTCAAATAAAGACAGTGAAAAACCCCATTTGAGCAACATGGAGATGGCGACCAGCGTGACCTGGGGGGCTGCTCTGCGGGGAGGGCCGAGGGGTTGGCCGAGGCCTCTGCTTGGCGGCCACGGGACCCGCCTGTCCCTGTGCCCCCTGCTGCCGTGAGCACCTCAGCTGCAGACGGGCAGGAGTCCCCAGGCTGGGAGCGGGCGCAGACCCTCCTGGCTGGGCCTCGGCGGCACCCCAAGGCGCGGGGGCACCCAGCGGCACAAGCCGAGCTCACCACAGACCTCAGGGCACCCCTGTGGGCAGGTTGCCCCTCATTGGGCCCGTGACCCCCAGAGGAGCGGCTGTCCCCCAACACAGGGCCGGGCCTGATGGTCGCCCGCGGGCTGACCCCGTTCCTGGAGCTTCGAGTGGCCCTGAGTCCCGCACAGCCCACTGCTGGGCCCCGCGGGGCAGCTTCCTGGCGCTGCTCCCCACCTGCCCCTCACCTCCTGCCCGCGGGGCCCCAGTTCCGGCAGGGGCGTCTCGGCGTGGGGGCTCTGGCCTGTGTCTTGGGGAAGCTGTTCCCACACCCCAAGTCCGGGCTCACGGGGCAGACCCGCCCTCGGCTGCCACCCTCTGCCTCCGCCTCCCGTCGTCATTGGCCAGGGCCCAGGGGCAGGTCTCTGGGGCGGGGCCGGGGCAGGAGCCCGCGGTGTCCAGCCGCCCAGTGCCCGCCACCACCGCACGCCTGGACCCCGAGCGCCTCCGGCTCCATCCTCACCCCACCGCGGCGGTCACTCAGCCCGGCATGCGCGGCCCTGGGCTCTGGCTGCTGGGCGCGCTGTGGCTGCAGGGTGAGTGCGGAGGGCAGGGGGCCGCCCATCCTCGCCGCCCTGGGCGCTCACCCGGCCTCCCTGGGCGCTCGCCTGGTCTCCTGTGCCCGGCGCTGTGGCACGGTGCCGGCTGGTGACGGGGGGAGGGGCGCCAGCAGCGCGGAGATGGGAACCTTCAAAGGGGAACTGGGAGAGCCGCGCCCTGGGTGTTTCCTGAGCTCTCGGTGGGGACAGGCCTGGGGCCAACCAATCGTGGAGGACCTGCCCCTTGGAGTCGCCCGGAGCGGGGGAGGGGAGGCCAGCGCCCACCCCGCCCCCCGCCCCGAGAGGGTCCTGAGCGGAGGCTGGCACCCACCACGCTCAGCCCCAGGCAGGTGGTGCCGGCTGGTCCTCCCGCCTCGCCCCTGGAGTTTGTGGGGGACATACCTGGGGGTGCTCAGTGCGGGCAGAGCCGTCGGGCGCTGGCCGCCGTCTGGGTGGACACAGGAGTCTGGGATCTGGGCTGAGGGAGCTGCCTGCGGGCCGTCGCTCCCCAGAGGTTCAGCTGTGATCAGCTGAGACGAGAAGGCACAGACCAGGGCTGGAGGGAGCCGGTTGGGGGGCCTGTGGGGCCCAGACCCCCCACTGGGACCGGGTCCTGCCCGCCACGCCAGGGCAGTGCCCCTGAGAAGGAGGGGCTCCCAGCCAGCAGGGCCCTGGGCGCTGGCTGAACCCCTCTTCCCCACAGTCACCGCCCCCAGCACTGCCCTGCCCCCGGGACAGCAGTTCCAGGTGGTTCGGCCCCTGCGCCTGCCCGAGCCCCGAGCCCGCCGGGCCCTGCCGTCCCACGCGGTGAGTCCTTGCCCCCACCCGGCTTCTGCCCGAGCCAGAGCCCCCCTGGTGCCGGGGGGCTGCCTCGGTGCCAGGCCTCAGCCAGAAGCCGCCTTCCCCGCCCAGCCACACCCCACGCCCTGGGGCGCAGAGCGGATTCCTCTGCACACCCTTCCGGGCCAGCGGGTGGGCAGCGAACCCAGAGCGGGGTGCTGGCCTGGGGCAGCCCTGCGGCGGCCGTGCCGGGTGGTGTGTGCGGGTGACCTGCGCGGTGTGGGCCACGTACGGCAGGTGTGTGCACATGTGTGTGTGCGGTGAGTGTCTAGGGGCCACTCACGTCCTGCCCTCCGACCCAGGGAGAGCCCGCCACTGCCGGGGCTCTCCACCCGCCCGGCCCTGCTCTGCCCCCTGGGCTGAGTCCCACAAGCCGCCCCCCTCACGCCTGGCTGCCCGGCCGTTGGCCTGTCCGTGGGGCTTCTCCCTGCTGCTGCCCAGGCAGGAGGCTGGAGCCAGGCCTGAGGAGACCTCGTGCTCGCATGGGGCTCCCGCCTCCCTCGGGCCGCCCAGGAGACCCGGGGCTTTCTCGCTTGCCACTGCGCCACCCGGGGCCCTCTGAGGCTGGGACAGGGTCCCTCATTTTGGACTCCCCCCTTTCCCCTGTTCAGGGCCTGTACCCAGAAAGTGTGAGCTATGTCCTGGGGGCTCGCGGGCACAACTTCACCCTGCACCTGAGGAAGAACAGGTGAGGGGGCCGGTCCCTCCTGGCTGGGCCCACAGGGCCTGCCCCCCCAGCACACCCGTGCCCTGGGCATGGGCCCCACCCCAGCTCTTTCTGGCCAGATCAGCCCAGGCCCTCGGGGTGACCAAGCTTCTGGGGGCAGGTGGCACCCCAGTTTCCTCAAGGGCTCTTTTCCAGGGACCTGCTCGGCTCCGGCTACGTGGAGACCTACACAGCTGCCAACGGCTCCCAGGTGGCAGAGCAGCCACCCTTGCAGGTCTGTGGCCAGCAGGCTGGCCCCGGGCGGCCACACAGGGTGGGGAGGGCGCAGGGGAGGGCACAGGGCAGGGGTGGGGCGCAGGGAGCACAGTGGGGAGTGGGGCTGGGGGCACATGCGGGGAGGGGCTGCGGCATGGGGGCAGTGTTGGGGGGGCTCTGGGGAGTGGAGGGGGCAGTGCGCAGCCCCACCCTTCTCCCTCCTCCCGCAGGACCACTGCTTCTACCAGGGCCACGTGGAGGGGCACCCACACTCTGCCGCCAGCATGAGCACCTGCGCTGGCCTCAGGTGGGGCGCAGATGGGGGTGGGGATCCCAGTCCCCAGTGTCCCCTCACCTTACTCCTCAGGCAAGAGGCCGGGCGCCTGGAGCCGCCCGTCCCGTCCGAGCTGAGCCTCCCGGCCTGCCAGGGCCCCTGGCCCCAAGGGGGCAGGGCTGGCGGGGCACTAATCCAGCACCCTGGGTCTCAGGGGCTTCTTCCAGGCAGGCCCGGCCGCTCACCTGATTGAGCCCCTGGACGGGGCGGGCGAAGCGGGGCCGCACGCGCTGTACGAAGCGGAGCAGCTGCCGCCCACACTGGGCACCTGCGGGGTCAGCGACGCCAGCCTGGAGCACGTCCTGGGGCCACGCATCTCGGCCGCCCTGAGGCCGCGGGTGAGGAGGCTGACCACCTTGTTCCCGTGGGCACTCAGTCCTGTCACTGCCCTCTGGGTCACGTGTCCAGACCCCATGTCTCAGCAAAGTGCGGGTGCTGTGTCCCCTGCCCGTGGGCCCAGCCCCAGCAGCAGCTCTAAGACGGGGGGCCAGGGGCGGTGAGCACGTGGAGACCGGCCGAGCCAGACAGCCGACCCACTCTGTCACTGCTCCCCAGAACTGGCCGCCGCCCCGAGAGACCGGCTACGTGGAGCTGTACGTGGTCGTGGACAAGGCAGCGGTGAGGAGCAGGGTGGATGCTGGGTGGGCAGGGCTGGGGCGAGGGTGGGGCCCGTGGGGCGGCGGCCGCTCCAACCCGAGGGCCTCCCGTCTTCAGTTCCAGGTGTCAGGAAGCAGGGCGGCGGTGCGCCAGCGGGTGCTGGACGTGGTCAACCACGTGGACAAGGTGGGGTCCCTCCAGGGACTGCGCGGGGCGCCTCCAGCAGGCTCCGGGAGCCCGGGGCACAGGGGTCCTTCTGGGATGGGCAGCACCCTGCCCACTACAGACCCTGGTTATGGGGGCGCCGGGGGCAGGGGACCCGGGGCGCAGGTGCCGCCATCAGCCGCGGAGGGACGGAGCGGCTCGCTGGGCAAGGCGGCCCTGGGCCCTGTCAGCGGGGTCCTCGGCCCGGCCCGGACTCCTTGTCCTTTCCCAGCTGTACCGGGAGCTCAACCTCCGCGTGGTCCTGGTGGGCCTGGAGATCTGGAACGACAGGAACAGGATCGACGTCAGCCCCGACCCCAGCGCCACCCTGGACAACTTCCTGGCCTGGCGGGCGAGGGACCTGGTGGGGCGGCACCAGCACGACAACGTGCAGCTCGTCACGTGAGGGGCCCTGGGGGGCGGCGGGGCTGGCGCAGAGCCGGACCTGGCCGGCTGACGGAGGCAGGGCCGGCCCCGGCGCTGAGGGTGGCAGGGACAGGCCGGCCGGGTCGGGAGGGGTGCCCTTGACACTGGTCCTTTCCAGCGGGATCGACTTTGAAGGAAGCACCGTGGGGCTGGCCAGGGTGTCCACCATGTGCTCGGGGGCCTCCGGGGCTGTGAACCAGGTGTGAAGGGACCCCCACCCGGGTTTTCCACACAGGCTGGAGTCCACTGCTGGGGGCTGGGCGGGGGGCGAGGCCAGCAGAGCCGGGGCCCAGCGCACCTGCTGGCGGGCTGCTGCCGTGCCGCTGAGGTGTGTTTGGCAGGACAAGCCGCCCCTCGTCCCCGCCAGGGGCAGTGAGCACGGCCTCTGCCTGCAGGACCACCACCGGCACCCCATGGGCGTGGCGTCCACCATGGCCCACGAGATGGGCCACAACCTGGGCATGGACCACGACCAGAACGTGCAGGGCTGCTACTGCCCGGTGCCCACCGAGGACGGCGGCTGCGTCATGTCGGCCACACTCAGGTGAGGGCGCCGTCCAGTGAGGGCCCCGCCTGCCCGGCCGCGCAGCGCCCTGACGGCCCCTCTGCAGCCCCAAGTTCCCCAGGAGGTTCAGCCACTGCAGCCGGGCCGACCTGGAGACCTTCGTGGAGAAGAGCCCTGCGAGCTGCCTGGGAAACCCCCCGGACCCCGGCCGGCTGGTGGGCGGCCCCGTGTGCGGGAACCAGTTCCTGGAGCGGGGGGAGCAGTGCGACTGCGGGACACCCCAGGTACAGGCCGCCCCCTCTCCGGCAGCACGGGCGCCCCCCCGGCCGCGGACCAGCGCTCTGCGGTCACCGCCGCGGGCCGTGCACCCTCCAGCTCCCTGACCCCGAGGCGAGCCCGGGGAGGGAGTGGCCGTGGCCCCGGAGGGCTCAGCCGCGCTGGAGGGTTGGGGCGCTGGCATGGGCCCCCGGGAGCCCCGCTTTCCGCCGTCTCTGCGTGGTGCCCCCAGGAATGTCGGAACCCCTGCTGCAACGCCACCACCTGCCAGCTGGCCGAGGGGGCTGAGTGCGCACAAGGGGCCTGTTGCCAGCACTGCAAGGTGGGGCCCGGGTGCCCCCGCCTCCTGCATGCCCCCCCACCCCGGGTGCCCCCGTGCCCACGCCGGCCTCCTCTGCCGGGCCAGGTGAAGCCGCCTGGGGAGCCGTGCCGTGCGGCCAGGGACACATGCGACCTGGAGGAGTTCTGCGACGGCCAGCAGCCCGCGTGCCCCGAGGACGTCTTCCAGGAGAACGGCAAGCCCTGCCCGGGCAGCTACTGCTACGAGGGTGGCTGCCCCACGCTGGCCGGGCGCTGCCGGGACCTGTGGGGGCCAGGTGAGGCGGCAGCCCTGAGCGGCAGGGCGGCGCGGGCTGGGGCGGGCTCGGCCTGACCAGCTGCGCCCACAGGCGCCCGGGCCGCCGCGGAGAGCTGCTACCGTTACAGCATCTTGCCCGGCTGCAGTGGCGGGACCAGCTCCGGAGGGTGAGGGTCCCCCGGCTGAGCCCCTGGGCTCGGGGTGCGGGATGACGGTGCGGGGCCCCCGGGGCCCTCCACACAGAGGGGTCTGGCCCCTGCCTTCCCGGGCCTTGGGCCTGGGCTGCCCGGCGGGTCCTGCGGCGTGGGCGGCCCTGGCGTCCTGGGAGCGCGGCCCCATCAGCAACCCCACAGCTTGTCCAGGGCGCTGGGTCTCCTCCACAGCCCCCCGTGTCCTTAGTGGGCGGCGGGGCAGTGCCGGGCAGGCTGGCCCACACGCCCCCTGTCCGCAGTGCTGGCAGGTGCGGGGTCCTGTTCTGTGAGGGGGGGCAGAGGCCCCAGGGGCGCAGCTCCTGCACCCTCACTGTCGCCTCGGACTCCTGCCAGGCTCTGGGCCTGGATGACGCTGCCTACGAGCCGGTGCCCGAAGGCACCAGGTGTGGTGAGGACAAGGTGAGTGTCCCGGCTCTGCCAGACGTGCCCCCAGGCCAGGGCTGTGCAGCCCGGGTCTGGTACCCCTCATGCCTGGCCGGGTCCATCGGGCAGGCCCAGTCCAGGAGGGCCGTGCTGTGACCCCTCATTCTCAGCCGCACCCAGAGGGGTTGGGGTGCCATTGATGTGGCTGCCCCAAGGGTCGCAGATGCCCGGGGTGGGGCCTGGTGGCTGCAGCCGTCAGCTGCCCCACCCTGGAGCTCACCGCCAGTTTCAGGGTGTTTGGCTTGTAAGGGAGGGGCTAGGGTCTGGACCGGCCTCCTGAATGCCCCCCTCTCTCCCAGGTGTGCTGGAGGGGGCAGTGTCGGGACCTCCAGGTGTACAGGAGAAGCTGCTCCTCTGGGTGCAGCCACCATGGGGTACGTGGGCCCACGTGCTGCCACCAGCCCACTGAGGCCTGGGTGCAGGGCTGTGGGAGAGACCCTGGCTGGCGCTGCACCCGCAATGGCCTGCTTCCCAGGAAGCCCCTCCCTGCCCCTGCGGGCCCCTCCCGGCCGGCCTGGGCTGTGTGGTCAGCACCCCTACCTGTCTGGGCAAGGCCGGGTCACAGGCCCGGGTGAGGACAGCATGCCCGGCCAGTCCTTGGCAGCGCCACCCCCATGCCCAGGTGTCCACGGCCAGGAGAGTCTCAGCAGGCTCTGTCCAGGCCCAGTGCCTGAGTGCCCCTGCCTGTCCCCAGGTCTGCAACCACAAGGGCCAGTGCCACTGCCAGCCAGGCTGGGCCCCACCTGACTGTGCCCAGCAGCTGACCCACACACGTCCAGGTAGGGCTCCCGGCTCCCCCAGCTTGCGGTCCTCCAGAGGCTGCCCTGTCCTGCCCACCTGGGTGGACGTGAGGGGGCGGCTTCACCCACCCTGGCGCCTCACTGAGGGGTCTGCGGTCCCTGCGTGCCCACCCCAGGACTCGACGGCCCAGGACCTGTGTCTGCAGTCAGCCCATCGGGCTGGGCAATGGCAGCCTTCTCAGGCCTGGGGCCTGGGGCTACTGACCGTGTGGCTGCCCACTGCGTTGGCGCGTTGCGACCCGTCTCTGTGGGTCCGGGGTCTCGACCACCAAGCCCCCGATCTGTGGCCTGTCTTGTTCCTTTAGGGAGGGGCCCAGAGCTCTGGGCACTGGTTTCTGTGCAGCCAGGGCGGGGCCTGAGAAAGTGTCCCCACTTTGGCCTGGGGCTGAGCCTCCTGGTCCCTTGACCCTCCTGGTCCCTTGACTGTGGCCTCGTGTGTCTGCAGCATCCGGAAGCTTCCCGCTGGGTGTGCTGGTGCCCGGGCTGCTCCTGGCGACCCTGGCGCTGTCCCTGGCAGGCGTGCTCATCCACCGCAAGCTCCGGAGGAGGTGAGGCCTTGGCGGCCCCAGGCAGAGGGGGCGCGGGCAGCACCGTCGTCGCCAACCCCCGCACCCTCCTGGCAAGCACTGCTGGTGACTTGGTGACCTGGCCCTTGGGTGCCGTGGCCCCGGCAGCGGAGTCTGGGGGCTCTGCTGGCCCAACAGGACATGCCTCCCAGTGGCCTCCACGGGCCTCCGCCTGGCCAAGCGGGCTCCAGAGCCGAGGGCCCGGACCAGAGGCTGCCTCGCCCCACTCAGAGGGTCCCGTCTCGGGTGGCTGCGGCTCAGCGCGAGCCCGGCCACTCTCGGACCCAGGCCGGTTTCTCCCCAGGAGCCCGGAGCCCAAGGCGGCCGTGGGGCTCTCCAACCCCCTGTTCCACGCAGGGGGCAGCGCACCATCCACGGTCGCCCAAGTCCCAGAGCTGGCCCCCACCACCCACCCCCTCCAGCCCTCCCAACCCGCAGCTTCTGCAGTGGCCCCTAAGCGGCCACCGCCGGCGGTAAGTGAAGCAGCCGGGCCGCCCCACCCGTGCCAGCCCGTGGCCCCTGCTCCCGGCTCCGAGGAAGAGGCCCAGGGAGGGGCTCGGGGCTTGAGCCTATGGTGGCGCTGGCCTCTGCCGGTCCATCTGGGGGCTCGGAGGCCCCGCCGCCCAGCAGGGGACACGCGTCCACACACGGAGGGGTGGGAACGTGGGTCACACGTCCGCTCAGGACAGACACTCGCACTCGGCCGCGGTGCAGGCTCTCCAGCGAGGCGTGGCCCCGCCAGGCGCCGGGGGCGAGGGCAGCTCTCGGGCTCACAGCCCTGCTCCCGCAGCCTCCGGCCGCCCTGTCCAGCACCCCCTTCCCGGTACCTGTGTACACGTGGCAGGCCCCAAACCAGGTAGGTGGGGGCTGCGGCCAGAGCCCCAGGCTGCCTGGGAGGGGCCGTCGGGGCGGGTCCTGGGCTGACCCGCTGCTCCTCCCTCCAGCTCAGACCCGCACCCCCAACCAAGTCGCTCCCGCAGCTGAAGCCCAAGCAGGTGAGCCCCCTCCAGCACCTGTGCCCCCTCTCCACCCTCCCTATCCGCCTCGAGACCTGGGCTCCCTGGGGCGAGGCTTTGGGTGTTCGGAAAGCTCTCTCCCGAATGTGGGCCATGGGGGCCAGTCAAGGTGCACTCAGTTCCCAGGCCCAGGGCCCCTGCAGTGTTGGGGTTCCGCCGCCGGCATGGCTCCCCAGCGGAGGGCCTTCCCTGGCGCCCTTCCCAGGCCCTGGCCGCCGTCCCTTCCCTCAGGCTGCTGAGGGGCCTGGCTGGGGGGTTCTCAGCGGTGCAGCCCGGGCTCCTGCCTCCCCAGGTTGTCAAGCCCACCTGCGCACCCCCGATGCCGCCCGTGAAGCCCAGGCCTGGAGAGGCCCATCCTGGGCCTGCTCAGGTGAGCCCACCCGGGCTGCGGGGCTCCCCAGGCCGCTGGCCCGCAGCCCCAGGGGCCGGCCCTTGGCCCGACTGGTCTGAGAAAAGAGCCAGCGCTGCAGTGGGGTGACCCTAACAGCCGCCTGGCCCGAGGCTCCGCCAGCAGGGCCTTTCCGCAGCGCCCCTAAGTGGCAGCGCCCACCCCATCCCCCCACCCCACCTGCCCACCCCCCACCCCCCTTCTCACCCCACCCCCTCCTACCCCCACCCCACCTCCCCATCCCCCCACTGCCGCCCCCCATCCCCCAACCCTCTCGGGCCTCCTGCGGCTTCCGGGTGGCTCTGACGTCACTTCCCCTCCCTCCCCAAGGGCCCCGCAGGCGCCAGGGGTGCGCTGAAGCCCCCCGCCCTGCGGAGGTGACGAGGCCGCGCACCCTGGGGTGGGGGCGCGCCTCCCCGCCCGCTGCGTGAGCCCCGCCGGGCCGCGTCCATCCCGTCGAGCCGCTTCAGCACCCCCGGTGGCCGGCACAGCTGGGGGGGGCCGGTGCACCCCGGGAGGCTCTGCCCTGCGGCTCCCGCCCAGCGAGCGTCTGCGGCGGCCGGGGGAGCTGCGCCCGCGCCTGGCCCCCGGCCCCTGCCACCCCGCGCCTCCCCCCCCACCCCGCGCCCCCCGGGGCCACCCCGCGCCCCTGGGCCACCCCGTGCCCCCCTCCAGCCTCCCCGCGCCCCCGCACCCCCGCGCCCCCGGGCCACCCCGAGCCCCCCCGCCCCCCCCCCCCCCCGCGCCACCCCGCGCCCCCGGGCGCCCCCATGCCTGCCTCCCGCCGCCAGGGGCAGCCAGGCCGGCCTGGTGTCGTGTCCCGAGGGCTCCGGCCGGCCCCGCCGGGGGCGTCTCCGGGCTCACCCCCCCCCCGCCCCCCGCCCGGGGGCTCGCGGCGGCGCCCAGACGTTCCTCGGAACTCGGGGCTCACGATTAAATTATTGATGAAGTTCTAAACGACGGGATCCTTTTCTTAAAAAAATGTTTGTTTATTCCTGCACGCACGAGGGGGGCGGGGGCTCCCCAGGGACAGTGGGGCGCGGAGCAGGCGGCTCCCCCGAAGCCCGCCGCTGGGGCCGCGGGGGGGCGGGGCCTGCCGCGCCCCGGGAAGCTCCCGGCCGGGGATCGAACTCAGGCCGCAGAGGCTGCGGAGCGCTGCACGGCGCGGGGCTTCACCCCTGCGCCCCCGGGGGCCGGCGGGAGGCTTCTCCGGGGGCGGAGCGGGCGACGCCAACGCGGGGTTCGGGGCCGGGCGCTCGGGCGCTGCCCGTTACCCCGGAGCGCGCCCGCCCCGCCCCCAACCCCTGGCCCCGCCCCAACCCTCACGGCCCCGCCCCCGCGCTGCCGGCCCCGCCCCCGCGCTGCCGGCCCCGCCCCCGCGCCGTCTCCCGGCAACGCCCCGACGCGGCCTGCCGCCATGCCGGGCGCCGCCACGCCGATCCCGCCGGCCCCGCCGCTGCCCCGCGGCGCGCTGCGCGGCCTCCACGCCTGGCTGGACGCGCTCCCGCTCGGCCGCCGCAGCGCCGCCGCCTGGCCCGGGACTTCAGCGACGGCGGTGAGCGCGGGCCGCGGCGGGGGGCTGCAGCCCCGGGCGGGGGCGCCCACGTGGGTGGGAGCGGCGGCGCCCACGCGGATCCTCCCGGCTTCCCCGGGGCGGGGGGCGCCTGGCCCCGGCGCGCCTCTGACCCCAGGCCCGGCCTCAGCCCCTTTCCCTGGGGCGTCTGCAGCCGCTGGGCTGGCCCCGTCCCCGGGAGCCCCGCCCGGGCACTGGGCCCTCCCGGCGCCTCGGCCCGCGCCGCCCCGCGAGCCCCGCCCGCCCGCAGTGATGCTGGCGGAGATCGTGAAGCTCCTCCGCCCCGGCTCGCGGACCTGCACAACTACGTGCCCACCTGCAAGCTCAGCAGCCGGAGCATCCTCAGCAGGCAGGCCCCGCCCCGCCCCGCCCCGCCCGCGCGGTGACAGCGGGACACGCGGCCGCGGGGACGGCCGGCAGTTGGGCGGCCGGAGGGTGGCGCCAGGGAGGCTGCGGCGAAGGTTGGCGTGGGGTCCAGTCCCTGCGAGGGCGAGGGCGCAGCTGGGCAGCCACTGGCGGCCGCCAAGGAGGAGCTGGCTGCTACCCTGGGGCTGGGGGCCCGGGCCGGGCCGGGAGGGTCCCCATGGGGCTCATTTCAGGGTTACCAAGGGAGAGGAAACTGGGGCCCCACGGCCGGGGACGGAGCTGCCCTGCCCTGGGGAGGAAATGAGGGGTCGCAGGGACCGGCGGGACACCCCGCAGACCCAGGCCAGCCAGCGGGAGGATGGCGCAGCCTGGTCCCCACGCCCACGGGCGAGGCCACCCGCCAGCACTGCTGCCCCGTCCTGGTCCCGCGCAGGACACCTGGCTGAGGCTGGGGGCAGCCCCTTCCCTTGCAGGAAAGTCTTTCACAAGCTCCGTTTCTGCGTCTCGGAGGCGGATATCCGGAAGGTGGTGGCCAACACGCCCGGGGCCATCGAGCCCATCCTGTGTGTCCTGAGGGAGAAGGTGGAGGCCAGCACCCGGGACCGGCCGGGCACAGCCGTAGGTGCCCCTGCCTGGCCGGCGGGCCTGGGCCTCCTGGCCACCCCAGCCACCCCCAGAGGAGGACAGGGCTGCCCTGGTCCCCTCACTGTGCCCCCTTGGGAACCTTTGCAGGGCCCACGACGCTCCACTGGCGACGCCGACAGGCCCCGGGGGGGTTCGCCCCCCCCAGCACACACAGGTAGTATCCAAGCCCCTGTGTGGGAGCCCCCACATGAAGCCCTTCCCAGCCCGGCCCCCAGGAGGGCACTTGGGGCCCAGTGCCCCAAGGACTCTGAGCACTTGGGGCCCAGTGGCCAAGCAGACCCCAAGCGGGTAGCTCCTCCGGGGCACAGGGGACCCCACTCCAGCCTCCTGAGTGGGCTTCCCCACGGGCCTGGGGCTGCCAGCAGGCAGGGTCCTGCCAGGGCGTGGTTGGCAGCTGGGGGGGGGGCCGCGGAGCCCCAGGGCCTGGTCCCGTCTCACTGTCTGGCAGGCCGGCAGGACCCCCCACGCCCTCTGGCACAAAGACCCTCGGGAATGAGCCACCTCCAGACACTCGCTACTGCACAAGGGGGGCTGTCCCCTGTCCCCCCGCCCCGCGTGCCTGCTGACGGCTGCTGGCCCTCCAGACGCCCGGAACCCGTGCTGCCGCCGCAGCTGGAAGAAAAGGAGCAGGCGCTGGCTCTGCTGCAGGAGGCGGTCAGGGTAGGGGCCACTCCCCGACGAGCCCGGGGTCAGCGGGGTCGGGGGGCCCAGAGCTAACCCTGGGCGCTGAAATATGCCCAGGGCAGGGAGGATAGTGACTGGCCCTGCCAGCCGTGCCCCGCCCCCAGGCCCATCCCTGGGTCAGTGCAGGCACCGGCGGGAGCCCCCAGTGAGCCTGCTGTAGCCAGCCCCAGGGACAGGCCCCTTCCGGCACCTGGACCCTGACCACGGACCTCGAGTCCCCCAGTCTGGCACCCCAGGACTATTTTCCCTGAGACATGGAGGGGGCAGTTGGGGAGCAGGTGCGAAGCCCTGCTCTGGCCTTAGGGACTGTGGGAGCCCCTGTATGCCACCTTCATGAGGAGGAAGGGCGGGAGGTCACTGTGTGGGGGGGCCCCGGCCAGCGGTGGCCTGACCGATTGACCTGAAGGGCCCGGGCAAAGGCTCCCTGCTGAGGCCAGAGCGGGGCCGGGCACGGCTGGGCTGGTGGCGTCTGCGGACACTTGTGTTCCTCCCCTGCCGGAGCATGGCCGGCCTTGGAGAGGCTCAGAGTCCACAGCAGGGCTTCCTGCTGACCTGTGGCCTCCGTCTCCGCCCTCAGAAGGACCCTGCCCGCTGCTCAACGCCACACGTGCAGCCCCCAAGGCCCGCTCCCCACCCGCAGAGCTGCTGTGAGCTGGAGCCCTGACCCCCGACCCCCTGGCTCCGTGCCCAGGACCTCCCCGCAGGGCCCCACGTCCGGCGCCGCTGGGGCCCGGCGGCCAGCTGGGGCGCCCTGGGCCCCGAGCCCTCAGGCGCATGTCCTCCGCAGCTCCTGCAGATGAAGGTGCACAGGCTGGAGCTGCTGCTGGAGCTGCGGGGCCGGCGCATTGCAGAGCTGACCAGATGGGGGCCAGGCCCCTCCCGGCACCTGGACCCTGACCATGGACCTCGAGCCCCCCAGACCTGCGGCCACACAGACATGGGTGCGGACTGCCCGGCGGGCTCAGAGCGGGGCGCCTGCTGTGGGGGGCCAGGTCCCCACGCGTGTCCCTGGGGGACTGCGGCTTTGACATGAGACTCGAGCCCTGGAGGCGTCCTGCTGTCTCGGGGGCGGGTCTCGGGGGGTGCTGGCTGTTTGCAGCACTTGGATCCCGGCTGCCTGGAGTCCTCAGAAGACACCGTAGAAACGGCTGACTGGGTAGCGTGTCCGTCCTGTGCAGGGGCGCCGTGGGGGAAGTGCGCCTGCGCCCTTCCTGGGGCAGCGTGGAGTGGCCAGTCACCGCTTTGCCCCAGAGGTTAGGGGTCAGGGCCCGCCTGACTGCACCCTCTCCTCGGAACAGCCCCCCCATTCTCTGGGTCCCCAGGACAAGAGGGGGACGCCCGGCTGAGGCCTGTGGGGTCTGGGTGGGGCCTGCGCCCCCCCAACACCAGCAGAGCACAGAGGCCTGGACGTTGCAAGGGTGGGACCCCGTCCATCTTGAGAGAACTGGGGTTCACCTTTAGACTCCTGGGTCAGAAAGGCTTCCAGTGTGGGGCACAGGCCTCAGGGTTTCCAGCCTTGGTTCTAGGGGTCTAGACCCCTGCCCAGTAGCCTCCCTGCCGGCGCGGGGCCGCAGCTGGCCAGGAGCTGGAGGTGCCTTGGGGTGTGCAGGCCCTGGCCCTAGGTGGGCAGCAGGGTAGGTGGTGGAGAGCGGGGCGGGCAGGCAGCGGGGGTCCTGCTCAGACTGCACGGCCTCCTCCACAGGCTGGGGCTCAGATGCAGGCAAGGTGGGGCTTGGCCACAGCCAGTCAGGGGGCCACGCCCCAAGCACACCCCAAAGGCAGGCCCTGGCTGGCAGGCCCGGCCTCCCCCGGGCGAGGACTCTAGGCTGCAGGGCCGACCCTGCCCCGTACCTGCGCCCGCGCCAGGCTGGACCCTGGCCGTCCAGATGAGGCAGCATGGCCCCATGGCCGGCCTCCTGGAGAGGATACAGCTGACCTGTGTCTGCCGGGACCCCGCGGCCCCGCCCAGGAAGCAGCGGCTGCAGTGACTCTGCCCCGTGTCAGGCCGCCTTGGAGGCTGGAGCTGAGCTGGTGAAGCGCCTGTTGCCTCATCGCCTCTCTGGCCACTTCCCCATCCCCTGAGACCATGAGGCCTGGGCCTGGTTCCCACAAGTGCTGCCTCCCACAAGTTATGATCGGGGTGCGGGGTGGCCCCTGGGAGCCCTGCAGGCTGGCCAAGGGGGACCCCACGCGGCTGATGTGAAATCTCGGCCTCGCCCCGGCCTGGGCTCCTGAGGGCACGACCTGTCCCTGCCGCCTGCTCAGGGGAGCGAGGGGCCCCCAGGTGAACTCGGGCCAAGGTGTGGAGGAAGTGGGGGCTTGGTGGCCGGAGGAGGGGGCTGGTACAAAGGCTGCAGGGCCCGAAGCCAGGCCAGGGCTTGCTGGGGTGGGGTGGCGGGGAGTGAGAGCCCAGGGCCTGGTCCCTGGCCCAGACAGTCGAGCTGGGGCGAGGGCGGTGTCCCCACCTGAGGCTGCTTTTCCCACCAACACTTCCGCTGGCGCCTTTGGGGTCGGAGGGGTCGGGGGGTGCTGGGGAGCAGAGGGTGCAGGCAGGCGAGAGCCCAGAGGGCGCCCAGGTAGGTGCCCCCGGGTGTGAGCTGCCCACAGGGGTGCAAGCGCTTCCCCTCGGGTGGCTGAGGGGCTTCACGGGACCAGGGCTACTGGGGGGGCGGCACCTGCTGGGCCTTGCACATCAGACCTCGCACACCAGTGCCTGGGGGGCACTTGCTTTTTTAAATCCACCCCCAGCAAGTGAGCTAGTCCCCTGCAGAGACTCTGAGGCGAGGGCAGGAGGGCACCACCTCTTCCAGGCCAGCACCACCTCTTGGGGCCCCCACCTGTCCGGCAGGAGCGGCAGCTGGGGGCCGCGGGAGGAGAGGTGGTCCTGGTGGAGTGGCCTGGGTGGGCACCCAGCAGGGTCTCCCCCACTCTCCCCCACCCCAAGCAAGGGCAGGGCCAGCACCTCGGGGTTCTGCCTGCACCCTGGTCCCCCCAGCCTGCTCCTTGCTGTCCTTGATGGTGCCTCAGGCTCGCGCTGCTGTGCCTACCCTGTGGGACCCACACTCTCCGCAGGCGTGGGGAGCAGCCCTGTTGGCCCAGGAGTCTGCCGAGGCTCGTGGGGACCCTGGCCTCGGAGCAGGACACTGAGCAGGGCCTGAGGACGGGCACCCTGGTCTAGGGGCCGTGGGGTCCAGGCTGGAGGTGGCTGCTGGGCCTGGAGTTGATGGGGCCTCCCACATCTGGGGCCCTGCCCCTCCCCCCCAGGGCCTGAGCCCTGCCTGGTCCCTCAGCGTGGACGGTGAAGACCAGGGCTGGGCCTGGTGTCGGGGCCGGCGGGGGTGGGGAGCCGGCAGGGGCAGGGAGCCGGCGGGCAGAGCGCCCTGTTCCTCCTGGGGCGGGGGATCCTGGGAAGGTGGAGCGGCCGTCCGTGGCCTTGGAGGGACGGAGGTTCCCGCGCCCGGAGGCTTCCTGATAGAGCCAGAGAGGAGACATGGGAGGGTTATCTTCCCCGGAGCCTTGAAACCCTGCCCAGGCCGCTGCTCAACTTGCCCCCCCACCATGGCCTGGTGGGGCCCAGGTTCTGCCTGGGGGCCTTGGGGCTCAGCCAGCCTGGCCACAGGGCGGAGGGGCCCAGCACTTCACCACAGGCACTGGCCCCACTGTCCCAGCCCCAGGGTGGGGGGGTCTCAGCCCTGCCCCCCCAGATCTGTGAGCCCTGGCCCTCCAAATCCTCTCCAGGGGTGGGGTGTGGGGCTGCCCCACTCAGCAAACACAGCTCAGGACACCTGGTTTCAACAACGAATAGTTGTTTTTGTTTTTAAGGTTTATTTATACAAGAGCAGGGGTGCAGGCCAGATGTGCGGGAGGGTGAGAGGACCCACCAGAGACAGAGTGGGGAGCAGAACAGGCAGAGCCACTGAAACCCACTGCTGAGGGGGGCAGCGGGGAGACCGGAGGGGTCTGCTCGCGATGTGGGCTACTCTGAGGCCGGCGGGGATCAAACTGGCGCTGCAGAGGCTGCGGACAGCCTCACAGCGCTGCGCTCAGCCCGCTGCGCCACCGGGGAGGCCTGTAACAACGAACAGTTTTTAGTGTAAACACACCCCGGCTGGGCTCTGTGGGCAGGCGTTGGGGGACGTTTCTGTCCAGCCTGTTTGGGGACCCGTGTCTGTCTCTCCTAGGGGTGAACTGCATCAGGGGTGACTTGCCGGCCTGAGGGCGCCAGGGACTCTGCACTCCCAAACCTGGTGGAGCAGCGGCCGGCCGGGAGGTGGGGAAGGGCGCGGGCAGGCTGGGGGTGCAGGCGGAATGCGGGGCAGGCTGGGGGGCGTGGGGCCCACACCAGTGGCCCCTCTGGGAGTGTCAGGAACTCAAGGGTTAAGAGTAGGCCCTGGGAGTTGGCCCTGCAGCCTGGGGAGCAGCTGTGAGGGCCCCAGGATGGAGCGGAGGGAGGGAGGCAGGCAGGGAGGAGCCCTGAAGGCCACTCCTTATCACCGTGCGGGCACCCGAGCCAAGTCGTCCAGGGTGGGGGAGACTGTGTCCAGGGTAGGGGCCCACTAGGGGAAGCTGCGGGGGCCACCGCTGAGGCCCCGTGCCCAGGGCTTGTCTGTACCCAGTGGCCTGGTCCACGAGGGGCTTCCTGGCGCTCAGCCTGGCTCCCGCCTGTGGGTCCTCACCACACTGTCCCCAGCGGACCTGCCCGCTCTGCTCCTGGGCAGGCCCTTTGCAGGAAATGCAGGGTCCACAGTGCCCAGGCAGTGGGGCAGCGGCCCCAGTGCCTGCAAACAGCAGGCGGCCCTTACCCCATGCCACCCCTGCTCCAGGAACACAGATGTGTCTGAGGGGCTGAGTCCCTGGGGTGCAGCCAGAAGGGCTGGCTGGGACGGTGCCCCTGACCCCTTGTCTCTGACCTGCCCTGGTGGCTGGGCAAGGCCCTGGGCAGAGCCTGGCCTTGAGCCGGCTCACAGGGCTGGCAATCAGCGTCCACGGGGGGCGCAGGCAGGATGGCAAGGCCCGGGCCCCACGGAGACCCGGTCATCTCCACACCTGCCCGGGCCTCTGCTTCAGAGTGAGCCGGGTTGATTTCGCCACCAGAGGAGACGGTGACTTCCGGGCCGCAGGGCGGCTGTGGAGAGCGACGCGACAGGGACGCAGGGGGCGCGTGGGCACGGCCGGCGGGGATCACCTGCCCGCTGGCACCTGCGGACTCGTGGCACGCGCGCCCCCACGTGGCTGCCCAAGGTACAGGCTCCGCCGGGAGCCCCAAGGCCGCGGGTTCCCAGTCTCAGGGGTGCTCAGGGCCCCTGGGGCGTACACCGGGCGAGCCCAGCCTCAGGCGCCTGCCAGGAGCAGCCCTCGAGCCTTGGCCCTCCCGCCCGGGCCGCTGCTGCTCATCTCTCCTTCCGCTCCTGGCCTCCTCCCTCCCCCCCCTGACGTCTAGGGTGACTGCGCTCCCTGCAGGCCTGGGGGGCAGCTAGAAGGGGGGGCAACGCGAGATGGAGGTTCAGGGTGGGAAAGGCCCTGTGTGGGTGGCAGAATGCGGGGGGCGATGGCACCCGGGGTGGGCGGCAGGCCTGGGGTTTAATGGAGAATGGTGGCCACTGAGGTGCAGGAGCAGCTGAGCCTGGGTCATGCATGTCTGAGACTTGGGGCTCATCTGTGTGTGTCTGGGGGCTGACCCGCTGGACCCCACAGGCAGGGTGGGACTGAGGATCTTGACCCAGGTCCTGGCTTCCACCCCAAAGGGGTCAGGACGGCTTGTCCCTCCAGCCCCTGCGGACAAGCTGCTCCCAAATGGGGAGGAGACACCGGCCCTCCACCCCCAGACCTGCCCTCCAAGTAGGGGCGGGAGGGATGCAGAGGCTTGGGGGGCTCTAGGTTCTGGGGGAGGGGAAATCTCTGCGTGAGCAGCTTTGGTCTTTGCCCAGCTCCCCCTGCACTCTGACCCCCAAGCCCTCAGCGCCCCAACCTTCTCCAGAGCTGGGGATGGAGGGTGGACGGGTGTCCCGCCAGGGAGGGCTCCCCCCTTCCTCCGGACCCCTGGGCAGCCCCCAGGGGGGTGTGGTGGGGCGGAGAGCGCAGTGCCCAGCGCAGTGGGCAGTGCTGGGGCACCTCGGGGCCTGGGGCGGGGGTGGGGGCACGTCCGGAGGGCGGGGCCGCACCCCTTCTCAGGCCGGCTCCCCCGTGCCTTCCCCGCTCCTGACGCCAGCAGAGGCCCGAGATAAGGGCGGGGGAGGCCGAGGGCGCCGGGCCTGGAGCCCCGGCCCGGCCCGCTCTGCTCACAGCGGGTCTTTGTGCCCCGACCTCGCAGGTGCGGGGGTGGACGGGCCTTGGCGGCCTGCGGCCCCATGTGACCGCGGCTGCCCGCGCCCGCCAAGGTCCCTGCGGCCCATAAAGGGGCGCTCGCCGGCGGCGCGGCAGAGCTCGGGCCAGCGCGGACTCTGCAGGGACCCGCTGCGCTCCCGACGGGCTCCCCGGCTCCCCGGCTCCCCGGCTGCGCTCCCGACGGCCCCGGCCCTCCCTCCGCTCCTCCGGCTCGGCTCCAGGTCCATCCCCGGCCCCGCCCCCCGAGCCCAGCGCGCTCGCCCCGCAGATCTCGGCCGGCCCGCCAGGAGGACCCCCGACGCGCCTCTCGCGCCCCGCCTTCCTATGCACATACTTCTTCGAGGGTCCGGCCTGAAGAGGTGTCGGGCATGGGAAGGTGGGGCGGCGAGGTCCACCACCGCGCGGCGCCGCACCGCCTGGAGGAAGGCCCGGCCGGCGGGGTCCAGGTCTGGGGGGCTTGGGGGCTCCGTGCGGGGAAGGGGGGCTCGATATGTTCCCCGCCACTGCTTCCTCCACCCGCGCCACGCCCCTGTGACCACCGCAAGAGCCGATTTTCCGAGGGAAATGTCAATAAAGGAAGCCTGCAAACCCACTGGTGATGCTTGTCTGTGTGGGGGGCCGCCGGCGCCTCTCTCTGTCCACACGGAGGGTCCCCCCGCCTGCTGGGCTGCGGGTGGGTGGGGTGGGGGTGTGCGGCTCGGATCTCTGAGGAGCCGCACCCACCGCCCACTCAGAGGCCGAGGACTGCGCCTGCAGCGCCAGGCAGGGTCCCGGTTAGGGAAGTGGTGACTCCCCCCCCCCCACCCGCCTGGAGGGGCTCTGGTCCCGGGGTGCAGGACAGGAGCCCCTGCGCCGGTGAACCCCGCACCTGCAGCCTGCGCCCCTGGGAGAGAGCCATCAGCTTGGGGCTGCCCGGCTGGGGGGTGGGGGGCGCTTCCCTGGGAGCGGCCGGCAGAGCAGGGCCCCTCCACACCTGCACGCAGACCCCAGCCTCTCCAGGGGCCCCAGTGAGGCCGAGCAGAGCCTGGGGGTGTGGCCCAGGGCCGCGGCTGCAGGGGCTCCTCTGGGAGAGACCACCCCGCTGGGCTCCGGGGCAGGAGTGATGAGGAGCCGCAGCCCCAAGCTGGGAAGGGCTGTGGGGAGGGGCCTGGTCCTCTGTCCACTGCGGGTCTGCCCTCACCCCCCCTTTCCGAGGGCCAGAGGAAGTAGGACCCCCGCCCCTTTTCCTTTGCTGCTAGAAAGCCCAGGAAAGGGGGTGCTGCTCCCCACCCATCACCATTGCCCCCAGGCAGCACTGGCTCAGGGCAAGGGAGGGGGGGATGGGCTGGGGGAGGACAGGTGTGGCCCTCCGGGAAGGCCCCGCCCCCTGGGGCTCTGGGCCCAGGGTGGGGCCTGGGAGGGGGCAGGGAGCGCCCTGGGGAGAGGCCCCTGCAGCCCCAGCTGGGGGTGGGGGTGGAGGCGGTGCAGGGAGACGGAGCCTGGGATTCTAGGGTAGAACGAAGGGCTGGACAGGCCCGCGCAGCACCTCACCTGGGTGCCCCCAGTCCCCCACCCCAAGTCCTGCCAACCCCCGCTTCCCCTTGGACCCTCAGCTCTGGGGCCAGCCAGGCAGGGCAGGGCGTGTGGGCGACGGGGCGGGACCCCTCAGGTCCCTCTGGGGCCCCGGCCCTGCTCGGCTGTCCATGTGCAGGAGGCCCCTGTGCGGGGGTGTCCTGGCCACTGTGTCCTCTGTCCTGGGAAGGCCCCCGGCTGCAGACCCCGGGGAGCGCCAGGAGTCACTGCCCAGCGGTCAGGGCCCAGGCCCCCGCTGCCCCTGCGTGCTGGGCCTGCAGGGCGGCCTCCACCTTGAAGCGGACGGACTTTGCAGCGGGATCTCACCGCGAGGGGAGGCCCCCCCGGGCCGCGGAGCTGCCGCGGCCGCTGCAGCACCAACCAGACCCCGGCCGGCCGGAGCTGACCCCGCGGCCAGCAGCCTCTCGGTCTCCGGCTGCGCCTCAGCGGCGCGCGCGGGAGAAGGGGCCCCACAGGGCGAGGGGGAGGGGGCGGGGCCCCCGGGCAGGGAGGCGCCCCAGGTGCGGGGGTGGCAGCCGCTGTTGACTTGGCCGAGCCCCACGGGCCCCGCAGTTCTGACCTCGGACGCCTGAGGGGGGGGATGCGGGGGACGCAGTCCCCTCCCCCCGAGGGAGAAAAGCAGAGGGCGGGCTGGACCCAGCCCCCCAGGCCTCAGCCCCGTCCTCTGGACGGCGAGGGGCGGAGCCCCGGCTCGGTCGGGCCAGGCCGAGGGGAAGCGAGAGCCGCGCCGGGCGGGGGTCATGGCGGCGGCGGCCACTGTGGCGCGCAGAGGGCCGAGGCAGCCGTGGGCTCGGGGCCCAAGGAGTCTGGGGGCGCGGGCCTCACGGCCGCCCCCGTGGCTCCAGGACCAGGGCTGGGGCCCCCGCCACGGCTCAGCAGGACTCCCCAGTCAGGGCGCCCCGGGCCCGGCCAGAGCCAGGAGGCGCGGCCCGTCCGGGACACTCCGCGGGGCCCGCCCGCGCCCCGGGCTGGGCTGGAAATCGCCGCCGGCCTTTGCCAGTCACGGCCGCGGCGAGGAAAGGGCGGCCGCGGGGTCCCGGGGGCGCGAGGCGCCTGCGCGCGAACCCCCGCGCCACGGCCGGACCCCGCAGACGGGAGGACGCGCCCCCCGCGCGCCTGGGCCGGCCCGGGCGGGCGCGCGGCCTGGAGGCCGAGGGGCCGGGCCAGCTGCGGGCCGGGCGGACCCCACTCCCGCCCGCCTCCCGCCGCCGCCAGGAGGGGCGCGGCCAGGGCTCCCCCCGGGGGAGGCGCGGAGTAACGGGGTTCCAGGGTAAAGGGGAGGCCCCCGCCCCGCCCAGGGGCGGAGCCGAGCGGGGAGACGCTGGAGGGGCCCCGCGACACCCGGGCTCCCCTCGGGCTGGGAGGGGGCGCTCCGGGCGGGCCGGGCGCCGCCCCAGGGAGGCCGCGGGCGGGGCGGGGCGCCTGCGGCGGCGGGGGGAGGGCGCGGCGGGCCCCATTCAGCCCCGCGGCCGGCCGGCTCCCGCCCCCGGGATGCGCCCCGTCGGGCTTTGTCATGCGGGCGCCGCCTGGGGCCACTTCCTCCGCGCACCTGGGCGCGCGCCCGCCCCTCCCCCGGGCCAGGTCCTCGCGGCCGCGCTCCGGCCCCAGCCGGCTCCCGCGCCCCGCCCCGCCCCGCCCGCGTTCCCGGCGGCCCGCGGCCCCTCCGTGGAGACGGGCGTCCCCGCAGCCCCCCCAGGCACCCCCCGGGCCGGAGCCCCCGCACCTGGCCCGGGTCCGCGCGCGCCTCCCGGCGGGACGAGCCGCTGCCGGCGAAGGAGCCGCGCCGCAGGCTCAAGTCGGGGCGAACCATCTTTATTGAACGGACGGGGCCGGGGGCGGGCGGGGGCGGGGACCGGGGCGCGGGCCGGGCGGGGCGCGGCCCCTCACGGGCGCGGGTCCACCAGGACGCCCCGCTCGGCGGCCGCGCTGCCCAGAATGAAGCCCACGGCCAGGGACACGGTCTGGTCGAAGGCGCCGCGCAGCTGCTCCACGTGCTGGTTCAGCGTCAGCAGCTGGTCGCGCAGCGGGCCCAGCACGGCCACGATGTCGCCTAGGTGGCTCAGCGTCTGCAGCAGCGCGGCGTTCAGCGACGGCGGCGCGGGCGGCGGGCGGTCCTCGGGGCTGCGCGGCGGCGAGCCGGGGTCCTCCCGCGCGCGGTCGGGCGCCGGCGGCGAGCCGGGGCCGCGGAAGGGCGCGGGGCACTCGGGGCGGCCGGGCGCCGTCGGGGAGCCGGGGCGCGCGGCGCGTCGGCGGGCTTGGGCGGCGACGGGCCGAGGCCCAGCGTCCAGGCGCGGTCCGCGCCGGGGTCGCGGGCGGCCGGCGGCGGCGCGGCGTCTGCAAAGCGAGCGGGCGGGCGGGGTCAGGCCGGGCCCCGCGCCCTCCCCGCCCCCCCGCCGGCCCCCGCCCCTACCCGGCTCGGGGGGCGCGCTGGGCGCCGGGCGGCGGCCGCGCTGGGGGCGCCCGGAGGCGCGGCGGCGGCCGCGCGGGCCCCCGGTCTCGCCCAGCAGCGCCATGAGCTCGCGGATCTGCGCGTCGAAGGGCCCGGGCGGCTGGTCGCGCGCGTCGCGGAGCTTGTCCTTGAGGAACTTGTAGCGGCGGCGGCACTGCGAGGGCGTGCGGCGCACCTGCTGGCGGGCCAGCGCGGCCGACACGCGGCGGTAGGTGGGCAGCGCGCGGCGCCGGTCGAGCAGCAGCGCGCGCCACACGGCCGGCTGCAGCAGCGTGCCCAGCAGCAGCTCCGTCTCGCGCGCGCTCCAGGGCGTGCGCTGCGCCGAGCCCGGGGACACCGGCGAGCCCGGGGAGCCGGGGGGCGCGGGCGCCGCCAGCGCGCCGGGCGAGGCGGGCCGCGAGGCCGGCGCGTCCGGGTCGCGCTCGGGGTCCGGGCTGGCGGGCGACGGCGGCGCGGGCGGGGGCGGCCGCCGGGGCCGGAGCAGCATCCCGGGGCCGGGCGGGCGCGCGGGGGTCTGAGCCGGGCGCGCGTCCGCCGCCGTCGGGCCGGGTCTACGCGGCCCGCCCCGCCCCGCCCCGCCCCGCCCCGCCCCCGGCCCGCGCCCCGGGGGCCCCGGGGGCCGCGCGCGCCGGGCCTCCCGCCGGCCTGGACCCCGGGCCGCGAGCCTCGGCGCCGCCCCTCCCCGCGGCGCGGCCCGGCCCGCGACGGCCGTGGGCGGCCCCGGGCCCCTCGGGCGGCGGGCTGGGCGCGGGGGGCGGGCCGCGCGCTGCGCATGTGCCGTGCCCTTTGACCGCGCGCGGGGCGCGGGACCGCCCCCCGCCCCGCCCCCCGCCCCTCCCCGGGCCCCGCGCCCCCCGCCCCCCCGGGCCGCGGCGCTCCGGCCCTGCGCGGGGCCCGGCGGACTCGCCGCGGGGGCGGGGGCGGGGGGGGGGGCGCTGGCCGGCGCCCCGAGACTGGACGCCCGGGCGCCCGCGGTCCCGGCTCCGGGCGGCCGCTGTGAAGACGTCGGGCTCCTTCGGGCGCTCGAGGCAGACCCGCGAACGGGCCTGTGGGGGCCTCGCCAGGTCGCCCCCTCGCCGGGGCGTGGGCTCCCTCCGCAGCGGGTCGCTGCTCTGGCCAGTGGGGTGGCTTTGCCCCCAGCACTCACCTGGTGCCTTCTGGGCGCTGGTTGTCACAACTTGGGGTGCTCCCGTTGTCCCTTGGGCAGAGGCCAGGGGTGCTGCTGGCACCCCACGCGCCCCTGGGGGCCCCTCCTGCGGGGAGGGTGCACAGGCCGCCCCGCGCGCCTCCGCGGCCAGGCAGCGCCTCTGGCACCGCTTCCCCTGCCCTGAAATGCCCTGCTGCGCGGGCAGCGGAGACAGGAGGGGTCTGCGCCATGGGGGCCGCTCCCTGGCCGGGGATGGAACTCGGGCTGCCGTGGCTGGGAAGCTTGGCAGCCCTGAGACTAACCCCTGCGCCCCCAGGGAGCCCCGTCCACGGCCCTCTTCTCTGGAAGTGAGTCAGCCGGGGGGGGGCTGGGGCACCCTGCCCGGCCCAGCCAGGGCCCTCTCTGCGGCCTCCCGCCGAAGCCCATGGTGATGCGGGCCCGCGGGGCGGGGTGGCAGCGCCCAGAGCCGCCTTCCGCCGGGGCAGTGGGACCCGCCTTGGCCGAGGAGACGGCGGACGCCAACAGTCAGGGACTGGCCGCCACCCCCGCCAGCCACCGCCCGCACTGGCCGGGATCACAAAGCAGGAGCAGCAGCCCACGCGGGTCTGGGCGGCGTTTGGGGCGGCCAGTGTTGCTGGTGGGGCATCTGGGGCCTGACCTGCCCCCAGCCCTCCTGCTCCTGAGGGGGTGGGTGGGCCTCACGGCCACACAGGGCAGGGTCACAGGAGCTCTCGGGAGGGCCCACGCCGGAAACAGCCCCTGGCCGTGGGTGGGGCGGCTGCTGGGGCGCCTGGCCACGGGCACCGGGCCTGCCTCGCAGCCATGGAAGGAATGGGGTACCGCGTCCCTTGGAGAGAGGGGCAGGCGGGACAGCCGCACACGCCAGTCCACGCGTAGACCCTGGACAGCAGGGCGGTGGGGGCCTCGCCGGGGCGGTCAGGTGCCGGGCGGGTGGACACCGCTGCCCTGCGCCCTTGGGGACACCGCGTCCCGTGTGCTCCCAGAGGCGTTTGTGCAGCAGTCAGGAAGGGGGCGAGGGAAGCAGGGATGGGGTGCAGCACCCTGAGGCCCCCATTTTCTCAGGCCCCAGCAGCACTTGGGCCCACAGAGCTCGGAGCCCAGCTCGCGCTGCGCAGGGCGGACTCTCGGGCGCCCTCAGCCCCTGGCGCCTTTGGGGTCAGCTCCCGCCTCTCCGGGGACTGGGGGGGCAGGGCCGTGTGGCGGACGCCCCTCCCGGGGAGCTGTGCGCTGTGGGTCCTCCCGGGGCCGGGCTGGGGACAGCTGCTGTCTCCGAGCACCCCTCTGGGAGCACTTGCCAGCGCTGTGCCCTGGCCCGTGGGCTGCGGGGACCCCCAGGAGCCCCACTACCACGCGGCAGAGCTCGCTGTGGGTCCCGGGCGGGGCGGCCCCAGCCCGGCTCGCGGGAGAGGACAGGCTTTCAGAAGCTTGGGGGGCCAGGGTCAGGACCCGCCCGCCGCTGCTGCGTGGACGCCCCCGGGCCAGCCGCCGCTGGGGCAGTGCCCGCTCCGCAAATCCGCACTCCTCCGGAGCCTTCCACAGCTGCCAAGCTGCACGCACCCGTAGGCGGTGATGCCCAAGCTCTGGGCCCTGGCCTCCGCCCCTCCCTTTGTGGTGTCCATCATCCTGACCTCCCCAGGGGAGGCCAAACCCCAAGGCACGCTCAGCCCCTCCCCAAAAAGCGTGGCACCCTGGCGAGGCCTTGGCCAGCCTGAGGGAGGGCGTGCAGCTGGCAGTGGGCACAGCCAGTGGGTCTGCTGCTTGGGCAGCCAGTGTCTGCCACCCAGGAGTGTCTCCTGCCCCTCTGCGGGGCACTGACTGGGCTCGCCCCTGCCAGGCTGAGACCCCACCCCCCCACACTAGGGTGTCTGCCCGGCAGCCAGCCAGCCGTGTCCATAGAAAGGCCTTTATTGAGAAATGAGGGGCAGAGCCACATGCTCGGTGCTTAGTGGGGTGCCCCTGCAGTCGTGCATGGGGGGGGGCAGGGACTCCTCATCAAGGTCACTGGCATGTGGTGACAACCCCCCAGGCCTGCCCGGCCAGAGCCGGTGGGGAGCAGGTCTCAGTGTCTCCTGCCACGCTCTGGGGGGCCGCAAGGAACAGCCCTGGGCCAGTGGCCACTGCACCTGGATGCTGTGTGGGGCCCGCGTCCTGCCCGCCGGCTGGAAATGGAGGGGTCTGTGCCACCCAGGGAGCAGCTCTGGTCCTCCTGGAGGGCTGAGCCTGGCCTGGAGGCTGCTGGGGGCGCAGCCCTCAGCCCTACTCTGCCGCAGCCTGGGGTGGGGTGGGCGGGGCGGCAGTTGCAGGATCTCAGGGTGGGGCAGCAGCAGGGCCTGAGGGGACAGGGCCGTGCCTGTGGGCGGGAAGGGCTGCAGGGCTGGGTGGGAGGGGAGAGGCCTGGAGGGCGTGTGGGTGGGCGAGGTTGAGGGGGCTGTGGCTGCTCCCCCAGAAGCTGCGGGCGGTGGGGGGGGGGCTTTGGGCCCTTAGGGGCCGGTGCGCGGGGCGGGGGCCGAGCAGGTCCCTTGCAGCTGGACAGACGCCGAGGTCCCCAACCAGCCCGATGGTGGCCGAGCCCCCAGGAATCGGGGGCCTGCAGCGTGGGGACTCGTTTTTTGTTTTTGAGTTTAATTCCAAGTTCCCGCGAAACGCCGCCCTTCACTGCGCCCGCCTGGGCCCGGGGCTGTGGGCGCTCCTGGGCTGCCTGCGGGCCGCCTACTGAAAGGTGGCCCTCATCCTGCGCAGCTTGTCCTGGAGCTTCCGCGAGGGCTTCCCGCTGCCGCCCCGGGGCCCTCGGGCCTGCTGTCGGCCGCCAGGAGGGCGACGTCGGCCCCGCTGAAGCGGGCGATCCTCCGCCTGAGGTGCGCCTGCAGCTTGGGGTCGGGGGGAAGGTGTACGGGCTCTCCTGGAAGGCGGGCACCTGGCTCACCACCCTGGCAATGTTCCTGAGGGGCAGGGCGAGCTCTGGCAGCCTGGGCCGCAGTTCCCACAGGTGCCCCTTCCTTCCCCGCCCGTCCCTCTGCCCTTGTCGCCCGCCCAGCCCCTCCGAATCCCCCAGTTTACCCAGAACTGACGGCCGGGCCCTGAGGGCGGCCGGGGCTCCCGGGGTGGGCCTGGGTCTGGCGGGGCTGCCCGTGAGGTCTGGGGGCCGCCTGCCCACTGTCATCTGCCCCCGGCAGCCTGGCCCGGCCCCTACTACGAGGCGACGGCGGCATCTGTTTAAACTGGTGGCTGAAAGGGCTCCCTGGCAGGTGGGCCCCGCGGGCCCCGCCGTGGGCCCGACCAGCCTCGCGGTGCCTGCTCGGAGATGCAGCGGCGGGGAGAGGGTGGAGGGTGAGGTTTGGGTCCCGTGAGATGCAGGTGGGGGCCGGGGCTGCCCACGCAGAAGCAGACGGGCTTGAGGCCCTGTGGGTCTCAGTGCTGGTTCCATAGCCGCCCCCCGGCCTCGCCTCCTGGTGGGTCCCCAGGTGGGCCCGCGGGAGCTGCCTGGGGACCGCGGTGGGTCTCAGTGGGCTCGGGCGGCACACGGAGAGGGAAGACAGCCCCGCGTGGGAGGCGGCTGCGTGGAGGCGCAGGGCGGGCCCGGGTCTCCTAACGAGGTCCTTGCAGCTTTGGTCCCACGTCTTGGGGCCGAAGGTCGTGTGGGGCTGGGAGGGCAGGCCTGGGGCGGGTGCGTCAGGGGCCCTCACCTGAGCTTGCTCCACCTGTGGGCCCCGTTGGTCATGGTGAAGCCCCCGGTCTCCAGCTGCTGGACGTGCATGGCCAGGAGGCGGGCTGAGGGCAGGGTGGGCTGGGCCCGGGAGCGCCGCCCTTCCATCAGACACAGGCTGTCGCTCTTCAGGAAGACCTGGGCGGGGCGGGGCGGCTGGGGCCGTGGGGAGCCGGGCTCCGGGGTCTCCCCGACCCTGCTCTCAGGAGGGCGCCAGGAAAGAGCAGGTGACCCAGGCGGCCGTGGGGAGACCCAGGGCCGACAGCCAAGGCTGCCCAGTGCCAGCCACCCACCTCCCCTGGGTCCGGGGGACCCCCGCTCAGCCTGGCCTGGGTGGCAGAGGACCAGCGGAGGCCCGGGGGGCGTGTCTGGGGCCAGGTCTGGGAATGACCGGTTGGGGGTGGGTGCAGGTGAGCCCTGTCAGCGCCCAGCACCTCTACAGCTTTCAGCTCCTCCAGGGCCTCGGCCATCTTGGCGGGTAAGATCTTCCAGGCCTAGAGCAAGCGCACAGTGAGCCCTCAGGCTGGTCCCCCCCGCCCCCCGCCACCCAGGGACACTCACGGGGGACTGCCTCACGGCCAGGTGCTCCAGGCCCCCCAGGATCTGCATGGCTGTGGCAAAGTTCCTGTGCTCGCAGCAGGCCTTCGCGGTCAGCAGGAACTTGGAGAGCAGGGTCACCTGCAGCTGGAGCGGAGCCCAGTCAGCCCCGCCCGCACCTGAGGTGGTCCCCGGCCCTGGAGATGCGGGAACGGCCCCTCTTCTCAAGAGAGGGCCCCGTGGGAAGGCTGCTGTCCAGGCAGCTGGCGGCACGCGGTCAGCGCCTCTGGCCAGTCCGTCCCTATCTCCAGAGGGCTCCTGGGCCCACTCGGAGAAGAGCCAGATTGGGGGCCTGTCTGCTGAAAGCCCGGACCCGCTGCCAGGCCAGGCTGGCGGGTTCCGATAGAGTCCTGGGGCCAGGACAAAGGTTCTGAGAGCTCAGCCCTGTCCCTCAGCTGCACCCCAGCTTCCAGGCAGGCCCTGCTGTCTGGCCTGGCTGCTTGGGAAGGGCCGAAGGGCCATCTTGATCCACACGCCTCTCCTGGGGACACCGCCCTGTGTGGCTTTGACAAGCCCCTCACTGAGCTGCATCCGTGGGGTTCCCTCCCCCCCACCCCACCCCCACCCCACCCCCCACAGCCCTTCCCACTGTGGCTGCTGGGCCAGGCCGTGGGGGGGTGGGACGAGCTCCAGGCCGGCCACAGCTGAAAGCCCACTCGCTGGGGTTCCTGCTGGCCTCCGGGAGGACCCCACTCTCAGGCTGGGGGTCCTGGTGCCCATCCCCTGGGGTCTGCAGACCCCTGGTTCTGGGGCTCACTCTTGTGACACAGGGTGAGCGCCCAGCAGCGAGGGCCCCACACCCCAGCCTTGGGAAAGGAAGTTGCCCCCCATGTTCCCAAAAGGCTTGGGGACTGCCTGGGACTCTGGGACATATGGGACCAGGAAAGCCTAATGGTGGCGCCTGTTAAAGCTGGGGAGGGCGTCTAAGGGGCTCTGGGGAGCACAGTGTGTCCCCGGCAAGCTCTCTGGGCACGCTCTGACCTTAGGGTGTGGTGCTGGGGCCTCTGCTAGGAAAACCTGCTTTGGGGCTCCAATTTGCTGAGGGGGCGGCTGCCCAGGGTGGAGACCTGGTCCTGACCTGGCTCTGAAGCCCACATGGACGTGTTGGGAGGAGCCTGGCGCCCGCTCCGCCACTCGGGTTGGGGTGTTCACTGGCAGACCTGCGGCCCCGGGGTCTGGGGGTCCCTCACTGCCGGGCCCTCTTGAGCAGGGGGAGACCCAGAGCAGGCGGGTGGCCGTCCTGTGGTCTGCAGCACCCGGCTGTTTGGGCCGAGCCACTGCAGCCCTGCCTACGGCCCATGCTCGGGCAGCGGGAGCTGGACCCAGAGTGGACGCTGGCCTGCGCCTTGATTCACGGGCTGGCTGGGGACAGAGGGCTCCTGCAGGGCTGGGACATCTGTCTCCTCTGAGGAGGCTGGGCCACGGCTCCAGCGGGGTGTGCCGGGCCCTGCTTGTGAGTGCACAGGTGTGAGCATGCAGTTGTGAGCACAGCTGTGAGTGCACAGGTGTGACTGCGGCAGGTGTGAGCGCGCCTGCGTGGGAATGCGACGGCACGCTGCCTGCGCGCAGGTGCTGGCCCCGGGACACCCCCTAGACGGGGCGCCAGGAGTGGGTACGTGCGGGGGACATGCCCAGGAGCGTGCTCCAGAGCTGTGGACTCCACTGCTGACAGGCTGAGGCGTGCTTGGCCTGGGCCTCAGGTGGACCCGGTGCCCGTGGGGCCCCCAGGACTGTGGCCCCGGGGTGGCCGGCCCTCGGTGCTGACCTTGGCATTGGGGCTGCTGACAATCTCAGCGGCCACCCAGGTGCTGACATCGTCCGCGCTGCGCAGCAGCTGCAGCAGGTACCTGTCCTGCACGTAGCTGGGCAGAAAGAGGCTGCAGGAGCGGGTGGCCGGGCCCTCGGCAGAGCCAGAGCTGCAAGACACAGATGGTTGCTGCCAGGCGGCAGGGCCAGGCCGCGGGGACCCCGTCTTCGTGTGCCCGCCCCTCCCGTTCGCGGGGACACTCACCAGGGCAGGGCTGCGCTCCTGTCCATCACACCCAGGGCCCGAGAGTTTAGGAAGTGGACGGGATGGCACTTTTGAAACAGCTCCTGGGGAGACGAGGAGGGAGTGGGTCAGGGGTCCCAGCTCATGCGCAAGAGCCCTGTCTGGGCTCAGCGAGGCCGGGTCTGGGGGGCCTGGCTGTAACCACAGCACATGCTCCCTGGGGCACCAGCCGAGCGATGCGGGGACAGGACAGGGTGGCCTGAGTCTGGGCTGGGTGAGTTGGCCTGGGGAACTGAGCCAGAGGCCACGGGGCGGGGGGGGGCCCTGGGGGCCTGTGAGTGATGGGGAGGTGGGGGTGGGGACCATGGGCGAGGTGAGGGGCTCCCCCACTCCTGCCGGGGCCTCAGCCCATCTGTGTCTCTGTGACACGGGGGCCACGTACAGAGTGGGTGGCCAGGCGCACCCCCCCTTCCCCCACCCACCCCGGCCAGGCCTCACCTGCTGCAGCAGCGTCAGCTGGGTGAAGAGCTGGTGGGCGCTGTGCTCGGTCAGGAAGTAGGGCCCCTTCTCGCTGGCCTTGCTCAGGGGTCCATGCACGTCCTCCAGGAAGCAGGGGCGGGGCAGCGCGGCCGCAATGCTGTACTGGCGCTCCTTGGCCTGAGGCAGGGCCAGCCCGGTACCCCGGGACAGCCGCCAGGGGAAGCTCTGCGGGTGGGACCAGCGCACTCAGCGGGCAGTGTCCCCATGCGGCCGCTCCAGCCAGGCTGCCCCCAGCTTCCCCCCACTGGCTTGGCCTGGGCCTCTGGCCTGAGAGCAGGCCCCTGAGTGGCCGGCCAGTTCTCCTGTGGTGCTGCCCAAGCTGGGGGGTAGGAGGTGCCAGCCCCGTGGGGCAGCACAGGCTGGTGTACACACGTGTGTTTGAGACACAAAGGGTGCACAGCGGGGGTTCTCGCTGCAGGGACAGAGTGCACGGGTGCTTGTGTGTGCTGGGCCCCTGGCTGGGCCTGGGCAGCAGGCCCTGCTGTCCAGGGAGCCCCTCCCAGGAGAGGCCCCCACCTTCCGAGAGATGCCGTCCTCTGAGAGCCGCTTACAGAGGGCGCTGAGGGGTCTGGCCTCCTCCTCCACCCTGGGGTCCTCCAGGTCTGCGCTGCAGGGGGCGCCCTCCGCTCGCCGGTCAGCACCCACCTCCAGCAGGCCCAGCAGCTGCTCCGCCGCACCGTCCAGGGGCAGGATCTGGGCAGGGGCGTGGGGGTCATGGCTGCTCTGGGGGCCCCTGTGGGCTGGGGGGCGCCCCGCGGTCACCTTGGTGGAGATGAAGTCCTCAAGCCTGCCCAGCAGCCCGGCGTTGCGGGCGAAGTCCACGGACAGGCAGTCCTCCACCCAGGCCTGCAGCAGGCAGAAGCTGCGCTTGTAGATCTTGGTGGAGGTGGGGTCCTGGGGAGCCCTGGTGGAGGAAGGAGGCTGAAGGTGGGGTCCCTGCCAGCCGGGAGGCTGGCACGTGCCGAAGGGGGGGACTGCAGCCAAGGGGGGCTGGCCCAGGCTCTGAGGGCAGCTTTGCCCTCGTGTGCCAGCCCCTGCTTGCCGGGCTGGCTCTCCTTGCGCAGAGGAAAGGGTTCCCGTGACCCCTCCCCACGAGGAGGGCGCCGGCTGCTCCCCGGGGCTGCCCGCCTGCACCTGTGTGTGCAGGTGAGCAGTGAGGGGGGCCCGGGTGGGGTAAGGTCGGGCGAGGCAGCTCGGAGACGGCGCCCTCCCCCGCGGCGCGCCCGGCCCACAGCGGCCGCGGCACCCACCTGGACAGGGCGCCGCTGATGCGGTCCAGCAGGAAGCGCAGGAAGTCCTGGGGCGTGCAGAAGTAGCGGAAGGTGTACAGGAACTGCTGCACGTAGCCCTCCCGGAAGGCGTCGCTGCGGGCGGGGCGGCTCAGCGCGGGCGCCGGCCCCGCCCCTCCGCGTCAGCCCCGCCCACATCCTAGTCCGGCCCCGCCCTCCGCGTTGACCCCGCCCCCCGCGCTCGCCCCGCCCACAGACTCCCGACCCCGCCTCTCCGCGCTCGCCCCGCCCACAGACTCCCCGACTCCGCCCACGGACTCCCGACCCCGCCCCTCCGCGCTCGCCCCGCCCACAGACTCCCGGCCCCGCCCCTCGGCGCTCGCCCCACCGACTCTCCCGACCCCGCCCCTCCGCGCTCGCCCCGCCCACAGACTCTCCCGGCCCCGCCCCTCCGCGCTCGCCCCGCCCACCGGCTCACCCGGCCCCGCCCCTCCGCGCTCGCCCCGCCCCCGGCCCGCCCCGCCCCCGCGCCGGCACCTGGAGTACAGGTAGGCCATGAGCCCCAGCGGCGTGCCCGCCTGCAGGACGCGCCCCCTCCGCGGGCGGCCGCCGCGCGCCGGCTTGCTGACGTTGTAGAAGATGAGGGAGGAGGACTCGTCCAGGGGGCTGAAGGCCGGCGCGCCGCACTGGGCCGCCGCCACGTTCACGATGTCCGGCAGCGCGCAGGGCTCCAGGCCCCAGCGCTCGGCGTACAGGACCTGGGGGGGCGCGGCTGTTGCGGCGGGGCGGGGGGGGGCGGGGCGGGGCGGGCCGGGCGGGGCGGGGCGGGGCGGGCGGGGCGGCCACTTGCCTGCAGGTACCTCCGGACCAGCCCCAGCTGCTGCACCCTGCCCTGCGTCTCCTCCAGCTGCCCCCGCAGCTTGGCCAGCATGGTCTTCACCTCGGAGCCTGCGCGCCGGCGGGTCAGCGCTGGCCGCCCGCGCGGGTCCCCCGCCCGCCCGCCCGCCCGCCCGCCGGCCCGCCGGCCCGGCCCGGCCCACCTTTGTGCCGCTTCTCCTTCTGCAGGAGCTTCTGGTAGAACTTGAGGGTCTTGCGGTAGCTGCGCTTCTCCATCACGAGCTGCTGCTCCAGCGCCTGCGGGCAGCCCAGCAGGCTCCCAGGAGCGGGCGGCGGGGCCGCGGGCCGGCCCCGGGGCTCCTCTCGCGCCCGGGCCGGGAGGCCAGGCCGGCGCGCCCCGAGCGCGGACACCCGGCCGCAGGCGCGCGGAGCGAGACCGCCCGAGGCCGGCAGCGTCCAGCGCCCGCCCGCCCGCCCCCCCCGGGGCGCCCCGACGCCGCCCTCGGGGCCCGCGGTGGGTGGCCGCGCCCTGCCTGCCCTGGCGGAGGGGCGGGGGGCGGGTGGAGCGGGGCGCTGCGGGGCCATCCCTCCCCGCTGTCCTGGGGTCTGGGAGGCGGAGGTCGCCCCCGCGCGAGCAGGGAGCCTCTCGGGGCTCTGCCTCTCCGGGAGCTGCTCGGCCGCTGGACGCCCACCCGGGGCGGCTGTCCCCGCGGCCACAGGCCCGGCTGGCGGAGCAGCCGCCCCCGCCCCCAAGGACGCGGCCGGGACTCACCGGGTGGCGGGTGTCGGCGTCCAGGGCCTGCTGCCCGGCCAGCTGCTGCGCGCAGCGGTGCACGTCCGCCCCGAAGCAGGCCTCCTCGTAGAAGGCGCTGCCCCAGCCCGGGCTGCCGCTCGGGACCCCGGCCCCGCGGCCCTCCTCCCGCCGGGCCGGCCGCGCCCCGGCCTCCGAGCCCGGGCCCGCCTGCCGCGGGGCCTCCGCGGCCTCAGCCTGCGGCTCCCGCCTGGCTCTCAGGGACGTCTGCGGCCGGAACCCCACCTCCAGGTTGCCCCCCGACAGCTCCTCAGTGTCGCTGTCCGATCGAGCGGGGCCCGGGCAGGGGGCTCGGCTGCCGCCTGCTGCGGGCAGTTTCTCCTTCCCTGGACAGAGGGTCAGACGCTCAGCGCCGCCCAGAGGGACGGCCCACGTGGACGGTGGGGTCACCACCAGGGCGGGGCTGGCTCCTGCTCCCGGCCCCCAAAACATGCTATCGCGTGGTGCAGAGCCAGGGGTGGGGCTTGGAACTGCTGCTGAGGGAACAGGTGCAGAAGGGGGGCTCCCCGGGGCGGGGGCTCTGGCCATCTCTACTCTGGAGCACAGGTGCGCGGGCGCAGGGGGAGGCCCTGACCCCCGCCAGGAAAGTATACAGGTCCCCTCCCTGACACCACACCTGCGCAGCCCGGGGGAGCCTGGCCAAATCAGGCTTAAGTGGGGTCCCCTCCGGGGCAGATGCTCCCACCGCAGGCCGCCGTGGGGTCCAGAGGCGAGGCCCCCTTTGCCCACAGCCCTGTGCCCAGTGCCCCAGGCCCACCCCTTACCAGCTCCGCGCAGGGAGGCTCTCCTGCTGGCTGGGGAGCAGCCGCCGGGCTGGCCGGTCCAGCCACCACCCTCACGCTGGGGCGCAGCCTCCTCCGAAGCCCTGCCATCAGTGGGGACACGCAGCTGGCCCCCGCCCCTCAGCTCTGGCCTCGCCTGGGCTGTCCCCCAACCCTGAAGAGCCTTTGGGGCTACCCCAGGTTTCCTCCTGTGCAAACCCTCTGGGGCAGAAGTGGGGCCCTCAGGGCCGGGGTCCCCAGGATTCAGACCTGCTCCCCGGGCAGCCACTGCAGGTCAGGCTGCAGGACCCTGTCTCAGCCTGGGGGCAGGCCCAGCTCCGAGGACTCGCCTGGCCTGCAGCAGGGCCCCCCTCCAGCAACAGTCTACCACGAGGGTGGCTGTCGCACCAGGGCTGGATGGCAGGCTCCCCGGGGATGAGGAGCTGCTGCCCAAGCGGGGAGGAGAGCCCTTAGGGAGCAGCACCTGCGGCGGGGGCGTGGGGGGGGGGCTGTGAGCTGGCAGGGCAACGCTCACCCCTCTGGGGACGAGCCCCTCCTGTTGACGGCGGCGAACAGGTCGCACAGCAACTTCTCGCCCCAGTACAGGTCGCTGAACTTCTCGGACACGGCGCCACAGAAGGTGGCAAAGGTCAGGTCCCTCAGGCCGAGGATGTGCTCCCCTGCGTGGGCGGGTCAGCAGGCCAGGCTGGGGGCGCAGGCCGGGGCTGGGGGGTCCTGGGGCCCAGTCTGCCCAGCTCTTCTGCAGATACCTAGTGGGGCCCTCCTTGTGGCAGTTGAATCTCCCCATTCCCACATGTGGCCCCCAGGCCTCCCCATCCCGGGCTCTGCCCCCCCCATACCCATGATCAGAGCCTCCAGGCCGTTGTCCAGGTAACCGTCGAAGGCAAACTCCTCCTGGATGAGGCGCATGGCCTCCTGCAGCGAGGGGCAGGCCGCTCTCCCTGGGAGAGGCGGGGCGTCCACACCAGATGGACAGGACTTGGGGTCTGCTGGCCGGGGCCTCTCAGGGTGACCGTCCGGGGTCTGGTCTCCCTGCTCCGAGGTAGCTGTGCCCCCAGGACTCTCTGGACCTGCTGCAGCCAGGGCGGGGCCCCATGAGGCTGACTGGGTGCTCCTGGGCTCCTGACCCCGGGGCTCAATGGCCGGAGCCCTGGGCGGCTTGGCTGGGTGACGAGAGCCCGGGGCTGCAGCGGGCCCTGGGGCGAGGAGCCTGTGGCCTCCGGCAGAGGCTCCTGGGAGCACCTGCTCCTCTGGCCCTTGTCCCTGGGGCGGCACCTGTGCCTTCAGGGCCTGGCTCGGGGCAGGAGAGGCGAGCAACCTGGAGGAGGCCCCACTGGGCGGGCTGGCTGGGGCTGAGGGCGGGGCGTGCCCCTGGGCGGGCTCTCTCAGCGCAGACCCCTCCAGGGGCTCCGGAGCTGGACCTGGCTGCTCAGACCTGGGGCCCGAGGGCAGGGCCAGGGTGTCCCTGCGGGAGAGGGGAGAGCGCTCAGGAGGGCCCTCGCGGGGCGCCTGTGCAAGAGCACCTGGGGGGCACCCACCTGGCCACTCCTGCGCGGGGTGGGAGCTCGATGGGGGTGAAGTGGGTGGCAGCAGAAGTGAATGCGGGCGGCAGCTCCAGGGCCCCCCCGCGGCTGGGGGGCTGGCTGGGCACAGGCTCCCGCACAGCCGCCAGCCACGTGTCCCCGCTGACCTGCAGGAAGCCTGGGGACAGAGATGGGGTGAGCATGGCTGTGTTTGTGCCCTGAGCAGTGGGGGGCTGGGGGGTCCTCCAGCCTGTGGGCACCACCCCCTCCCACCCGCTCCTTTTCCTTGCAGGAGGGGGAGGAGCTCAGGAGGGGGCTGGGGTGGGCTGGGGTGAGCGCGGGCCAGAGGCCCACGCCCCATGCCCGCTGGGGTGGGGGTCATTTTCACTTGCGGGGGTGGTCAGCGCCCCTCCCGACGCTGCAGGGCTGTGTGGAGGGGTCGGCAGGACAGCACGGGGCCTGGGTGTGGGAGTGGGGGCACCTGGTGGTGAGATAAGAGGGAGTTTGGGGCCCAGCCTGAGCCTGGGCAGGATAGACAGGGGACAGGAGTGAGGCTGGACATCTGGCACCAGTGTCCACTCAGGCAGGGCTGTGGGGCCACAGGGGGGTCGCCCACCTGGGCCCAGCTGGGTGGCGGCCACTGGGCGAGGGCTCAGACCGGCCACAGGGCAGGCCTTCTGGAGACCGATGGTCTCTTCTTCCTGGTCAGCCTGGCACAGAACAGGAAGGGGCGGTTGGGGTGATGGGACCCCTGCAGAACGGGGTACCGCGGCCCCGGGCCCCGGCTCTGAGCCGGGCCTGTCCAGCCTGGATACAGGGACACCTCCCTAGCCGCAGACGGCCCCTATCTCTGGGTCTGGTGTGGCTCGTCCAGGCCCCTGGCCACCCCGACCCAAACCACCTAGTGATGTGGGGTTCCTGGCTGCCGCCTCAGGCTCCCCCGCTGCCGGCCAGCACACCCCGGAGCAGTGAGGTATGTCCCTGAGGGGGTGTGGGCCCAACATGTACTTTCCCCAGGCGCCACACCCCTGCAGGGCCAGCTCCCCATGATGGCCTTCGAGGGGGAGCCCCTGTCCCGCGCTCTGGGCAGCCGCGCAAGCCACAGGGCACCCCCCCCAGGGGCAGCAAGAGGCCTGGGTCTGCCCCAGAGCCGCGCACCTGGCAGGTGGACGCCCTCAGGTGGGCTAGAATCTTCCTGCTGTCCATGCCTCGCTGCAGGAGGTAGGCGCTGCACATCTGGGGGCGAGAACCGGCCGGCAGGCCCAGGGTCCGTCCAGGGGCGCGGCGGCCTCCCCGGCTGTCCCGCGGGGGAGTCAACACCAGCAGAGGTGGCCGGGGCAGGCCTGAGGCTGGGACAGCTCCCACTGGAGCCTCAGCGGTCAGTGCCCCACAGGAGCCCCTGAGGGCTGAGGCCAAGCCCGCCCGGCCTGGGGGGGGGGGGACCTCTTCCTGTGCTGCCCTCGGGCCGCGGGAGGGTGTCGGGTGTCGGGGTGCAGCCTGCAGGCCGAGCAGCCGCGCCCCGCTACAAGGGCCCGCCCCCAGGCTTCCCGCCAGCACCCCAGGCCAGGGCTGCCCCAGCGCCGGCCGCCCCTGCCCCAGGGCCTGTCCTCCCAGCCACTCCAACCCCCCCAACCCCTCCGCGGGCCGGGCCGCCTGGTCTGGGTGACGCGGCCGCGCTGCGCAGACGGTGCCGGGCGGGCGGAGGGGGCGCCGGTACCTTGGTGGCCTCGGCCACGGAGGGCCGCTCCGGGGCGCGGCGGCGCGCCATGTCCAGCAGGAGCGTCTTGAGCCGGTGCGGCAGGGCCAGCTTGCGGCCGCGGGGGACACCGAACTTGGCGGCCGCCCACAGCACCGCGGCCACGCAGTACACAGAGGCCTGAGGGGGACGTGTGCTCAGCGGCCACCCCGCGGAGCCCCCCGCGCGCCCACAGCAGGGGCACCCTCGGGCCGCGGCTGGTTAGCAGGACGCGCCGCGGTGCGCCCTTGCCTGGGCTTCCACAGCTCCCCGTCTCCCCCTCAGGTGCGGCCGCTGTGGCTTTCCAGGGCACCCCTGGCCCCCCACCGCAGTCCATGGGGCTCCCCCACTTTCTACTCTCTCCTCTCCTGCCCCTCCCCCTCCGGAGGCCTCAGCGCTGTGGTCAGCTTTCAGGGGTCAGTTTTAAGCTTGGCCTTTGTCCCGTTCTCTCTGGATCTGGAGTAGAAGCGACACCCCCGGGGCCCATGTTCTCTGCTCGCTTCACCCAGCGCCCTCCCTCCCGCTGCCCATGGCGCGAGTTTGCCTTTTTGATGGCTGTGTAGTATTCCACCAGAGCACAGACGACGTCTTGACCCACTGGCCTGTTCCGGGCGTGGGAGCTGTGTCCACGGCCTGGCTGTTGCGAAGGGTGCTGCAGCGAGCAGTGGGCAGGTCTCCCTTGGAGTTTGCAGTTGTGTGATCGGTGGGCAGGCTCCCAGGAGTGGAATCGCTGGGCCACGTGCCACATTTTGAGCAGCCTCCAGCTTCCCACAGGGCAGGCCGTGCATACACCCCGCCAGGGGGAGGCTCCCCGCCACCCCCACCGGCTCTGGCTCCTGGGGCATCACTGGGCCGCGCCCCCAGGGCCAGGCAGCGCCTCCCTGATGAGGAAAGGGCACTCTCCATGCGTCTGCGTTTGGAGAAGGGGCTGTTGGCTGCTGCTGCCCACGTCTGGACTTGGTGGCTTGTGCGTTCTCTTGGGTCCCGGGAGCCCCGTGTCATCTTTGCTGTCAGCCCCTTACAGGAACTTTCATTTGCTGCCGTCCCGGCTGCTCGCGCTCTCCTCTGCCTGCCTTGCTTCCAGAGGCGAGTCCACCACGACGCGTCCGAGGGCCCTGCCACGGGGTGATGTGCCCACGTTCGGTGTCTGTCACGGCCTCACATCTTCCACCCAAGTCTCTGCTTCATTTTGAGGTGATTTTCCTGTGAGGCGTGAGCGTGCAGTCCAGGTGCGCGCCTTTGCCCGCGGCCCTGCAGCTCCCAGCTGCTCACTGAAGAGGCGTCCCTGCCCAGCGCGTCTCCCTCCTCAGCCACGGGACGGTCGCCCACGAAGGTGCTTGTATTTCTGGGCTCTCGATTCCATTCCACGGCCGTGTGTCTGTCTGGCCCCAGGACCAGGCTGCTTGAGTGATGATGAGTGACTTCATAGTGCAGCTCCAGTCTGCAACTGTGAAACCCCCACGTCCCCCCTTTTAGGCAGAAGCTGTGGCTATTCGGGCTACTTTGTGGTTCCACATGGACTGCATCAGTATTTGTTCCATTTCTTTGAAGAATTCGATTCGGATTTTTATTGGGTTGCAGTGAATCTACAAAGTGCTTTGGGCAGGACGGCCCCTTTGACAGGGTTGATTCTTCCGATCCAGGAGCAGGGAATGTCTTTGCGTCTTCGGTTTCTCTTAACAGTGTTTCGTAGTTTTCCTCTAGGAGTTTCTCACTCCTTGGCTAGGTTTATTCTCTGGTGGTGTTTCTTGGTGGGATTGTAAATGGGGCCGCTTTTGTGATTTCCTCTGCTTCATCATCGGTGTACAGCGTGGCAGCTGATCTCTGTGCCACTGCGCTGAACTGGTCTGTTTGGTTTTTTTTTAAAGATTTATTTATTGATTGATTGATTTATACATACATACATACAAGCACTGGGCACAGTCAGAAGCGCGGGAGGGCGAGAGAATTCACCAGAGCCAGAGCGGGGAGCAGAGCAGGCAGAAGGACCGAAGGACACTGCTGAGGGGAGCAGCGGGCGGCAGGAGAGGTCTGCGCGCCATGGGGGACCCTCCTCCGGTGGCCGGGGAGCAGCTGGGGATCGAACCGGCGCTGCAGAGGCCGTGGGCAGCTTCGCAGCCCAGCGCTCACCCGCCGCGCCCCCGGGGAGGCCCTGGTCTGTTGTTTTAATTAGTTTTTCCACGGAGTCCTTGGGGTTCTCTACGGACATCACCGTAGCACCTGTGAACGACGACAGCCTTGCAGGCCCTGCTTGTAGATTGTTGACTTTCCGAGCCAATGCCCCACAGCGGGGCGCTGGGGCGGGGGAGGGGGGAGGGCGCAGGCGGCATGTGTCACGGGGGCTCCCACGCGGGGCAGGCGGCAATGCTGCCCTCACAGGAAATGGTTCGTTCCCTGAGCTTACACATCCAGCGCCGAGAAAACCGTCGATCCACACGGAGGTCACGAGCAGACCGCGCGCCCTCGCCCCGTCCCCCGAGCAGCTCTCTCGTGACCGCGGTGCAGCCGGACAGCAGCACGGGCAGGAGACCGGCCCTCCCTGCCTGGTGGCCGCAGCACACAGCCCCGCGGGACTGGCACCCCTCAGCAGCCCCAGGAGAGCCGCCCGGCAGCAGGCGCCCCTGGTGTGGCAGGTGCGGGGACCTCGCCAGCAGGAGCCCGTGGTTTCCAGCTTGGGGCTGTTTCGGGAGCTGCCGGGCGCCCCCTGTGGGGTGCTATGCTGTGCCCTGCGCCCCGCTGGGCTGTTCCAGCAGGTGGGCCGCCCCCAGCGAGCCCCCGGGCCCTGGGGACCGTGTCTCTGGGTCACTGCCCTCGGGGCTTCTTCCCGGGGGTCTCTCCAGGCCTCGTGCCCACGTTCCGATTGTTCGCCTCCTTCGTGTGAGTTTCAGGAGCTCCTTGTGCGTCTGGGCTGCAGCCGTCCCCGCCCCGGGCTGGCTCTTCCTCGGCAGCGTCTCCTGGGAGCCGAAACCCTGGAACCAAGAGGCTGACGCGAGTTTTCCCTCTCGTGGCTCAGTTTTCAGGCCACACCTCGGAAAACTGCCCGCCTGCGGTGTCCTCATGGAGCAGACCTTTTTTAGGGTCATTTTTAAAAACTGAAGTAACAGCTCCCTGCCATCATGTAAGCCTCAGGTCTGCGTCATCAGCTCTTCTGGAAGCTTCCGGCTCTCACTGCACAGCTGCGCCCGACCGGGCACGTGAACTCTGTGGCCTGCAGACCTGCGCCAGGAGCTACTTTTCTGCGTGTTGAGACTCCCGACAGCGTGGGTTGAAGAGACCGTGTTTCCCACTGAGTCGCTTCTGCGGGCCCCGGGCCCCCTGCTCTGTCCTGGGGTTCAGGGCACGGGTGTGTGAGCCCAGGCGCCCGCCAGCGACCTCACCTTCTGGGCGGAACTGGCGTCCTGGGCCTGTCCTCACTCCACACACGGGGCTCGGCTTGCTGGTGCCCACGCCGCGGCCCGCGGGCTGACTGCTGCCCGGCCTGGGTCAGCGGGAGGGGCGTGGCCCCCACACCCGCGTCCACCCGCGCTCCCTTCCCGGATTCGGCGCCTCCTCCCACGCCCGTGCAGTCTTGCTGGGCACGAGAGTGGCTTTTTGGCACGCGTGTCAATGGGGCGTGTTTTTAATTTGAAGTCGTGCTCGTCCACTGAGGGCAGACAGGCGAGCTGCGCGCTTGTGGCCGTGAGCAGCCCAGGCTTTGCTGGTTCTCTGGGGTTCTGTGCATGTTACACCTGGGCACGCTCTGCTTCCTCCCTCCCTTCTTCGCCTTTGGCACAGGCCGGGACCCCCGCCTGGTGCTGAGAGGGGCAGTGGCCGGCCCCGGCCGCCTGCTCCTCGGGTCGCTCGGCTCGTTTCCCGTAGTAAGGATGACGCTGCGGTGGTTGGGGAGGGGCTTTGTCCCCGAGGTGAGGAAGATCTCCCCTGGCCCTCGCTCGCTGAGTGTTTATCCAACTGCCGCTACATTTTGTTAGAAGTTCGACATCTACAGGGCCTCCCTGGTGGCGCAAGGGGTTAAGCACCGCACTATGACGCAATCCACAGCCTCAGCAGCATGAGTTCGATCCCCGGCTGGCCAGGGGGCTACCCACAGGGCGCAGCAGACCCCTCCTGTCTCCCCGCTGCTCCCCTCAGCGGTGGATTTCAGTCCGTCTGCCTGTTCTGCTCCCCGCTCTGTCTCTGGTGGATCCTCTCACCCTGCGCACCTCTGGCCTGCTCCCCAGCTCTTATGTGCATAAATAAATAAATCTTTAAAAAAAAAAAAAGCTCAACATCTACAATCACATAAACGTAATTTTTCTTCTTTAATCGACTGACGTGCCGTATCACGTGGATCCACGTGTGAGTCCTCGGATTCTTGCCTCCAAGGAACAAATCCCACTTGGTCCATTTTTAATTTCGATGAAGCTCAATGTCTGTCTTTCCTGTAGTGGACGGAGTTCTGGACAGAGCGTCTGGAGTCCAGCCCCCGCCCCGCTGGCTCTCCCGGCAGCCCTCTTTGGTCGCTGGCGCGTTGGCGTCTGTGCGTGTCTGTGAGGTCACACCCAGCGCCCGTGTTTCTGAGGGTCGTGAAGGCGCCATGTTCAGGGTCTTGGTGTGCGCGTGGTCTCCTGTCGACACCTTGGAATTTTCTGTGGCGACGTGGGCTGTCTGCAGCCTGCTCGGCCCCGTCCCCCCAGCAGCGGCAGCGCCCCGCTCTGCGAGGACCAGGTTGGGGACGGACGCCCCTGCTTTGTTCCCCATCCTGGTTTCTTCTCTTCCCACTTTTCTTTGTAGTATCGGGTGGGAGTTGAGTTTTGCCCAATGTTTTTTTCTGCATCATCTCTCCGGGTCACCAGGATCTTGGGGGGAGGGGGCGAGTGTGCTGGGCACCCCGCTGGCTTCGACATAGGCCGTCCTGGGCCTGGGGAGCGGCCCTGTGCTGGCCCCGCCCCAGGGGCTTGCCGAGGCCCTGGCGGGCCCCACGGCCTCTGGCTGGGGGCCGGGGGAATACTGGCTTCGTGACAGGAGCGGGGCGGAGTCCCGCGGGCCTGTCCGCAGACGCCGAGGCCGTCGCGCCTGGAGGCTTAGGCTCTGCCGGGAACGAGCTCAGCTTGCTCGCCCGCCGGGCCTGCCGGGTGAGGGCCGCTGGGCGCCCGGCCGCCTGGGCTGTGCCCGTGGGCGAGGGGTGTCCTTGCTGTGGCGCCATCTCCTGGTTTTGTTGTTTTGGGGGCAGCGTGTCCTGCTGGCCTTGCCTGGGGATCGGCCTCCACCTCGTACCCTCTCTGCTGCCCCCCACTTCCCCTGCTCTTGCCCTCAGCTTTTGGGTGCAGCTTAGATGACTGTGGCTTCGCCTCCTTTCCAGCAAGCTCCCCCCTTCTTCTGGGTGGCTTCCCGCCCCCCCAGTGCCTCTTTCGGCTGGGGAGACCCCCAGGCAAGGCACCTCGGCTCTTTGCAGCAGGGGCGGGGCTCAGTCTCCAGAGGTGCCCACGGCGGGCGTGGGGGACCCTCGCCTGGTACCCCGGCCACGGGGAGGTCCGACTCTCTCAGGCCTCGCAGACACCCCCAGTTGGCAGGGCACCTCATTGCTGACCGCTGGCCTCGGGGGCTGCGGGCCCTGGGCTCTTTGGGCCTCCCGGGCCGAGGCGCCGGCTCCAGAAGCCCCGCAGCAGCCCCCCTGGGCCTCCCCACCGGGGAGAGTGCGGGGTGCTCGGGTGCGCGCCTCGGGGCGCCCGTTAGGCTCTCCCACCTTCCAGGCAGCCCCAGCGCCCCGGGGATTCTGAACCTAAGTGACTCATTGCCAGTTGGGGCGCTTAGCCCAGTGCGCCCCCGCTCAGCGACCACCCCCCACCCCGGGCCGCCAGGCGGCTCGCAGGACCCCCGGCCCGGCCGGCGGCGTTACCTTCTCGGTCACCGGCTTCTGCTCCGCAGCCTCGGGAGCCAGAAAGAAGGCGTCGGGGGCACCTGCGAGGAGACGCGAGCCCGCTGAGCTGCGCGGGGAGGGCGCCCCGCAACCCGGGGCCACCCCGGGGCCACCCGGCCGTACGCACCGTGCGCGGGGGGCGGCGCGAGGCGCACGGCCCCGTCCTCGGCCACCAGCACGGAGTCGGGGCTCAGGTAGGCTGCGGCGACGGCGGGTCAGGGCGCCGGGCCTGCTGGCGGGGCGCCGGGGGCGCGGGGCGGGGCGCGCGGCGGGGTCGGGGCGCGGGGCGTGGGGTCGGGGCGCGGGGCGCGGGGCGCGGGGCGGGGGTGGGGCGCGGCGCAGGGCGGGGGTCGGGCGCGGGGGTGGGGTCGGGGCGTGGGGGTGGGGCGCGGGGCGCGGGGCGCGGGGCGGGGGTGGGGCGCGGCGCAGGGCGGGGGTCGGGGCGCGGGGCGGGGGTCGGGGCGCGGGGCGGGCGCGGGTCCTCACCTGGGCGCTGGCGCTGCGCGCGCAGGGCGCGGAGGCAGGCGAGGGCGAGCGCCCACAGCTCGTACTCCCTGAAGGGCCGGCCCAGCTGGCGCAGCAGGTCCCGCAGCCCGACGTCCTGCGGGGCAGCCGGCTCAGCCCAGCCGCTCGCGGCTCCCGGGGCCCAGCCCGGGCCCGCCGGCTGCTGAGAGGTCGGGGAGAGCCCCGCAGGCACAGGGGAGCCCCTATCCCGGGACGGCGGGGGGTACGCGGGGCCGTGCCGGGCAGGCAGCTGGAGGCCCCGGCCGGCCGCCGGGCCTTCCCGTGCCGGGAGCTGACCCTGGGCCGAGGGCGGGGACTCGGGCGGCGCCCCCGGCCCGCAGCGCCGCTGGAGGCCGCTCAGGACCCCAGCCGCGCCCGGCGCCTGCCCGCAGCGCCCCGCATTCAGCCCCACACAGGGGCCCAGCGCAGCCTCCGGCAGGGCGCAGGAGGGGAGAGGCACCCAGACCGGAGAGGAAGAAGGAAAACTCACCATTTGCAGAAAACCTGATAATATACCCAGAAAGATGCAAACCTCAATCAAAACCCTGACTCCCAGAGTGAAGAGCTACCAGGAATAGTAAACACTGGCAGTGCAGCGGCAGGTTACAGAGCCGACCGCAGGAACCCCTGCCTTTCTCTGCTCCTGCGAACAAGCAGAGGAGAAAGCCGGGGCCGGGGCCAGCCGCACCAAGAGGAGCCCCTGGGGATGCTCGCCACCCGAGAGGTGACAGCCTGTTTGCGACGGCCATCGGGGAGACACGCCGGCGGGGAAGCAGTCATGTGGCCGTGCCAGCCAGAGCCAAGCCCAGCTTGGCGCAGCCTCCATCAAGATGCCAGCGGCCTTCCTCACAGGAGAACAAGTGACAGCGTTTATTTGGAAAACAAAAGACCCTGAAGAGCAAAAACAATCCTGAGAGAAAAGAACAAACATGAAGGGCTGCACTCGCTGACTTCAAACTCACTTCGAAGCACCAGGAAGCAAAACAACATGGCACGGGAATAACGACCAGCACCAGAAAGGAGCGCCCAGAAGAGCCCAAGCTCACGTGGGCAGCTCCTCGACACCAGGAACGGGTGCCTCACGATGGAGAGAGCGCCCCGCGGGCCCTGGAGCTGGAAAACCCGCCAGCCACACACAGGACTGGAGTGGGGCCCTCACACCACGTGGGTTAAAGCTTGGCTGTGAGACCTGGAACCACAACACACCGGCCAGCACGGCGACACCTCCTGGACACCCACCGGCCGGGGCTGCTGGGACTCGGCCGCAAAGCAGCGCAAGTCAGCAAGGACAGCAGCAAACTGAGATCTCCCACACAGGCCCAGGAGCTGGCCTGGAGAGGACAGGCCTTCTCCAAGAAGACACAGACGGCCAGCAGGCCAGGATGGAGCTCATCCCTGGCACCAGGGAAACCCAGGTCTGAGCCTCGTGCTGTCACCTCACCCTGCGGGGACAGCTGTGCACCCAAGACAAGCAGCAGGTGGTAGGAGGCCAAGGGCTTGCGCCCTGCTGTGGGGCGAGGGCGCAGCCATCACGGGAAGCAGCATGAAGATGCCTCAAACAATCAAAACCAAGTGCCACACGTTCCAGTTATCACACTGCTGGGCATTTACCCGAAAAATGCAAAAACGTTATTTTGAAGTATAGGTGCACCCCCATTTCATTGCAGGATTAGAACTGGAAACAGCCTAAGCGCACGACCACAGACGGATGAGTGGACAGAGAGATGTGGGCTACAACACAGTGGAGTACTACTCAGTCATGAAAAAGGTGGAGCCTCGCCGTTGGATGATGCCTGGGGACATAAGTCGAGGGGAGAAAGACAAAGACGTGACCTCACTTGTGCAGTGTGTAGAGAAACAAAGAAACCGACAAGCTGTCAGAGGACGAGACCAATTGGCGGCACTAGGAGGGAAGGAGAGTGGGCGAGGGGACAAGGGTGTGGCGAGGGAGGGATCTGGACTTTGGGGGGGGGGCCCAGCGTGACATGTTCGGTTACAATGCCACAGGCCGGGGGTTTATAGGATGGGCTGTGACATTGCTTCACTACAAATAAAAACACTTACATATCATACATGTTAATGTCTATACGTGATAATATAGAATAGAGATAATTAAAGAAAGAGATAAAAGGGAGATGCTGACCCCGGCTACACCCACGCCTGAGGACACCAGGACTCAGGCCCCCCGCTGGACTGGACTGACCCCAGAAGGCCTTAAGATGATTGGCGAGTGCTGGGGAGGGCTGCCCGTGCCTGTTTACCATCTAGAAGGGGGCCGTGGTGAGGTCATGTACCTGGGTGCTGGGAGCCGCTGTCGGCCAGGGGCACCTGTGGCGCCCATGGGGCAGGTGATAGTTTGAGGTGAGGGACGTGATGTCAGCCTGAGAGCCCAGGGTGTGCAAGCACCAGCTGTGCCCCTCCTGTCCGGTCACGAGCCAGAGCTCGGGAAGCAGCCTGCTGGGGGCTGGGTTGACCAGCCTCGGAGGCTGCAGCCCAGGCCACTCCGAGCACCTGCAGTGAGGCTGAACACCCCCGGCCTCCCTGGGCCTCCCTGGACCTCCCAGGTCCTCACAGCTGATATGGGGACAGCACCAGCAGCCTGAAGACGCCAGAGCTCCGGAGATAACCCCTGGGGGTGTGGTGGTCCTAGTGGGGGGCTGCCCCTACACAAGTCCTTCACAATCCACGGAAACAGGGAGGGTCCTGGCCCAGGGCCGGGTCTGGGCTGCGTGCACAGGGCAGCTGGGGCAAAGCTGGGTAAGGGCTGGGCAAGGGAGGCCGAGGTGGTGCGTGTGGGGGTGGAGGGGCACATGCCTGTGCAGGGGCCCTCCAGCCACGGGGAGCCCCCAGCTCTCACCTGCTCCGCGGCTGTACTTCCTGGCTGTCCAGCTGCATCCAGAGTCCCCTCGGTCTTGAGAGTCCAGGCAGCGGGACCCACCTCACCGGGGTCCTGGGAGTGGGTTGGGGGGCTTTCCTCTGCAGGGCCCTGGCTGGGCTGCGACGCCGCCTGGGCCCCGTCCGGCTGGGGCTCTGGGCCCTGCTCTGGCCACAGTCCGGACTTGGGTGGTGCCTTCACACTGGAGAGCCCCCTTCTCCCGTCCCAGGGGCCCTTCCCGGCGTCTGCAGTAGGGGATTCCGAGGCGGGCAGCAAGTTTTTGGCGCTGGTCAGTGGCAGGCAGAGGCCACTGGCCTCGGGCCCCTCGGGCAGGAGCCGGGGGAATGTCTGCACTTTACGCAGGTGGCCCCGCTCCAGAAAGTCGGGCTCCAGGGCCCCCCTGGCACGCGGGGTGTCCAGCTCATCCAGGAGGCTGGCCAGCTCATCCAGGCCGTGGCTCTCACCGTTCCTCATGGGGGCCGACAGCAGAGGCTTGGTGGGCGGGGTCCCGGGGTGCTCCGGGCCCCGGGGGAGGGAGGCTTGGGGTGGGCCCTCTGTGGTGGGCAGGTCCCCAGGGTCCCCGGGCGGCCTCCTGGGTCTCCCCCGCCAGGCACTCTCGCTGACCTCTGTGCAAAAGCAGGGTGGTCACTGCCAGGCGCCGTGGTTCAGGAAGGGGGACCCACACCAGGGACCCCGCCCTCAGGGCCTCACTGGCTGGGTCCTCTGCACTCAGGCCCTGCCCCTCCCTCAGTCCAGAAATGTCCTTGCCTGTCCCACTCCTGCCGGACCAGCCAAGCCAGCGGCTGGAGCTCCTGAGGGCTGCACCCCGCAGGGGTAGCGGGCCTGCCGGCCTGCCCGGTCGGGGCCCACGTGCGCAGGCACACACAGCCACACGTACACAGTCACACACGCACGCCACACGCGTGCACACCCGTGCCCGTGAGCCCCTCTGGAGGCCCCGCGAGGAGGTGCCTGCTGTGCACTCCGCCAGCGGCAGTGCCCCTCCCAGGGGTGCCCCAGGCGGTTGCGCTGGAGTCCCAGGGAGCCCGGAAGCCCCAGGCAGTCAGCGAGTGCCTGCTGAGTCCCAGGCTGGCCGGAGAGGAGTTGGGGCGCCCACTGCCCCCCACAGGCCGAGCCTGACGCCCCACCCAGGATCTCCGAGCTGCTGCCTGGTGTCAGCGTGTGGGGTGTGCCTGTGTGCGGCGGTGCCTGTGTGTGTGTGGGGGGGGGGGCCTGTGTGCAGGGGTGCCTGCGTGCGGGGGTGGGGGGTGGGGGTGCCTGTGTGCGGGGGTGGGGGGGTGGGGGTGCCTGTGTGCAGGGGTGCCTGCGTGCGGGGGTGGGGGGGTGGGGGTGCCTGTGTGCGGGGTGTGCCTATGTGCGGGGGTGCCTGTGTGGGGGGGGCGGGGTGTGCTGTGTGCGGGGTTGCCTGCGTGCGGGGGTGGGGGGGCGGGGTTGCCTGCGTGCGGGGTGGGGGGGTGGGGGTGCCTGTGTGCGGGGGTGGGTGGGGGGGTGGTGGGGGTGCCTGTGTGCGGGGGTGCCTGTGTGCAGGGGTGGGGGGGTGGGGGTGCCTGTGTGCGGGGGTGCCTGTGTGCGGGGGTGGGGGGTGGGGGTGCCTGTGTGCGGGGGTGCCTGCGTGCGGGGTGGGGGGGTGGGGGTGCCTGCGTGCGGGGGTGGGGGGGTGGGGCGCCTGTGTGCGGGGGTGCCTGTGTTAGGGGGTGGGGGGGTGGGGCGCCTGCGTGCGGGGCAGGGCTGGTGCGCAAGGTGCTGGCGTGCACCGCGGGCCCCCGCGGGGGGCGCTCACCTTGAAAGGCCCCGAAGGACTCGAGGGACAGCACCCGCCGTCCCGCGGCCGACAGGCTCCGGCACAGGCGGCAGGGGGAGGCCAGCTGCAGCTTCTGCTCGCACAGCGCGATGACGCTCTGCGGACCGGGCGGCCTCAGCGCGCGCCTCGCCCGGCGCCCCCCCAGCCTCGCCCAGCACGGCGGGCGGCTCCTCGGGGGGGCGGGGGGCGCGCCGGGGGGCTACCTGCAGCTCGGGCCGCTCCCCGGGGTCCTCCGCCTGCATCCGGCTCAGCAGGGCCTCCAGGTCGCGGCTCAGCTCGGGCCCCGGCTCGGGCCCCGCGGGGTACTCCAGGGCCGCCTTCAGCGTGGCCCCCAAGGAGTAGATGTGCGCCTGCGCGGAGGGGGGTGCACCCGTGAGCGCGCCCCCCGCCCGGTGGGCCCGCCGCGCCCCGCCCCCGGCTCCGGGCCCCGCCCCCGGCTCCAGGCCCCGCCCCGGCTCCGGGCCCCGCCCCCGGCTCCAGGCCCCGCCCCGGCTCCGGGCCCCACCCCTGCCTCTGGGCCCCGCCCCTGCCCCAGGCCCCGCCCCCAGGCCCAGGCCCCGCCCCAGCCTAGCCCGGGTGGGTGGAACCAGGGCGGGCTGGGCGCTGGCCCCCAAGTGGGGATGCGGGGCACAGGGACATGGACTATCTGGGGGCGGTGCTGGGGTACCTGATTCTGGATTCAAGGCACCGTGAAGACTGGGAGTGTGGACTGCAGGACACGGAATCTGGGGTCCCGGGGTCCCCAAACCCCACGGGGCCCCAGCCTCTGCAGGCCTCCGCGGGCCGCCCCGAGAGCCGAGGGATCCAGCCCTGCTGTTCACAGCAGACCGAGGCCCAGTCACAGACGCTTCCTCCCACAAACACTCAGCCGACTGACGCGAGGCTCAGGGCTTCTCTGGGAAGATGCCGCTGGGGGGCGGCCCCTGTGTGGGGAGCCCCACGCTGGGCACTCGGGGTGCAAAGCAGTCGACTCTGCTGAGTGGGGCTCCAGACGGGGTGGGCACAGCCGCCACGCTTGCTCCCTGGCCGGTGCCCAGAGGCCAGTGCGCCTGCACCACTGTGACCCGCCCACCCTCTGCTGCCAAGAAGGGGTCCTGGGGAGTGGCCGGCCTGTGGCCTGGCCACCTGCCACACTCACCTCAAAGGTGTTCCCAGTGTCATCAAACTCTGGGGGGACAAAGACGCCCTCAGGGTCATCTGCGGGAGGGAAAGAGAAGGCGCTGACCACAGGCCCAGTGAGCAGGGCCAGGACTCGGGTCCCCGTGCTGGGGCCGCTCACCTCCACCCCAGGGCGGGCGCGAAGGGGAGGCCACTACTTGATGGTGGGCGTGGGAAGTCGGCTCGGAGAGGAAGGGCTTGACCGGCTCCCCAGAGCAGCAGGGCAGAGGTGCCCCGTCAGGGGGCCAGGCCTGGCCCCTCAAGCTTCCCTTGGGCCAGCAGCAGCCTCCAGGGCCTCCCTGACCGGTCCGCTCACCACAGGGCAGCTGGACCCAGCACAAGTCGGGGCTGGCTGAGTGCTGGCCAGGCCGGGGTGCCCTCTGGCGCGGGAGGGGCTGGCCCGAGCAGGCGCGGGGCGCACAGCAGGTCCTGATCTCCGGCAGCTGCCTTGCCCACCCTGCCCTCCCCGGGCCACCGCCCGCCCCGAGGGCCTCACCGCTGAGCTGCTCCATGAAGCACACGCTGCCGCTGGTGTTGAAGGCCAGGGTGTCAGGCGTGATGCAGAGGGTCTGGAAGATGGCTGCGGGCGCCACGCTGCGCAGGGCCAGGCTGCACTCCAGGCACACGGCCCAGGCCTCCTGCTCGCTGAGGCCGCCGTCCCGCAGGGACAGGATGTCCGCCAGGGACACGTTCTCCTGCCGAGAAAGGCGCTGAGGCGCAGTCCCGGCCGCCTCGAGCAGAGGACCCCGCCGCCTCCCGGCCAGCCCAGCCACCGCTGGCAGCCGAGGCCCGCGCCGCCCGCCCACCCGCCCGCCCGAGAGGCTGCTCCGGCCCCGGCTCTGCCCCGCGGCGGCTCAGCAGACGGCCAGGCCGCAGGCCTCGGGCCCCGGCCGCCATCCCCAACCTGGCGGTGTCCCCGAAAGCCGCCTGTGCCGGGGCGTGGGGGGACCCATGCGCCCTGACCTCGGCGCCCACCCCGGAGTCGCCGGCAGCTCCACGCCTGCCCTGCTCTCACCCCTGCCGGCGCCCCACCCGCCTCCCCCGCGCCGGCCCCCAGGCCGCGCCCCTGGCTCCGCCACCTCAGGGTCAGGGGTGGGGCCCCCACCTGCTGGCCCCACGGGCCTCAGCGGTCCCTTGGCAGGGGGCCCTAACCAGCGCTCCCAGCGGCCTCTGGCTCCCCATCGCCGCCGTCAGACGCGTCTGTTCACAGGCTGTGTGGGGTTTTCTCCGGGGCCACACGGGGGGCATTCCAGAGAGTCCTCCAGACACCCCCACACGGCCCGCGAGCGGCTGTCTGACAGGGGCTCGCCCTACCTCCCACTCAGCGCACCCTGCACCGCCAGGCTCCAGGGCCCCTCCTCTGGCCTGCCCATCGGGTGCAGCTGCAGCCCGGCCTGCTCGCCCACAGGACGGCTCCCTGACCTGTGCGGGCAGCGTCCCTGGCGTGGCTTAAGGCCCTCAGCTACAGGCGTGGGTCCGGCCCGAGGCACCGGCCTGGGACAGGCAAACAGGGTCAAGCCCCCCAAGCCCGGCAGCTCCTCCAGAGTGGTGGGGTCTGCAGGGTGCACCTGAACTTCCAGCTGGGAGCAACCAGGAGGGTAGTGTCCGGCCGCCCCCACCCCAGACACCTGTGCAGCTGGGGCTGCTCTAGCTCAGCGGGGGGCTGGGGTCACGCCACCACCAGAGGCCGCGGGCCCAGCCGGGGCGGCTTGGGCGGGGACGAGCTCTGGTGCCCATCCAGGGGCTGCGGCTCTGCTCGCGGCGCTGGCCTCGCTGCCTCGCAGGGCACCCGGGAGGCCCTGAGGCTGACGCAGGGGCTGTTCTGGATGGCGCCAGGCGAGCCTTCCAGCACACACCCCCAAAGGCACGCCTGGGAGTCTGGAGGCTGTGGGCTGTGTCCCCCCACCAGTGAGGGAGCCGCCAACAGGCTTGCTCCCTCCGCCTGGCTCCCCTCTCTGCAGGCACTGGGGGGACAGGGAGGCCCTGAAGCACTGCCCTCCGGCCACCCCGCCCCAGCCCTCCTCCAGCGGCCTCCCCCGCCCTCCCTCCCTCTCTCTGAAGGGTCAGCTCTTCAGGAGGGGGCAGAGGCCGTGCTCCAGCGCTGGCCCTTCCAGGGCAGGGCCGCCGGTGCGGGCATTTGCCCGCAGGAGACTCGGGCTCTGGGCCGGGGCCCTGCGCCTCGAGGGACCAGGGTGTCCTGGCAGGGCCCCGGCCCCGTGGGAGAGCAGGAGCCCCATGTGGTGCAGGCCCTCTGGGCCCGGGGGCTGCGCGGGACCCCCATGGAGAACCCCAAGGCCCTGTGAGCAGGAAGCGGCCCTCCGTGGGGGGGGGGGTTCCCCCACCTCCCGACCGCGGTCTGACCGGCTCCGCGGCCGCGCCCGCTGACCTCCCGGGTGCGGAGAAACATGCCCCCCGCGCCCCCCGCGCCCCCGCGCCCCCGCGCCCCCCTGAGGTGGAGGTCGAGCCCCGCAGGGCGGGCGCCCGCGCAGCAGCCGCAGCCCCCCGCCCCCCCCCCCCCCCCCCCCGCCCCCGCGCCTTCCCGGGCGCTGCGCCTGCGGAGCCCGCGGCCGGGGAGGGGGAGCCGGGGAGCCCGCGGCCGGGGAGCCGGGGAGCGGGGAGCGGGGAGCCGGGAGCCCGCGGCCGGGGAGCGGGGAGCGGGGAGCGGGGAGCCGGGAGCCCGCGGCCGGGGAGCGGGGAGCGGGGAGCCGGGCGCGGGGCGCGCTCACCTCGTCCTCGGGCAGCGTGGGCAGCGGCTCGAAGTCGTAGAGGGCCAGGTCCGCGGCGTCCCCCTCGCGGAGGGCGGCCGCGCCGGGGCCCGGGGCCTGCATCCCGCCGCCCGGCCGCGCCCCGCGCCCCGCGCTCGTCCTGCGGCGGCCGCGCCCCTGGAGCGGCGCGGGCTGGGCTCCCCGGCCGGCTACGCGCGCCCCGCCGCCATGGCAACGCCGCCCCCCGCGCCCCGCCCCCCCCCGCGCTCCGCCCCCCCCCCCCCGCGCTGCCGCAGTGTCGCCCGGGGCGGGCCGGGGGGCGGGGCGGGGCGGGCCGAGGGGGGGGCCGGGGGGCGGGGCGGGCCGAGGGGGGGGCCGGGCGGGGGGCCGAGGGGGGGGCCGGGGCGGGGGGCGGGGGGCGCGGGGGCCGGGCGGGGGCGCGGGGGGGCCGGGCCGAGGGGGGGCCGGGGGGGCGGGCCGAGGGGCCCGGCGGGGGGGCGGGGGGGCCGGCCTGGGGGGGGGCCGGGCCTGGGGGGGCGGGGGGGCGGGCCTGCGGGGGCGCGGGGGGCCGGGCGTGGGGGACGTGGGGGCCGGCGGGCTCCGATGGGGCGGGCGGCGCCGTGTGTGCGCCCCGCCCGGGCAGGCAGCGCCCGGGCCCCGCGAGGGGCCCCCTGGGCGTCCGCGGGTCCCCCCGACCCGACCCGCGCAGCCGTAATCCCCGCGGGGGGGGCGGGGCCGCAGCCCGGGTCGGCGGGGCCGCGGGGCGCCCCAGCCCCCTCCGGTCTCCGCCCTGCAGCGCCCAGGCCTCGCCCGCCGCAGCCTCCGGGCGGCCCGGGCCCAGGACGGCCACAGAGGTCGGGGCCCCGAGGGCCCCCGCGGGCTCCGCGGGCTGCGGGGCGGGGCGGGGTCAGCCCGCAGTCGCCCCACCTGGCCCGCGGCCGCCGCCGACCCGCCGCTCCTGGGGCAGGGAGGGCAGGTCCGCGCCTCCAGGAGAGCGTCCCCCCCGGTCTGCGGGCCTGCGGCCGGGGGTCGGGGCTGTCCGTCGGGCCCGGGGCACCGCCCGCCCGCAGCAGAGGCCGGCGCGGCTGTCCCCGCGGAGGCCGCGGCCGGGGCGCCAGGGTCACGGGGCACTCGGGGTAACTGCGGGTCCGGTCCGAGGGCCGAGCCCCCCGCCGCCGCAAAGGCCCGGAGAAGGGGCACCTGGCCCGCCCTGGGCCGACTGCGCTGTGGGGGCGGGGGGGGGGGGTGGCCTTGAACACAGGCAAGGGGCGCCCCGCGAGCCGCTCTCCCAGCAGGAGAAAACACGTCCCGTGGGCGCCCCCAGAAGACTCTCGCTCACGTGTCCGGCCACAGGACCAACACGCGCGGCACAGGGAGAGGCTCGTGCGCCCCAACAGCTGAGCAGGACCCGGCCAGCCGATGGGCAGCAGCACGGACAGCGCCCTGCAGCGGGGCACCCCAGGGCCAGGGCGCAGTGGGAAAAGGCTGCTGTTGCCCTGATGAGGGGTGAGGGGGCCCTGCTGCACCCCCCGCAGCCATTGGGGGGAGGTGCCAAGGGGCACGGATGGGAAGTTAGGGCTGCTGGGGCACCTCGGCCGAGAGCAGGCAGTGCCCCTTGCCAGCACCGAGCCTGGGGCCGCCACGATGGAGGGGGCAGGGAAGCCGCGGGGACCCGCCCCAGCACTGGGCAGCCCCCAGAAGGGCGGCCACGGCCTCTCCCCAAGATGGAGCGAGCGGGAGAGACTCATGGGCAGTCATGGCAGACAGGAGCGGGGCCCGGACACACAACACACGGGCACACACGGATACACAGACACACACGGACACACACGGACACACACAGACACACACGGACACACACGGACACACGGACACACACGGACACACACGGACACACGGACACTCAGACACACACGGACACACAGAGACACACATGGACACACAGACACACGGGTGGACGCGGGCGCATGCACACCCCACACACAGCTGAGTCCTGGGGCCCCGCCCCTGCGCCCCTGCGCCCCTGCCCCAGGTGTCCTGTCCAGACGCTCCCTGTGTGGGGACCCCAGCAGAGAGGTGCGGGGAGCTCCAGCGAGAGTCGCCCCCAGAGTGGGGAGCCGCAGCCCAGGACGCCGCCCGCCCGCTGGAGCCTGGGCCTGGGCCTGGGCCTGGGGTGCTGGCCGAGTGGTGCAGCCGCGAGCGCAGGCCAGTGGGGCTCCCGGCAGGGCCGAGCGGGTCGCCTGCGGGCCAGGCCGTCGTCCGGGGCCGGCGCTCGGCAGGCAGTTTCAGAAGATCAGACTCGAGGCAAACATTCCTGACAAGAACGTCAAGCCCCTGATTCACAGGACCGGTCTCTGCGTGTCTGCGGGCCGGGGCTTGGGGCGACAGGCCCCTCCCGAGCAGGTGACACTCAGGACCCTAAGGACCCCCTGGCCTGACCTCTGGGCTCCGGGTGGCCCCGTCACCCATGGGCGGAGAGGCAGGGGCTGGGCAGGGAGCAGGCCTGGGGGGGCTGGGCTGGGGGCGGGGCTGGGCTGGGGCAGGGGCTGGGCCCAGCCCCCCTGCAGTGGGGAGGGTGGTGATGGGGCTGGGGTGGAGGCCCAGTGGGCCAGGGGCACCCAGCCGGGAAGTATACTCGGATATTGGGGGCGACTGGGGGTTCTGCTTAAGCTGAGTTTACAGGGGCACACACAGGTGGGCCTGCTGCCCCCCCCACCTCCCGCGTGGGATGCGCCTTGTCTGCAGCCCCTGCTGTCCCTGTGGTGGCCCCGAGCATCTCTCTGGCCACTCCTGGAGGGCGTGGGCTTCAGCCCCCCAGGCCCCAAGGTTTGGCCCCGCACTGCCCAGGGAAGCCGCATGCCCAGAATGCACTGGGGCTGCGTCGAGAGGCTGCTGACCACTTTTTTGGTCACTGAGCTTCCCTGGTGTCCGCTGAGGCCACAGGCCACATTCTGGGGGGGCGGGAGACAGGGGGCTCCTCCCGGACTGCAGCCAGCAGAGGGCGGCGCCGGCCCAGCTGTGCTCAGGCTGGGAGGGACGCAGCAGGGGCCTGGGGCCAGCGCCAGCAGTTAGTGGCCTCCTGTTGGGTCCATGGCCCTGGCTGCCCCGCCTGTGTGTCCCCGGTGTGGCACGGGCCCCTGTCACAGGCGGCAGGGAGGGCAGTGGGGCTGCTGCCTGGAGCTGGCCGGAGCGTGGGTGCAGCTGGACCTTTCTGTGGCCTGAATCCTGGCTCTGGGGGAGGGTGGCCCAGCCCCTGCACGTGATGCCCCTGGCTACAGCTGGGGGTTGGGTCTGCCCAGCGCTGACCATGCTTTAGGGTGCCTTTTGGCCCCACAGGTCCCCCAAGCCAGCTGGGAGCCCCCATTCTGCTGCCAGCGTGGCCGGGCAGGTGTCTCCTGTGACGCAGGTAAGTGCTCAGCTCCAGGGGCTGCGGCCCCAGGTCCTGGCTGCTGGGGTCCCTTCACCTGTCCCTCCAGGCCCTGGTCCTCCCAGTCATCTGTGGCCTCCTCCCCCACCATCCCACCCGTGGCCGGTCCAGGGCATGTAAAGGTCTGGAAGGCCCGGGTTCCCAGGCTGCTGTGAGGCAGGTCCCCAGAGCATGAGCCTCTGGGACCCGGGGTCCAGGCAATGGGTGGAGTCCAGTCCCAGCCGCTGCCCAGTCTGTGGGCGCCGTGGCCCCGAGTCCCCCTTAAATGGTGTCTGTAGCTCCTGGGAGGCCCAAGGGCACCAGGAGCCCAAATGGGGATGTGAAGGTCCAGCTCAGTGGGCACACAGTAGATCTGGGGGGGGCTGGCCGGCTGCTGGGGACACCAGTGCCGTGGTGGGGGCAGAGCTGCGGGCACGGTGGAGGGGGCAGCCATGCACTGGCCTCGCCCCCCCGGATCCCTTCAGGGCCCCAGCCAGGAAGGCCGGATGGAGGTGGCCAGGGGAGGTAGGGGTGGGCCCCAGGCTGGACCTTGCATCCCACAGAAGCCTTGACTGGGGCTGCCCAGCCAGATGGCTCGGGGGCAATTTGGAGACAGTCCCGGCCTGAAGGGCTTAGGGATGGCGGCAGCGCCCCGATCAGGGGGCCAGTGCCCAACGCTGGCGGTGGTGCCCAAGGCCACGGCCAGCTTCTGGGCTCGCGGGGATGGCAAGGCTGTGGCTCCCAGCGCCCTGCCAACAGCCAAGTGGCCCTGGGCCGGCACCCCACCCTGCAATGGATGCCTCAGGATGGCGTCTCCCACGCAGGTACACACACACACACACGCACCCCCCGCACCCACACCCGTGCACACACCCACTGCACCCACTGTGCACACACCCGTGCACTCACACCCGTGCACATGTACCCCACCACACCCACAGCACACACACCTGTGCACTCACACCTGTGTACACGTACCCCACCATACCCATTGCACACACACCCATGCACTCACATCCATGCACACACACCCCCTCACCCACACCCACTACTACACACACACCTGTGCACTCACACCCATGCACTCGCACCCGATGCCCACTGTGCACACACCCATGCACTCACACCCGTGCACATGTACCCCACCATGCCCATTGCACATGCGTGCACTCACACCCATGCACCACCTGCACCCATGTCCACTGTGCATGCCCACATGTGCACACACATGCACACACGCGTGCACACGCACCCGGTGCACCCCCACGCACAGCTCACCCTCGCACACTGCACATGCATGCTCATGTGCACACAGCCTCATGGCTTGGTGCACACCCGCACGCGCCACACAGCAGACAAGCACATGTGTGTGCATGCGGGGCAGGAGGTGCAGAGGCTGCTGGGACCCGCTGGTGGGCCTGAGCTTGCTCCCTCGTCCGGTGCCCAGAAGGGAAGCCCCAGGCCCAGGGCCCTCCGGCGGGTCCAGACCCAACGCCAGGGCCAGCTCTGTCCTGTCCACCCATCCCGGTGCTGCCCATGCCCCGGGCCTGGGGGGGTGGCTTGTGGATGCCCTGTCCCCACCCTCGGGGCCTAGCAGGCTGCGCACCCCACAAACGACACCATTAATAACCTAGGGAAACGGCCTCCGTTGTATTTCTGCCCCGCAGCCCAGCACGCGCAGCGCCCCCTGCCCACGCGGAGCTCGCTCCCGGCAGTCGTGGAGCCTCAGCCCAGCAGTGGGCGCGGACCCGGGCCCCAGGCGGGGGCAGCACGGGACAGCGCATGGGGGGCACACACCTGGGCGCGGGCAGGGGCTCACACGCACGCCTCCCCCTGCCCGGGTGCCCCAGACCCCACAGAGGGCGGGCCTGGAACGGACACCAGCCTGGTCGGGCCGTGAGTCCAGGCACTCGCGGAGGCGGCCTGACGCGGCCCTGTCCCGACAGCGCTAGCCCCGCGGTCGAGTCCCAGGCTCAGGACCCGCGGCTGTGCCAAAGGCACAGGGTCCCCAGACACCCGCTGGCCTTGGCAGGCGCCTGCAGGACAGGGCTGCAGTCAGATAGGGGGTCGCGGGGGTCTGGACCGGCCAGCGGGGGCTCTGGACTGGACAAGACCCGGCCGCATAGTGAATGCCGGCTACGGCGGGGCGTGAGGGACAGGGTCCCGCCTCGGGCCCTCACAGGAGGGGCGCGGCGCGGCGCAACAGGGGCTACACGGTGGTCTCGTTCCTCCAGAGCCCAGTTCGGATGTTCCCCGCGCTGTCGGCGCCAAAGGCCAGGCTCTCGGGCAGCCCACTCTGGCCCGGGGCCCCGAAGGGCAGGGACTGTGTCCTCCGCAGCATCTCAAAGTGGGCGGGAACGCAGCCGTAGTGCCGGGGGCTGGGGCTGCCCCCCTCAGGCACCGCCCCGGGGAAGGGGTCGCCCTGGGTGCAGCAGGCCAGCGGGGGCACCCCCGCCGGGCCCTCCAGCGAGCTGCGGGCGCTGTCCGAGCGCGAGCTGAGGGGGCTGCCGTCCAGGCTGGCCGGGATGTGGTAGGCGCACTCGGGCTCTGCCAGGGGGCGGCCAAAGTAGTGCAGCTTAGTCCTGGCTTGCGGGCACCTGTGCAGGTGCAGGTCGGGCGCGAAGGCGTCCTCCTCCAGCAGCTGCTCGCAGCGGCGGCCGGGGCAGCAGGGCGCGGTGGGCGCCAGGCAGCTGACGCGGCTCTGGGAGGCCCGCAGCTCGGCCATCTTGCAGTGGCCGGCGGGCGAGTGGCCGAAGCCCCGGGGCGGGCCGGGGCAGGGAGAGTCTTGCAGGCAGGCGGGGTGTCCCAGGGCCTCCCCGTTGGCGTCCAGCAGCGGGTGGGGGCAGAGCGCCGGGCGGGGGCATCCCCGCGGGCCGGGCAGCAGGACCACCAGCAGTGCCACACGTCCTCGCGCTTGGCACAGTGGTGGATGAGCACAAACAGCCCCAGGGTCACACAGAAGGCCCCGTACAGGCAGCTGAAGACCATGTCCAGGAAGTGTCCCTGCGACACGGCCAGCGCCCCGAAGGCCCAGGTGGCCGTGAACAGGAAGAGCGTGAAGGCGGCCGCGCGCAGCTGCGCCTTGAAAGAGTGCTCGTTCTGCAGCAGCGAGGCGCCTGCCGCCTCGCAGGAGGGGGGTGAGCGCGGCAGGGCCCCGTCGCCCCGGCCCGCCAGGCGCGGGGGCTGCTCCGGCCGCTCCCCGAGCTCGTACCTGCGTTCCGGGTGGCGGCGCAGCTGCACGTAGGTGCCCAGGAGGTACAGGCAGGTGACCAGGGCGATGAAGGCCGCTGGCCCGTAAAAGGCGCCCAGGCTGGGCTCCCAGGCCATCCAGCAGCTGTGGGGGACAGCAGGTCAGGGGCGCAGGAGGGGCTGGCGTCAGCGCGGTCAGGGGCCCATCCAGTCCCGTGGCCAGAGGCTTCCGGGGAGGGGGAGGGGGCAGGCCTGTGCCCGGGTCTGCGCCCCCCACCGGGCTGCCCTTTTCTCCTGCAGGCACAAAGGAGGAGGAGAAGGACCCAGGAGGGAGGGCTCTGCTAGGAGGGGAGCCTGGGGACGCTGGGCCACCCCAGCTGCCCTGTGTGTGACCCTCCCACCTCCAGAGAGCCACCCCCAGCCCCACCACAGGGAGCAGGGAGGGCTGCCAGGCCGGGCCGGGGTGAGGGCGCCTTTGGGGCCGCGGGCCGAGCTGCGTGTGCGTCGCTGCGTGGACGTGGGTGGTGCGAGGAGGGGTCAGCGCTCTTGGAGGGGCCGGCTCAGCCTCTGGTCCGCTGAGTGGGTGGGGGGAGCTGGGCCCCCCGTGGGCGGGAAGGGCTGGGCCGCCCACCCCGGGCCCTGTACTCACTACCCCGAGTTCTCGTCCTCCCTCCCATAATTCCGGATGTTTGTGGCAGCAGTGACCCCACAGATGATGAAGGGGACCCCTCCACTGACGAGGTAGAACCTGTGGGAGGGCGGACTCCTCACCACCCAGGCCCGGGAGGCCCCCTGCCGCCTCCCCACAGCCCCCCCAGCTCTCCCCCTCCCCCACCTCCCCTCCCCACCCCTCTCCCGCCTTCCCTACCTCCCCCACCTCCTCTGCCCCTCCCCCTCCCTGCCTCCCTCCCCACCTCCCCTGCCCCTCCCCACCTCCCCTGCCCCCCCAACAGCCCCCAGCTCTCCCCCTCCCCCACCTCCCCTCCCCTGCCCCTCCCCACCTCCCCTGCCCGCCTCTGCCCTCCCCACAGAGGGGCTTGCCCAGCCCCAGACCCGGCTCCAGCCACAGTCCAGGGCGCCCAGAGAGCGTCACGCCCGGCCGGGGGAGCAGGCCCGGCTCATGGACGGCAGTGACCGTGCTGGCCGTCACGGGCAGTGGCCCTGGGACTCTGGTCCCCAGAATTCTACGCCAGAGAACACGCCCTTGAAGGATGAAGGGGGACAACATGTATGATCTCGTGGCGCCCGGCTTTTCAAGCAGCCCTGGGGGCGGCGCTCTGGCTGCAGAGCAGATGGGGGGGCCGGCACCTGCGCCCCGAGGAGGGAGGGGAGCGGCCGTCTGCGCGCGAGGCTCTGAGAAGTGCTTACATCACGTCGCGCGGTCTCTACCCTAGCAGACGGTGGAGAGGCTGTTCATGTGGTCCTGAAGGCAGTCACGAGGATACGTTAAAGTGGATTCAAAAATGTTAAAATAATTCAAAAGAAGGAAACAAGAGGAAAGAGGGAACAGGAGAAACGAAGCAGGAAGCAAGAGCGAAAAGACCTAAATTCCACCAAACAAAAATCTGTTACATTTGAAGGGACCCAACGCTGCAACTCCGGGAGAAGCTGCCAGGAAAGACGCCGCGAAGGCAGCGGTCACGGCCACGGAGCAACGCCCGAAATAGAGGGACGCGCTGTGGAGACTAACTGGGTGGCTGAAGCTTCCGCACGAGCCCTGAGCCGAGCGGGCCCAGCGGCCGCCTGCACCCCGGCGAGACGGGCTCTGCGAGGAAGCAGGGCGAGCGCGCCCTCGGGAGGACGGCAGCCCGGAGCCGGGCCCGGGGGGCGAGACCCGCTGCTCCCAGCCGCGAGCGGGGAAGGGAAAGGCCGTGAGGTCAAGGTCTGAGCACCCAGAGCCTCTCGTGCCCTGCCTGCGGGTCACGGGCCGTCACGCCGCGCGTCCGCGCCCCTCTGCTCGCCTGCCTGGCTGAGCCGAGGCCCCGTGAAGCAAGTCCCCACGCGTTCAGAGGAGCGAAGGTCTCTGCCCGCAGGGAAACGAACTACTAAGACGACAGCTAGGAGAGCCCGCGTGTCTGGCAATGAAACAACCGATTTCTAAACAATCATGGACCCAAGGAGACATCCCAGGGAGTCTGGGGAATATTTACAGCAGAACGGGAAAGAAAACACTCGTGACGCGTGTGCGCTGCAGCTAATGCTGCGTCAGAGGGACACCCATAGCCGTAGATGCTTCCATGAGAAAACCTGGAAGGGGTGTGATCCCCCTTCACAAAGGCACAAAATCAAAATGACAAAGGAAACGGGGAGGAGAGTAACTGGGAAGGAGATCATAAAGACAAGGGCAGAAGGAGAAAGCAAAAAAGCAGTGAAAATTACCTAGCCAAAAGTTAATTTTCTGAAAAATCAACCAAACTATAACCTTCTAGCTAGACTAGGACGAGAGAGCGCCGCAAATTGCCAGGATCGCCCCCACCGCCGGTACAAGCGCAAGAGCACGTCACCAGCGACGGCAGGTCTGACGCCGGGCAGCTTAGATGCAGCAGGTCTCCAGGAAAGAAGTGACCAGACCTGGCGCGAGAGGAATCGGGAAACCTGGACACCCCGTACCTGATCAGGAATCGAATTCCCTGTTTACAAACACGCAACAGAGAATTCCAGGCCCCGCGACTCGCCAGTGAGTCGCCTGTCTAAGGGGGTGGCAGGGCTGTGTCGGGGGCGCTGAGGGGCCCCGCTGACTGCACCAGGCCACGCTGCCTCACAACGTGCCCTGGGACCCCGGCCCAGCACCTCCAGCACGTCTGCAGCGCGAGCCAGGCTTGTGGGAAGGAAGATCCCAGCCAGGAACAGTCTCCCTGAAAACCGACCCTGCAGCCGGGAGCACCCGCGACGTGGTCGCGTGACAGACACAGCAGAAGCTTCTGACAAAATGCGACACTTTCCCCATAAAAAGCCCCAGCAGGGCCTTCCCGGTGGCTCAGCGGGTTGAGGGCAGCGCTGTGAAGCTGTCCGCAGCCTCTGCAGCGCGGGTTCGATTCCCGGCCAGCCAGGGAGATTCCCACAAGGCGCGGCAGACTCTCCTGCCTCCCCGCTGCCCCCCTCGGCCGTGTACTTTGGTCAATCCACCTGTTCCGTTCCCCGCTCTGTCTCTGGTGAATCCTCTCACCCCCGCACCTCTGGCCTGTACCCCAGCTCTTGCATAAAAATAAATAAATTAAAAAAAAAAAAAGCCCCAACAAACTGGAGCAGAAGGGCCCCCACAAGCTGCTAAGAGGCTCTGGAGCCTCCGGCAGTGGCACCGATGGCGGGTCAGGACCAGATGGGGTGGCCCCAGCACCGTGGACGTGTCCTGGGGCACCAGCGAGCAAAGAGAGAGGCACCACGAAGTGGACGGACGTGTGTCGACCAGCAGGCGGCCCCGCGGCCCCGGGGCACCAGGAGCCAAGGGGAGCACCCGCCGTGCGGGGCTGCCGGCCTCCTGAGCCAGCCAGTTATGTTTCTGTCCACTAGCAGAAAGCACTAGACAACCAGAAAGCCATCTGCAATGACATAAAGCCAGCAGATTGCTTTTTTAGTGAACAAACTTGTTCTAAATGTACATGGCGACAGGCTGAAGGCCACCGATGTGCCAGGGCGGGCGGCGGGTCAGTGTGGCCTTCAGGAGGCCCGGGCGGGGGCGCGGCTGTGGGAGCAGTTTAGCCGGCAAAGGCTCGAACACCGCGAGGGGGGCTGCGGCCCGGCCTTTGATGGACAGAGGCCGGGCCAAGGGGCCATCTAGCTCCAGACAGCACTGTCCCCCCACCGCAGCTGCACCATGCCAGAGGGGCTTTGTCTGTGTGTCTCTAGCTAGTGACCAGCAAGCCCTCCCTGCCCCATGGCCCCCGTGGACCTCTAACGCTGCTGTCCACGGCCACAGCCTCTCTGCATTTGCCGTGCAGGACTCAGAGGTCCAGCTGGCCTGTGGGGTCTCCCTCTCCCAGCACGGGAGGAGCCCTGGAGCGAGGACAGGAGGGGGTGGCCAGCCCTGCCCGCCGCTGGGGTGGGGCTGAGGGGCCCACATCCAGGGCAGCTGAGGAACTGCCCGAGCCGTCCTTGTGGACAGCCGCATGACAAAAGTCAACGGGTCCTGGCCTGGGCACCCTGCCTGGCCCCCGTGGCCCTTGAGGAGGTGGGCTGGGTGGGTGCTGCCCCAGGAGGGGCCACCCTTTCCAGTTTCAGGGTTCAGCCCAAAGCCATGGTGACCAAGGAGAGGTAGCACTTGACCTGGGGGTCAGGGGAGCCCAACAATGTGTGGCCAGGCCATTCTCAGCAGGGGGCCCAAGACCGCTGGCCAGGGGCGCTCAGCTGGACCCACTGACAGTCCACAGAGAAGAGGGGGGGCTGGACCCCTGCCTCACGCCTCATGTCGGGGCCTGCGGCCTGTGTCTGAACTAAAACAGAAACCCCAGCGGGTCAGCCCTGGAGCTGGCGGCATCACGGCCTGGGGACGGGCCAAGGTGTCCGAGGTGGCACTGAAGTCACCAAGGAGAAAACTGCGTCAGCCTCACCGACGGCTCGTGTCGGGGGCGTTCCCAAGAGGGTGACACGGTCACGCACCCACAGACACGGCATCTTCAGGTCTCCCGTCTGGACCATACCTAGTGTCCGGGACACGTGACGGCCCCCACGGCCCACGCACAGACAGGCGGAGCCCCCTGGGCCACACACTTCTCCCAGGAGGGCAGCGGCGGCCGGCGGGGTTCTGGCGTGGGGGTGCCAGCCGTGGCTCAGCAAGAGCCCCCCCCCCACTGGGATCGTCCCCACCCACTGGAGAGCGCGAGAGAGCACCTAGGGGTGGGCGCAGGGTCCCACACACTTGGGGGCACACCTGGCAGGAAGGAGGGAGAAAGGGCGGCCCCACCGCAGCAGCAGCGGGGCACCCTGCCCCTGTACCCCAACCTGGACACTACTCCTGACACCCTGCCCTCCACACCTGACTCCCACACCCGCCCGGCTCCCCAGCGGAGGTGCTTCCCGGCACCCCACTGGACAGCCCCTTCCCCTGCCCCCCAGACCCTCTGCTCTTGGCGCCAGCCCAGCCACCTGCAGGGCCAGGCGAGCTCACCCCGCGCCCCAGACGCGCCCCTACCTGAGCAAGGGCTGCCTGGGGGCCGGGGGCTGGCCTGCACCCGGAGCCGGGGGGGCCTTCCTGGCGACCTGCTGGTAGACGTTCCTGGCGGCCACGGCGATCCAGAGCAGGGTGCAGAGCGTGCAGTAGTGCAGCGCCACGCCCACCTGCGGGAGAGCCTGCTGCACCCGGCGGGCAGGGCCCAGCGGCCCCCTCCCCCCCAGGGCCGCAGCTCCGGGATGAGCCTGCAGGGCGAGCACAGGGAGGGGGCGCCCACAGTGGGGGCACGGGGCACCCACAGAGGGGGCAGGGGACGCCCACAGAGGGGGCAGGTACGCTGGAGCCAGAGAGACCTGCAGACGCAAGTGAGGAGGGGCAGAGCCGCCTGACCCGCATCCGGGGCGGCTGCCCAGTCCCCAGCGCAGTTCCTGCCTGGGGGAGGTGCTGCGGCCCGGGGCACTCTGGGGGTGGGGGCGCCCATGCAGGATAGCCCGCGGCCCGGGTGGGGCTCAGCGTGGCACCAGCCCGGCCCTCAGACCCCCAGGGGCACTGGCCTGGCCCGGCCAGCCCGAGGGGTGGGCTGCAGTGGCCAGGACGGGGGCCAGGGTGGGCCCTGCCGCTCATGTCCTCTGCAGACCCAGAGTGGTGGTGGTAGAGCAGCGCCCATGCATGAGTCACATGCCGGTGCCCCCATGTCACTGCGCACTTTCGCGGGGCGCAGTCATCTTTTCACTGTTGTCATTATGACCATCAGCTGGCGCCAGCCCCGGGCCTTCACAGCCAGGCCGAGGGGCCCTGGGGGGCTGCGGGGCGCAGATGCCAGGTGGAGGCGAGCAGGACGCGGTCACCTGGGGCGCTGGCCCCTGTGGTGCGCCGGGGGTTGGTCCAGGCGCAGGTGGACGCTGGCGCCAGATGGGTGGGGTTCCTCCCCACGTGACCCCGGGGTTCCTCCCCACGCGGCCTGGGGGCCCAGCCCTCATTGCTCGCAGAGACCCATGGGGTTGCTGGGACCTCTGAACACCCTTGGATGCCCCGGAATCATATCCGACCAAACGCTGGGTGGAGGCCAGTCAGCTCGAAGGGCAGGCCAGCCACCCCCACGTGCTCGCTAGGTCTGTGCCTGCCTGCCAGGGTCTCTTCTCGGGCGGTGGGGCTCGCCCCTCCTGGGACCCAGGGCCTTGGCCCAGCCGCTGCCCAGCCACGTGTGCAGGCGCCGCGGGGCCGACCCTCCCCCCACACCACGTCCACCCGCTGAGCTGGCCTCAAGGGTCCGGCCCCAGGAGCTTGTGTCTGGGCTGCAGACAGGGGCAGTGCCAGGCTTGGGGGTGTGAGGCTCCCCAGCACCAGCATCTGGGCAACAGGACACTGAGGCTCGGTCTGTCTGCTGCCGGCCCTGCGTGCCCACGGGCACCACAACAGTTGCCCTCCGGCCCTTGGGTGGCCCTCACGCCCCCACGGCTCAAGGAAGCAAGTCCCCTCCACTTGTCGGGGCTACGTCCTGCTGGCTCTGACAGTGGCTGCCGCAGGCCGGGCGGGGAGGCCAGCCTGGCTCCTGGCTCCCTGCGGAGGCGGCAGGGGTGGGCGTCGGTGAAGCAGCCCAGCATGTCTGCCCCGCCCCGTCCCAGCACACGAGGCCAGCCGCCACTTGGGCAGGAGGAAGGCCCCATGGACAGCGCCATGCAGGCCGCGCCGGCCCAGGCACGCGGGAGTGAGGCCCAGTCAACATCCCAACTCACAGCAGCAAAGGGAGAGGGCGGCCGGGACACCCTGCGAGTGCCAGCCCAGGGCTGGTGCTGGCCAGGGATCTGCTCTGTAAGCAGCTCCACCCACCTGTGCCTGGGCATGGAGGTGGCCACCATGGTCACCACCCACGTGGGGTCACTGCCCACCCGGGGTCACCACCCATCTGGGGTCACTGCCGACCCCCAAGGTCACTGCTCACCAAGGTCACCGCCCACCCACGGTCACCACCCACCCACGGTCACCACCCCCCGGGCTTACTGCCCACCTGAGTGACTCTGAACGGCTGGGTGAGGCCAGGGCAGGCAGCTGGGCGGGGGCCTGAGAGAGTGGGCAGGGAGGGGTCTGGCCTGGGGGTCACTGCTGCGGGCTCCCCGACTGTCATGGCCCAGGTCACTCACACTTTGCAGCTTGTCAAGGAAAGGCCAGTGCAGTCGTGGGCGGGATGGAGGCCCCGGGGCCTGTTCTCAAGGTGGTGCACCAGCCTCCCCCCAGGGTGCGGCCCTGGCCGGAGGGCCGTCCCCACGTCTCCGCGGGCGGCGCCTGCACCCTTGGCCTGGGGGGCTGACCATGGACTCCCAGGGCCCAACCGCAGCACTCACCGCCTGGCACAGGGTCGGGTACTTGGTGCGGTTGACGCCGCCGGCAAACACCGTGAAGGTCAGCGCCGCGTGCAGGCAGAGGTTCAGCAGCGCGTGCCGGCCCTTCCTGCTGATCCGGATGGCGCTGCAGGTGGGGGCCGGACAGCACCGCTCAGCCCCGGAGCCCAGGCCGGCCGGGCACCTGGAGCGGGGGCTGCGACCCGGCCGAGCATGACAGCCCCGAGCCCGCTGGCAGGGCCACTCGTGGGGGTGGGCCTCCCGGCCTCCCCTGGCCTCCCCAGCCCTCCCTGACCCTCCCCACTCCTGCCCTCCCCGCGCTCCTGCCCGCCCCTGCCCTGGATGTGGCTGCTGCTGAGTCTGCTGCTCCCGCCGCTCGCTGTGCTGGCCACAGCAGCTCAGTGGCCTTGGACGTGTCCAAAGCACTAGCCCTGGCCATGCCCTTGATCCTGGGCCTGCACTGACCGTGGCCAGGACCTTCCTCACAGTGCCCAGTGTGTCTCCAAGGCAGCCCGACTCCTGCTGAGGCGGCAGGAGGCAGCTCACGGGCGCCCGCGCTGACTGGGCCTGTCTGGGCCCCTCACCGGCTCTGCTGGGAGCTGGGGCTGCGAGGAGACCCCACTGGGCTGGGCGGGACGGGGTGGCCACGGGGTGCGGGCGGGCAGGACAGGGCGGCGGGCGGCGGGCCTCACCTGCGGTGCACGAGGTAGGTGACGGCTGAGGCCAGCAGGCAGAGCAGCATGACCGCGGTGCAGGCGTACACCACGGGGTGCAGGAGCTCCCCTGGGTGCTGGGGCCGGGCCAGCTCAGTCTTCAGATCCTGCGGAGACAGGGGTGCGTGAGCAGCAGGAGTTGGACCACCGCAGGCCCGCGCCCCAGAGCCTCAGCCGGGAGGGGCTCCGTGGAAGCTCCGGTCTGCTACCGTGGGGCAGTGGTGCCCGCCGAGCCTCCCCCAGCTTCCCCTCCAGCCCCGTGCGCCGCGCGGCCCCAGAGGCGGGACTGGAAGGACGGAGCCACCGTGGGGCACGCAGTGGCGAAGGCCCCTGGGGGCAGCCCCAAAGCTCACCTGCCGGGAGCTGCTAGCCCAGGTGCGCCGCGGGGCAGGGAGACGAGGAGCAGGGCCGTGGCCCCGCACCCACTGCAGCCAGGCCTGGGCCTCGGTGGCCCCGTGCCCCTCTGGCCCCACCGCTGGGCTCCGTCTGGCCGCACGGCTCAGGTGCTCCGCGTGGGCTGAAGGCCTCGTGTGCAGCCAGCCCCCGTGGACACCAGGGTGCGGGGCCTCGGGAGACGGCCTTGCCATCCGGGGCCTCCCGCGTGGGGGGGTGCTTGCCCCCCTGAGGCAGGTGGGCAGAAGGTGGCCGCGGCGACCCAGGGGAGGGCATTGAGCTCCTGCAGGACCGCCCCTGTCCAGCAGGGCAAGGCTGGGGCAAGCCAGGCAATGGTGCTCCGTGTGGCTCAGCCAGAGTGGGGCGCCTGTGCCCCTCAGCCTCTGCACCCCGACTTTGCCTGCTTTTGTGAGTGGTCCAGCAACATGGGTGGAAGCCGCTCCCGGGAAGGCGCTGAGCCCGGGGGGAGCAAGAGGAGGCCAGGAGCTGGGCGCTGGCCCAGGGCAAGCAGGCGGCTGACGTGACTAGAGCAGTTCGGCACCCGCTCGGCCCCCACCCCAGGCCTGACTCACGGCCAGAGACTCAAGGACAGCTGTGGACACATGGGCTACAGCGGCCTGGCCGGACGACATGGGTTTCAGCAGGACACACATGGCCCAGGAGCCTTGGATCCTGAACTCGGAGTGTTGGCCAAGGCCCGCCCAGGTGACGGCCCCTCACGGCTGCTGAGGTCCGGCCCACGCCAGCCTGGCGGAAGGGCTGCGCACACTGGGCTGGGCCCCGGGGTCCTGGGGAGGGTCTGCCGGCCCGGCCCTCCCGGGTCTGGGGCTCAGGCCTGCGGCCCCTCCAGCTTGCAGTGTAAGGATGTTTTCTTGAACAGTGGGGTCACCTCTTGGTGACGTGCAGAGGTCTGCAGGGAAGGGGAGCAGAAGTCGTGAACCCACCTGGAGTGTGGGATCACCCCATGCCCTCCTGGGCACCCTGAACCCGCGGGCTCCTCAAAGCCTGGGAAGTCCAGGCCCAGCTCAGCTGGAGGCACATGTTGTTCAGGCCTGTCGGGGGCTTTCCACGGGCTCCTTCTGGAGTGGCGGCCGTGGCTCCCGATGGGGCACCCCGGGCCCTGGGCCCTGACCCTCGCGTGTGAGGCCCATGACCCTCGTGGGACCTGGACAGCCCCGCTGCCCGTGGGAGCCATGCGGTTGTCCCGAGCTCAGCCCCCGTGGGACCGTGGCTGCACATGGTGCCCAGCGTCTGTGTCCAGTGTCTGTGTCCAGCGCTTTCTCTGGCCCTCCGGGACCGGTGTCCTCGTCAGCAGGTTGCTGGAATCCTGATGGAGGGACCCCGGAGCCCTTCTGGACTCTCACTGGTGGGGGAGCGTGGGTTTGGGGCCTTGATCTCAGATCCCGTGGGGGGCTGGCGAGGACAGCAGTGGGCCCTGCTGCCCGGGGGGCCAGCCCCAGCTGAGGCAGGGCTCATGTCCAGATGTGTCTTCTCCGTGGGGCCTGTTCACACCAACAAACGCCTGGACGTGAGCCCAGCGGAGCCGTCAGAGCTGGCCCCCGACCGGGGCACAGCTGCGTGCATGCCCAAGGTGCCACAGACCACTGCCCCTGCCTGCTCTGGGTATGCCAGCCTGGCACGTCTGCGTCTCTAGAGCCGACGCTTAAAATTCAAAGCAGAGCAATATCTCCTCTTTGAAAGCTGGCCTGTGTCCATGCTCCTCCGAGGGACTGCTCTGCCGTCACCCCCCAGCCAGGGCCTCATGAGGTCGTGTGGGTCGCCGGAGCTGGGGTGCCGCGGGGCTTGGCGCCCCTGGCCCTGGACGCCAGCCGCTGAGTGCCTCCGGCCTGCCTGCGCGGTGGCCCCAGGGATCAGCGTGGAGGCCTCGGGGCCAGGTTCTGGGCTGCAGCTCCCCAGGGCCAGTGGCCTCCTCTTCGTAGCCAGCAGGGTGTCCTGGACAATCTTTAATTCCCGGCCTGTCACTTTGTCCGCTGAGGAACAGCCCCGAGCTGTGAGGCCAAGGAAACCCCGGGTCCCCAGCCCTGCTGACAGCGAAACGGGGGCAGCCCCCATGTGGAGGCGTGCCCCAGGGTGGCCGGGCGCCGGGCGAGAGGGCAGCAAACCTGGCAGAGCCGCCTCCAGGGTCACCATCCTCACCGCCTCGGTGGGCGGGCGGCTCCTGTGTGTGTGGCCAGTGGGGTGGGTGGGCCGGCCAGGCCCCCCCAGGCCCAGGCACGAGGGCCAGCAGCCCCCGCAGGTTCTTCCCGCCGGGTCACGTGTCTCCAGTCAGAAGTGTTTTGTTAGAATGAAACACCTCAAGATGCTGATGCCACGGCGGCCCCAGCGTGGCCCGTGGCCTCCCCATTGTGGGGGTCAGCAGAGATGCTGCCTCTCCCTGGGGGCCCCTTCCAGCCCGGCACATGGGGCGAGCTGACCCGCCCCTCGCCCATCGCCCCCCCACCCTGCTCCCCTCCCTCTGCCACGGCTCCCGCGTGGCAAACAACACCTGGGTCTGCGCGTGGAATGCGGACGCCGAGGAGGCCCTGCTGGTGGCCCTCAGGGGCACGACTGGCCGGGGGCTGAGGTGCCCGATCCCGGGCTGGTGGACGGCAGACACCTCCAGTCCTGGCCTGGCCCCAGAGGCCCCGCGGGCAGACCGCCACGGGACGCAGCCACTGGGCCAGCAGCACTCCTGCCCGAGCCCGCACCTACCCCTACCTGAACTCGCCCGCACCCCGCACGCACCCTGCTGACCCCCGCCCGCACAACCCTTCTGGACTCCGCCGACCGCCTCGGCCACACGCAGGCTGGCAGCGCCACGAGGAAAAGGCGGGGTGTCTCCAGGACGACCCCGCCGCTGGGCCCCTCTCCTGGCGAGAGAAGCAGCCACCCCTGCTCGCCCAACGCCCAGAGGACCACGCCGTCCCACTGCGCGTCCGCCAACTTTCCGATGGGGAGGGGAGGGCAGCTGCGGGAGGCCGGGGAGCGCGGGGGACAGGCTCAGGGCGGTGGCGCAGCCGTGGTCCAGCTGGGGGCCCAGGACGCTGTGTCCCCGGGAGGTGACTCAGCGCTGCAGCACTCCCGCAGCTGGTCAGCGTGGCCCACAGTCAGCGCAGGAGCCGCAAGCCGGCCACCCGGCCACCCGGCCACCCTGGCGGGCCCGACCGTGCTTGCCGGCCCCTGACCCTCCCTGCCGGCGCGCCTGGGACTCACCATGAGCCCTGCCCAGGTGCAGACATGAGCAGGGAGCGGCGGGGGGCCCGGGGCCAGCTATGTTGCACCCTGCTCACTGCCAGCCTCCATGGCCATGCAGAAGGTCAGCACCCCAGCGGTGGGCGGGGGCGGGTCCGGCACCTCGGGCCTCAGGGAGGCTGAGTCCGCTCCGGCGCCCACCTGCAGAGAGAGGGAGGGTCAGGTGGGGGCAGGGGCAGGCTCCCCAGCCCGCCAAGCCAGCGCTGTGGGCCCGGCAGGGCTGCCCCAGCCAGCAGGCTCCCCGGCACCCCCGCCCCGGCGCCGCGGCCGCCTGTTGCCCCTGGAGCAGAGCTGGCCGGGGGGCCGTGCAGGGGCGGCCGGAGCCCCCCGGGCCCGGACGTGCGGGCAGCAGCTGCCCCCGGGCTGGGAACAGCCCCGCAGACCCGCAGGTGCGGCGCAGGCGCCCGGCCCTGGCTGCGCACGGCTCGCGGGCGGGAGTCTGTCCGCGCGCGCGCGAGGGCCAGGGGGGCCCGTTCGCCGGCCCGGCGGGCCCCCACCCCGCCCCACCCCGCCCCACCGCGCCCCACCGCACCCCACCGCACCCCAGGAGGCCGGGCCGGGCGGCAGCACCTGGCGCGGGTGGGTGCGGGCCGGGACCGCGCGGCTTACGGAAAGTGGCTCAGGATCCACCACCCCAGGCAAGGGCCGCCGCCCGCGCCGGTGGACGCGGGGCCCCCGCCGCCCCCGCCCGCCCGCCCGCCCGCCCGGCCCGCGCCCGTCACCTGTTCGGCGGAGGCGGCCGAGGCCCGCGGCGGGGCTGGCGGCGGCGCGCGAGGCCGGGCGCGCGCCCCGGGCAGCGCTGCCCACCCCAGGGCGCGCGCTCCAGCAACAGATCGCGGGGCTGCGGCGGGCGCTGCGGCGAGTCAGGCGCCGCGCGGCTCCCCGGGGGGGGGGGGGGGGGGGGGCGCGGGGGCGGGGCGCGGGGGGCGGGCGGGGGGCGCGGGCGGCGCCGTCACCATGGGGACGGCCGGCCTCGCGCTGGACGGCCCTGCCCGCCGCGCGGCTTAAAGGGGCCGCGGCGCCCCGGCCGGCTGGGGCGCCCCCCGCGCGGCTCCCGGGGCCCCGCGGCCGGAGGAAACCCCGGCGAGCAAGGCCGGAGCGCGGAAACCCCAACCGGGAAATTGATTTTAGGGTAGTTTTCAAAGTCTGGTATTGAGATACCCTCAAACCTGCGCCCCATGCGACCTGGGGAGACCCCGCCCCCCGTCCCGTGCCAGGAGGGGCTCGCCCTCGCGCTGGCCGGCGCTGCCACCCCGGGGAGGGCCGTGGGGCGACCCTGCCGCGCAAGCGCATGGCCGGGGCCACAGGTATGCAGAAGAGCTGTCCAGACCCCTGTCCCCATTCGGGGTCCCATCCCACCCCTCACTAAGCATGTTGGGGCCACGGGGAGGCCAGTCGCACCGCCCTGGGGGCGCAAGCCCAGGGCTCCCACCTGGAGGAGGACACCCCCAGCCACCCCCACCTCACCCTGGGCAGACGCGGGGGACTCGGCACTCGCCTCCCAGCTCCTGACACCTGGCCTGTGCTCGGGGCGCCCAGCCCAGCCGGCCCCCACCATCCCCACCTGGCCAGGGCTCTGGCACCCCCAGGCTGCCCCGAGTCCTCACACTGCTGGATGTCTCGGCCGGGGCAGATTTCCTGCTGCCCAGAGGGGGACAGCGCTAGCCGGTCTTGTGGAGTGGTCACCACGCTGGGCCTTGGGGCCGGGCCCTGGGGGCCCTGCTTGGGGGGCGGGTGCTCTCTGGGCTGAGTCAGCATCCAGGCTGCCAGGGGAGCCTCTGGGCTGGGAGAATCTCCTCTCTCAAGAGCCTTTGCTGCAGCAGCCCCCTGCCTGGGCAGAGAGAACAGGCCGGCCAGCCTGCACCGTGGCCTGGCTCTGCTCGGGGGCCAGTGAGGAGGTGGCCAGCGACCTCAGCCCGTCCTAACCTGGCTGCTGCTCCCTGCCCGCCCGCCCGCAGTCAGGCTCCCCTCCCCGGCCCCTGCGGGGTCAGACAGTCAGGCCTGGGGGCCTCCCCTCCCGGGAACGCCTGCTGGGGCAGCTGAGGACACTGCGCCTGAGCTCCTGGTGCCTGCGCCCCTGGCGACAGCCACTTGCCCCGCTAGGCCCTGCCCACGTGTCCAGCCTGGGCCCTGCTGCCATTCAGGTGTTCCTCCTGCAAGACTCCTCTGCCGGTTCCAGCCAAGGCTTCTGGCAACTTGGCCCAAACAAGTTCACCCAAATTAAATGTGGTCGGCAGCAGGGCGCGCCACCTGGCGATTTCGTGAAAACGACCGTTCGTCTGGAAACCAGTGTCCCCAGCACTGGCCTTTCTGGTGTGAGCGGCACTGGACACCTGTCCCCCCCTTCAAAATGCCCTGAAGACTAAAATAATTTCCTTATTTTAAAATTTCTAGTCACCTCCAGTGGGTTATTGCTCGCGCCGCCGGCATAACTGCTGTCGGGAACAGTCCAGAAAGCAGCCCTGCCCGGGCAGGGCGTGGGGGCCGCGCGAGTGTGAGCGGGCGTGGGAGCAGTGTGCCGGCATGTGCCTGCGAGCGTGAGCTCACACACAGCTGAGGACACAACGGTGCAGGAGCCATGTGTGTGCACAGGTGAGGGCGAGCAGTGATGTCAGTGGGTGTGTGCGAGTGAGCATGTGTGAGTGTCTGTGAGCCTGGGTGAGCGTGCCTGGCCCGCGCGTGCCTGGGTGGCCTCGGCTGTGGCTGCTGGGCCCGGGCCTGGGCCTGGCTGGACGGTGCGTCGCGGTGCTCCCACTCTCCGGCGCCTGAACAGCCACAAGCGCCTCCTCGGTGACCCGTGAGGTGGGGAAGGCCCAGGGGAGGCCGGCGCAGCCCGCGGCGGGGCAGCAGCTCCCTGCGGGGTCTGGCTTGCTGCAGTGCTGGCCGCGCTTCACAAAACAGGGCCGGAAAAATATCATTAGAAAAACAAAAAAGAAAGAAAAGAAAAAAGAAAAATGACGAGCATTAATTTCAAACAAAAAGTAAAAAAATAAGGGAAAAGCGGCAAACATAATAAACAGAAACAGAAAAACCCTTGAATTATGAAAAAACAAGCACAGCGTGGGAATGTAAATATTCATAAGCCAGCGCGGCGCGTGCCGGGCCAGCAGACACAGGTTCCGCAGCCGGGGGCCGCCTGGGCGGGGGGCGGGGGCAGGCGTGGGGGGGGCAGGGGCAGGCGTGGGGGGCGGTCGGTGCGCTGGGCTGCGCCCGGGGGGCGCTCAGACGTGGCGCTGGCTGGCAGTGGCTGCTGGGCCTGCGCCTCCAGCCACGCGGCGAGGTATGTCTGCGGGGCCTTAGCAAGGTCGGGGGCCTGTGCCGAGCTGAGCACCCCAATGGCCTGACCCCCGCCCCCTCCCTGAGGAGGGCCGGTGTCCCGGGTGCGGCTGAGCTTGCCCTGCGGTGGACTCGCATTTTCACCCGAACCTGCAAAGACGGGGGCCCCTGAGCGTGTCCTCGGCCATTCTGGGTCAGTCCAGCAGAAACGCCTGCAGCCGGGAGGCCAGAAGCAGCTGGTGAGAGGCAGACTGGCTGGATGGACAGACGAGGGACAGCCCCACGAGCCGGAGGCCCAGTCTGCATCCTCAGGGACTGAAGTCTGGGCGTGTGGCCCCCACATATCCCTGGGGCCTCCTGGGCCGTCCCCAGCTGTACCATCCCAGGCCTGTGTCCACACCACCAGGATCCAGCCACTCACTGACCACCAGGCACCCCGGGGTGCTCACACCCTCCTCCTTGCCCGTTGAACCCCCAGGCCCCCAGAGTCTGCTGCGTCCCTCCTGCCCCATCGAGTCAGGATACCCCAAGGCCACACTTTGGTCTCTGTCCCCTGCAGAGCCAGGTGTCCCGGGGGCGGCGGTGCTGAGCCTGGAGGGCTCTGGCCTGAGAACAAGACTGGGCGAGGGGGCGAGGCCACCGGAGGGGCGGGGCATCATGGGGTGGGGCCGGGCCGGGTGACCAGACTCACACACGAAGGTTTGACCAGTGGGGTGGGGCGTCCTGGGGGCGGGCCAAGGTGCGACCTGGCCTCGGAGGGGGCCACCCGGCGGAGGACGCACTGCTGCCCGGGGGGGCGTGGGGCCGTGGCTCTGCCCGCGACGCCGGAGCTGCGCCTGGAGACCGCGTCCAGCGGCCTCGGCCCCACGTGTCCCTGCGCTCGTGGCCTTCTGTGAGGTTGGAGGGATTGTCCCCCGCAGTGCGGGCCACAGCTTGAGGGTGGGCTGGCCGCTGGCCTGGCCTGCAGCTTCCGCCCTGGTCCCAGACTGTGCCCCGAGCCCTGCGGTCAGGGGAGTCCCGGGCGGCCCCTCTCACGCCTGCAGCGGCCAGTTCTCAGGCGACCTGGCTGCAGCCCCCCGCGTGGGCCGCGCTGGGACTGCCTGTGACCTCCCAGACAGGCAGCAGCGGCCGGGAGCCAGCTGGGCCGCCTGCAGCTGTTTGTGGCCTGGGGGGGCGGCCGTGGGGGCCCATCCAGGCTGGAGGCCTGAGCGTCCTCACTGAACTCAAGAGACTTGGTCAGGGCCACCCCTCCAGGCAGGCGCCGACGAGGTTGGAAACCTTCGTGTGTGAGTCTGAGTGACGCTCTGGGCTTAAGTTCTCAAGTAGGTTCGATAAACGCCACATCTGAGGTTCAGCATGAAAGCCAGGTGAGGCTGCTGTGACGGCGGCCACCTTCCCGGCCCCCGCGCTGGCCCGCCTGGCTCCCGGGCTCCTCTGTCCAGGGGGACACCACCTCCGCTGCCAGCTCCCCTGCAGCCCCGCCATCGGGGCTCTGTGGCCACGGACGCCCCCTGCTCAAGCACCGCGGGTCCATCTGCTTGTCCCGCCTCGAGGTGACCGCCTTGCCTGGACCATGTCTGCTTGGGCAGGGGTCTTTGGGGCCGAGGAGGCGGGCCCAGGTGCCTCTGAGGCAGGAAGTGACCCAGCGTGGAGATACAGGAAGGGAGGGCGGGAGCACCCCGTGCTCCCCCAGGGTGAGGCCAGGCAGGTCTGTTTGGCTGCTCCGTGCACCTGCACCAGCTCGGGCCTGGCTCCTCCCACGCGCCTGACTGCCCCACAGTCAGTGGGCACTGACCCCTGATCCTGCCCTCTGCTGACTCAGGGTCCCGCCCTGCCAGCTGTCCTGCCCTCCGACCCCTAGGTGCGGGTCCAGGCCAGGCCAGCTCTCGGCCTCTCTGCACCAGGCTGTGGCTTGAACTCTGCTCCTGCTGTGCTCCCAACGCGGCACCCCAACACCGAGCCCAGCAGGCCCTTCTCAGAAACATGGCCTCCGGGGAGCTGACGCCACTGCCTTGGCCAGGCTGTGCCCCGCCCCCGCCCCAGGCGACATCAGGTCTCCGGTCTTGGCGACTTGAACCCCTGTGCCATTTGTCTGCTTCACCGCGATGATGTCACCAAAATAAACATCTGGATTTCACAATAAGTGGTTTCCATGGCGACGCCGTCATCCTGGCAGGAGGTCGCTCCTCTAATGGCGACCCCCCCCCAGCTCAGATCAGGAGCAAGAGGGGCTGGAGCCGCGTTCTCCAGTGTGTCTGCAGTTGGCACCGGCCTTGCGATGGGGTCTGCCTACCCCTAGCACCACAGCGTCCTGCTGGGGACGGAGGTGGGGGGGGTGCTGCTTTGGGGTCGTGGACTCCCTGGGAAAGATGGGGCAGAAGTGACCGCAGCTGGCAGTGCTGGGAGGCAGGGGTGAGGCCCATTCTGACGGGGAGGCGCAAGCATGCAGGGCTTCCTGGAGGAGGCAGCCATT